ATAGGTAGAAGACTAGAGAGCCTTAGAACTTAAAGACAAGCCTTCTCTATAAGGGGGGGTAATATAATAGTCTAACTTAGCTCTAACTTAGTACTTTAGCCTAACTTAGCTTCGCCTAAGTTATATAACCCTGCCTAGCGCCTTAGTATAGACACCCTATGTATATAGAGAGCTCTTAGAGTATTCTTCTACTTCTTATCTTTAGATAGCTAAATTTAACCTAACCTACTCTACTAGCACCTCTTATTCTTATAGCTTGTAGAGATAGTGCTACCTATAGCTAACTTACCTAGCTAGGTGTTCTAGAGGCGCTTATAGTAGTAGAGACCGCGAACCTAGCCCTTACATAGAGAGGTAAGAACCTAAGATTAAATTCTCTAGTAGTAACGCGCTTAAATTACGTATAATTAGTATTGTAGAAAAACGTATTACGCGTTAAACTAGCGTAGTAGGTAGTATCTAGTTTCTAGAGTAGGTTAATTACGCTTATAGTTACTAGATTTTAGTATCTTTTTTAGCTAGAGTAGTAGTCTATGTCTAATATCTTGCGTATATATTATCTCTCTTAGTAAGAGTGTTAGTAGTAATCTAGTAATATATATAAATTTATTATTTATATACCTATTATATATATAATTAGCTAACTATTTTATTAATAATTTTAGCTAGCGTTTCTAGAAAGAGCTCTTAAAGCTCTTTAGTAGAGGTAGAGAGTATATATAAACCTAAGGCTAATAATAGCTCTAGTATTACTAAGCTCTAGTAAAGCCTTATAAGCTTCTAGTTAAAGTTATTCTTCTAATTCTTATTAGTTATCGCGTTATATTACTAAATAGAGTTTTTATAATAGAAATATTAATTAGTATATTCTACTAGCAGGTTTACTACTCTAGATTTAAGAACTATTAGAGTAAAGAGGTATTATAGAGCTAAGGTTCTACCTCTAGATTAGCTTCGCAAGAGTTCTTCTATAGTGTTTAGATTTATTTAGCTTTTTAATTAAGAAAGAAGTAAAAGAGAGAAGGTATTTAGCTACTAGTAGAGTAGCGGGTTGTTAGTTCTACTAGCGAGGTAGAGAGATAGTTAGCTCTAGTAGTAGAGTAGAGAATTATTAATTTTTCGTAATTTGTAAAAGAGAGAGAGAGTTTTCGCACGTAGAAGTTCTATAGAAGTTCTTCTATACATAGAGCTCTTATAGCTCTCTTTAGCTTACTACTAGTAGTGTCTTTTCTACTACTAACTAGATCTACTAGTAGGTTTTATACAGCGCTAAGAGGTAAGTAATTAATTAGTAACGTTAATAAATTCTTAGAGTAAGCAACTAGGCTCTCGTAGCTCTAATTCTTAATATAGTTATTAGTAAACGCTTCTTAATAAGGCTACTTAGTTTAGCTAGATATTATACCGCCGTCTCTAGCTAAAGAGGTATTAACCTTTAAATAATATAAAAGCTAAGTTTACGGTCTCTACTACTATAAGCGTCTCGAAACACCTAGCTAAGTAAGTTAGCTATAGGTAGTACTATCTCTATAAGCTATAAGAATAGAGTGCTAGTAGAGTAGATTAGGTTAAATTTAGCTATTTAAAGGTAAGAAGTTAAGAAAAGGCTCTAAGAGGCTCTATATACAGAGGTGCTAAGCGCTAAGGCGCTAGGCTAGGTTACGTGATAAGATTACGTAACCCGAGGTTATGTAACCTAAGGTAAATCTCTAAACTAGACTGTTACAGAGTTAGAGAAATCTAAATAAGATAGCGGCTTTTTAGTAGAGACTTAGTAAAAGTAGTTAGCTTAGTAGTATAGTCGGCTCGCTAGTAGAGTACGTTATTTGCTTAGTTATTTAAGAAATACTAAGAAATACTAGTTAATTTTCCTTGCCAAGAGAAAGTAGTCGGCTTGCTTGTGTGATTGGTTCGCTTGTAAAGTACGTTAGTATAATATCCGACTATCCGCAAACTCTCTCGCGTATCGGGAGGAGAAGCTAAAGCCCGTCGGGCTTACAGCTCTATACCCCGCACTCGGTTCAAAAGGAGAAGGTGTATCTAAGAAGCCTTGGTCTGTCCGGAGCACCCACGGCAGGGCTCGTGGCGGAGCGCCGGGGCCATACGTTGTCACTGGGCTCGGCGATCCCATTGCGTCTTCGCCGTTCCCTATCTCTGTTATTCCCCGTCTTCCCTGTTCCCTGCATTTGCTATCTACTATTTTCGCCGTTTCCTGTCTTCCCCTGTTCCCTGCTTTTGCTCTGCACCGTTTTCGCCGTTTCCTGCACACTAAGAGTCTAGCTTTTGGGGAAGGCTAGAGCAGGCCGCGCTACAATACCTCCTGCCCTCTAGGCAGCAGGTAAAGCGTTGACTCCCAAAAGTCGCACTCATTCAACTCGTCCCTGTTGAGCTTGAGACGTTGAACCAGCTAGAAGCCCACATCATCAACCATTGATAGGTCACCGTGGGGTTAGGCAAGATATGCTGTGTACATATCTTCACGGCACAGGATACATTTACATGGAACAAGGTGTCCGTAGAATTTAGTGGAGAGGTCGCTTTGCAGCTACAAAGGGATGAGAATGCTTCTTCTGTTGTGCACAGTTTGCAGTCGTACAAACGAGGTGGAGCGGACACCACCACCATTACATCGAACCCCCGAACAAGCTTAATAAAGCCGAAAGTACGGCTAAGATTTCCTTTTGCCAAGTGTGCCCTACTTAAGGACCAAAACCGGTTCCTGTTCCAGGTAAATAATGTGAAAGATTGTCGATCGATCAGATCAATAGTCCTAGGGAAGGCGGATCTAGAAGAGGCCCGAGCAAAGCGCGAGGCGAAAGACAAAGCTGTCGCAACAAAGGGTAAACGAGGTCGTAAGTGCAAGAATCCGGCGCCGGAAGAGGCCGAGGCGGGTCCATCAACGACAAAGATCAAAGCGGTACGGAAAGGTGAAGTCGAACCAGCGAAAACTGAAGTGTCATGGAGAGTTCCAATAGCGAATATGTATTAGTACAGGAAGAAGTTTTCATAGGAAATCATTTAACGTCTATTCAAGCGTGCCGGGACGCACGATGTTCGAGGACAGGTTCACATTTCGGAGCTTCGCCATCTTTCGACCACTCCAACCGCACATACTGACTAGCGGACCCATGTCGGCGGATTGCCAACACATGCATAAGATTCTTACCCTTGCAATGATCTGAACAGACTTTGACGCATCAGAATGTCTGTACTAGGCTGAAGATGGGCGAATGCAGGCTGATCTGCGGCATTGGCGGTTCTAGACGGTTTTCAGCCTTGCGACTCAGTGACGCCCACGTCAGTCAATGCATGACAACCAGTCTACCCCGCTTGTGCACAGTGTATGCTAGACTCTTTTCAGCGGATGAGGTCCTGAGAGCCGGTCTGAGATAGAGTTGTGGGGTGCGTCGGTGCGCCCTGATGCGCGTAAGACCTACGAGAATTAGCCACGTCACATTTTATCTTCTGTCTGGTACGATGCGGCCTGGTGGCAGGCCGCTGGAGATTAGATGCTGAAAGGCCATTGGACGAAGCACACATGTGGCGGTTGATTAGGCTTACTTCGTTGGAATGGTGGGCAGATAGCATAGTCTCGATTGGCTTATACCTCGTACGAAGAGGAATGCCTCTTTGAAGTGCATACCCGGGTACCCAATGAACATCAAGTAGGTAGGCATAAGATTCCAAAAGTCGATCACGGGTCTTCGACAATCGTCACCATATTTCCTGCAGTCTATGATATATAATGGCGTGCTTCTGTCAGCTTTCTAGTTCTCTAACTCTGCAACAATCGCAATTTCATCATCATCGGGCCCCTCAGTAACCGCCTGCTCCGTCATACAATCTCGTCTTGCGCATCGTTCATCTCGTCAGGCTTAAACAAGGTACTCAATTCTATCCTGTTACCAGGCAACTGCATGCTTTGCAGGACCATTACACCTACTCTTGGTATCACGAATGGCACTGACGAGCCCTGCAGAATGGATCGCCCTGCAGGTCACAATCAACCACTCGCCACCATCGAAGCCGCCTACGATCCGAAGGGTCTACTTATACCCACGATGCTTGTCAACCAGTGTGACCTAGCAACTCGTGTCAACAATCAGGGGAAAACAGTTACGTATGTCGAATTGGATTGCGAGAATCATCTATGCAAATGGTCGAAGTACTACTCCCAGTGAGCTCGGTCGTACTGTGGTGGAATATCCTGTAGCCTCTCATCAGCAAATACAGGAGAGGAGACGGCCTGGATCGTCTATGTTTGACGGAGTGACTGTCGCTACGCAATGCTATTAGGTTCATAACATGGCTCTTCACTGCACCCGTAGTGCGTTATAGTTCTTGTCGTGATGTCTGCCAACATGTCTGCCGCTGCGCTCTCCTTTGTCACATGTGTGGTGTGATCGTTGAGCTCAAGGGGTGTCTGAGGCTTCATCTCCACGGTTTCTTCGTGATTCTTGGTGCCAAAGATCGATTCTAAGCGAAAAGCAGTATTGCCAGCCTACTACAGTATCCCGCGAGATCGCACTTATGCGAGCGGGGCAGCTTGCGGACAGGCGCTCCGCGAGCGCAACGCTGCGTTCCCAGCAGCGTTAGCGCGCTCCACCTACCGAACAACAATCTCTTTAGAACCTCACTGCTGACACCGTAACATGGAGCATAGAGCGCAACACAATTCTGTCCTTGTGCCAGGCGAGCACTTTTCGCTTTGCGTGCTTCGCAACCTCTGACGGCAACAAGATATTTCTAGTTTTCGAACGGCCGATGCGCGGAGCGGCGCTGTCCATGGACTTCCCGCTGTGCAGCCTACCTGATTCCGCGCCAGACGACTCAGTCCAGCTCGGAGTCTCACACATTGGACACTGCGATCCTTCAACTCAGCAAACGTATGAGTTGTACGGCGTCGATGGAGTCATTGCCTTTGCCCTGTAGGCACAGCTTGCAGGCGGACAGAACGCAAGTACTCGGAACCGCGCCCTACGCCCGTTTAGTTTGTCTACAGTTCACGCTAGCCATGTGCAGTACGACTTGGAATACGCTGGTAACAGCTAGTCTGCATCTGCAGCGCCTGCGGAGCCCGCATCGCTCGTGGGCGCGCTAGCTCGACCACGAAAGCGCAAGACGGCGACTCTTCGCGCGGACAGCTAGGAGCCATATAAGGAACGCATCTGAGGCTTGCATATCGCACAAAGACTGCCGCTGGAAACAATAAGGCAGGTGGTTGAGGAGGAGCGTGGCTCCAAAGGTGAGTATGTCACTCCAGTTTGTGCAAGGTGAGCGAGTCTTCGGCGTGCTGCTGACACAGACACAGTCACAGGCGGGGCCAGTACTGAACGCACATCAGTCAGTGGGAGAAGGACAAGAACACCAACCCGTATGAGATAGAAACGATCGTGCCATGGCGTCAGAAAAGGTAGCTTGTCGAGACCAACGAGGGACCCTTTTGTAATCGAGGTGCGCGACAAACAGATGAAGCCGCAGAAGTTTGAGTAATAGATGAAGAGGCACGAGGTAGCGGACAGCTTTCTGTATGCGCCTAGCTCGGCAGCGTGTGAGTCAGCACGAGACAGATACGACTCTTCTTGCTGATGCACCAGAGCCATGCCGTCTGCCGTAGGATGCCCCACAATCTTGGAACGAGGCTCTCCCGCACTGATCTCTATGTACTCGCCAGTAGCTTCGGTCTCGTCGCCTGGAGGCATGTATCTCGCAGTGCAGAGCTCGCAGTGCAGAGCCCGCAGATGTCGGCTCCTGCCTCATCAGTCTAGAGCATCATCTGGCTTCGACACATCGCCTTCATGGGGCAGAGCCTAGCTATGGCATATCAGTGTCTTCTGGACCTCCACTCCAGCTTCATTCCTGCCTCGAGCGCCTTCGAAAGCTAGATGGGTGTTGGAACACGACCTCGATACAAATAAGATGAGGAAGAGCGCCTACAGGATCAGGTTCTTGGATGTCGTTTGCAGGCAGTACGTAGGAGTGATCAGGCATGCTATATAAACTGGGAAACAGGCTTATCGATTAAGGAAGGTACAGGGCTGCGGAGGTTGTGATCCGCAGGCTAATAGAGATTTGTAAGAGCTAGAGCGGCAACGGCGATGATCAATGATGCGGACACGCTCAGGACTTTAGAACTCTTCGGTTGAGTGTTGAACTATCAAGGTTTGTATGTCAATGCTGAGAGACTGTTTCGACGAACAAGAAAAGGAAGAAAGGACGTGCTGGGGCCTGAGCATCCAGACACTCTCGCCAGCGTCAGCAAGCTTTGGTTGTTGAGGGCCCTCTAGATCGTGTAGGGTTTTGGCAGCAAGGCTGGTTGCACGTGATCGTATGTATCTCGAAGTAAAATTCCCGATCCAGTCGGCCTCTCCCATCACCCACCCCCTCTTCCCCTGCTCACCGCTCAAGCCAACCCCGCCGTAGCAATAACCCAATCCGCCGCCTCATCCGCCACACTCCCATAGCTCAAATGCCCGCCAGTCGGATTATCCCCGGTCCCGCAAATAGAATCAGCCGTACCGCAGAACTCCTTCACCTTATCCGTTCCCAGGTCGCCAACAGCCTGCGTCTTCAGCGGGTCGCCGAAGAGAACCGCGCCAGCGACCTGCGAGCCCGAGATGCCCTGCGAAAACGCGTTGTGCACGACCATGGCGCCTTGCGAGTAGCCAGACACGATGACCTTAGTATCGGGGCATTGGGACAGGGCGGCTTGGACGGAGGACGCCATGGCGGGCCCGCCGTCGCGGCCGAGGTTGGCGTTTCCCTTTTGATACTATTAGTGGCCTTGATCTTCATCTGGAAGCAGTGGGGTGGGGTGGACGAGTGAACTCACAGCAGCCGAAGCCGGATAATCGACACCCTGCACAGTCACCCGATCAGTGCCCAGCTTGCTCCTCAAACTCTCGAACATGGGTGGCCCGGCAATCGTGCCCACGTTGCCCAGCTCGCCTGTCCCCCGTGCGAAGACAACAGTAACGTCAGTGCAGCAGTTCTTGTCCGCAACGCCGTTCTCCGTGCTCCCTCCGTTGCTGCTTTGCGGTGTGCAGTCCGCGCCAACAGTACCTCCTCCAGTGGAACCGGTGGAGGTGGGTTGAGCAGCGACGCTAGTCACTGCGGCCCCGCCTGTGCTCGGCAGGCTGATGCCGCCGCTAGGGAGACTGATGCCGCCGGTGGCACTGGGAAGGCTGGGAATGCCGCTGAAGCCGGGGATACTGAACCCGCCGGTTGGCAGAGGGAAGGAAGGAAGGCCGAAGGAGGGAAGGGAAAACTGGGGCATGGGGATGGCGGTAGTAAGGCCGGCGAGGGCGATGATGCAGGCGGTGGTGTACTTCATCTTGGAAGCGTGAATGAGCAGGACGAAGAGGATGAATGGGTAAGTGCAAGAGTTGAAAGAATGCAAGTGCTCAGCACAACGAGTGACGAATTGAAGCAAGAGAGAAGAAAGATCGAAGTCGACGGTGCGATGCCGATGCCCTTTTCCTAAGCATCTCCAAGCTCTTCTTATACTCAGCACTCATGGTGCCACTGAGCCATGACCCTCGGAAGCCCTTTTGCTCATCTCGAATGACCCACCCCACGAGAGTTCTTGAAACGAACTCTCTATATTACCCCCAGGCCCACCATCTCCCCACCTCTGCCGTAGAACCAAAGCCGAAAAGGCTTATCCCCGCCCTTCTCGCCTCCCGCTCCCAACCCGGCGTTTCTCCCTCCCCGCCAAGGCCTCCCGCCGCACCAAAACAGCACTGCCGTTAAATTAAGGTACCGAACCGTTGGCTCCCTCCTCAGGAGATTTCTCCAGGGGAGGGAACTAGGCGATCAGAATAGATTAACGAATCCTCCGAAGCGCAGCGATGCGCAGTGTAAGGCTGAACTAGACGTGCCTCGGAAGCGAAAGCTGGCGCGTTTCACTAGCCGTAGTGGCACGACACCAAGCGGTGCCACCTCACTTCATCAAGAACGACGGCCGGAACACCAATCATATTGCTGCCCTCTCGACGACATCCGAGGCTGCGAGCGGGTTTGCAATGTTTGCATGTTCTCAGATGCGGAGCGCCTTGTTTCGAGATGGTCAACGGTCCAATGCTTTGGTGCTCGGCGATTTGTGTTTCGATGAGCTTTTCCAATGAGATGGAAGGGTGGTTTTAATGTTCCGAGGCTGCGAGAAAGATCGGGCGATGAGGATGCGGGTAGCTGTAAGTAGTCGGCGCGAAAACGATGGTGGATTAGAGACTATTTTGTTTGAATCGAGCGCCACGGGAACGAACTTTAATGTAAACGCCTATTTCCCGCAAACCGGCTCGCAACGATTGACCCGACTTCCCAGGCAGGTTCCATGCGTGCCAGCTTCCCTTTCAACTTGCGATAATTCATACTAATTCCCAATAACACCCTCAGCCAGCTTCCACGTCTCAGCGAGCACATCTCCCTCCACAGCATTCTCCAACCACTCCCTCGCCTTCTCCACGATCAACTCCCATGTCTCCTCTTCCTCAGGCATCTTCTTCTCCAGGAATGCAATGACAATCGCAGTGCTGACCACTGTCTCCGCCTTTTTCTTGTCCAATCCCTTCTTAGCCGCGGAGACAAGGCTGTTAACCGCGTCTCGTGCGGCGTCGCGGGAGATACTCATCTCGTCGCAGAGGTCGCTAATCCCGGTCCAGGATCCTTCGAACGATTGACGGGCGATAAGGCGTTGGAGGAGGGTGCTCGAGTCCGCGGGCTCCGATGGCTTACCAGAGAGAGCAGCGCGGATTGAAGCACCTCCTGCCAGAGCGGCGGCAGCAGGCGCACCAACTCGACCTCTTGGCCCTCCTCGCCTCGTCCTCTTACAATCAGGAGCTGTTTTGAGAGCCTCCAGTCCATTATCGAAGAGCCCAAAGCCCATGTCCTCGTCAGATTCTGATCCTATGATAGGCATGTCAGTATTCTTCTTAGCCTTCTTCTTCGGCGCCCAAGGATCTGCGCTCCTCCTCTTGCGCGTAGGCTTCTTGACCGGCGCGCTGGAGGGCGCAGATTTCCGAGCTGCCTTGCTTGCGAGCTGCATTCTGGGTGCTTTGCCCCCTGTGGACATCCGAGCCGTCTGCTTGGTGCGGTTGCGATGGAAGGGTTGAACGTGCATACCTGTTTGTTGCGTCGAAGTGTCAGCCTTCTTACTTTTCAATGTGGCTGCTCTTCCGATAGACCCGGCGAGGCCACCCAAGGTCCGGCCGAAGCCTCCCAAACTAGTCAGCCGCACTTCCGGCCTTCTCCTGACCCTTCGGCTGCAACTGATGCCCACTGTACAACAGGCATTCTCTACGCTTTCTAAGCCGTCTTGATCTTCCGACACTCTCAGCGCAAAACGCTCGAGTGGTCCGGACGATAAACGTTGCCGTCTGAGGGAGTCTAACGTACCTGTGGCAGTCTCAAAAACCTGTTGCTGGTGCTGCTGCACTGGTGGTTCAACCACTTCCCAGTCATCCTTCTCTTCGACGCTCCTGTTGATCAACGCATCGAGCGCCTTCTTTCGTTTCGCGGCGATTTCGGCCTCGTTGGCTTCAACGGCGACGAAGCTGCAGTACTTCCCGCCTACCTGAAATTCGACCCCGAGTCGTACGGCTTCACGTCTCTGAAGTAGCGCAAACTGGGCTGGGTTCTTGTCTTTGACGAGTTCGCCAGCACCGGTCTTAGCATCAGAGACCCATCCGCGGCCTTCTTCAAGCTCTTGGGTAGCCTTACGGGCGGCTAATTGATGGATCATCTCGTCTGGCTCCCGTCGAATCTCCACTGGAATCTCAAGCTCAAGTGGTCCTTGAGCGGAAGTGCCCTTCAGCACTACACTCCTTGGCTTGAGGTCAGATACCTCCGGGGACATTAGGAGGTAGACGCAGGTCCGATTAAAGGGGAAGAGCGGCGGTATCTGATGAGGGGTTTGCAGGATCTTGGGGCGATCGAGCTTCGGCAGACCAGCGAAGATATCTTTCGGCTCGTCGGCTTTCGGGTGCTCTTCTTTGGACGCGGGGTCGTAGAGTGAAATCGGTTCTTTGCTAGTGTCAGAAGCTTCCGAGTTCTTTTTCTCATCCTCATCATCAAAGGTCAGCTTGAGGTGGAGGCTGTCGGCGACGCTATCGACAGTGTCGTCCTCGTACTTCACTTCTAGCCGGTAATCATTTATATGAGGACTGAGTGCTCCTTTGAGCATTCGGACAATCTTCGCATCGAGCTTCTCGTTGTTCACGACCATTTGCGCAAAGCCCTTTCCAGCTCTAGCGATACCTTCGATAAGGGCGCTAGAGACTCCACCTCCTATGCCGATAGGGAAGACACGTGCGTCTCCATGCTTGGTCTCCTGCTCAATGTACTGGAAGACGGTATCCTGGGACCAGATATCGCCGTCGGTCAGAAGCATCAGTTCAGTTGGCATCCCCTTGAGCCTGCGCTCAAATGCCGCCGTGATGGCTTTCAGGGTCTCTGTACCGCCGAAATCCGAGCCGAACTTGCTGATATACTTGATCGCGTGTGCTAAGGTGTCCTGACCGTAGAGCTGGCTCTTCGGCCAGAGGAACTCGAAATCCGTGCCGAATGAGCAGATATTGAACATACAACCGGTGGGAATGGACTTGAGGAAGACCTTGAGGGCAGATACAAGAGTAGGGATATTGCCAGCCATGCTGCCGGAGCGGTCAGCGATGAAGATGATCTCCGGCTTCTGTGACTTCAGGTTGAATTTCGGGACTAGGGTAGTCATGAGTGCTCGTTGATTGGGCAGAGTGGGATGTGTCTCGAGGATGGCCTGAGGTACGCCGACATCCTTCACCACCACCTGGAGAACAAAGTCCTTCTCTAGCTCGGTAGTGCCAAGTGCCAGGGTGGCGGAGGCCTTGGAGATAGAGGAGTCTTCGTCATTAGTGCTAGTCGACAGTGTTCCGAGCGAAACCTCAATCGGATGCGACGGCGACATGACTTTCTTGATAGGAACTCCATCGGCCATACTGACGTCAATAGTGATAGATATGCCGCCCGAATCGTTAACATCAGAGCTCTCCATCAGCTGACCAGGATAGCTTCCGTAACGGGGAGCGATGGACGTCGGCATCGTCAAGCGCACACCGTCGACCTCAGCGTCGTGCTTCAGCTCTTGAACGTATGTAATGGTGACTTCCACGGAAGAGTTCTCGGGAATGTTGCTGACGGAGGTAGTGAAGACGTCGGCAGCATCAGGGAGCTGCTCCAACAGAGCGGCCTTCTCGCCTCGTTCCTTAGCCTCCTCATACGTCTTTCTAGCTTCCCCCTTCTCCTTCACGAGCCCGTAGATGATGCGCTCGCCTATCTGGCACTGGAACTCGACAACGCTGACGCCATCGAAGAGTGGGAAGGCGTACCTAGGCAAGTCAGTGATGCCAAGATTCAAGGATGCGCCATGCTTCTGACTAGTAGAACACGTACCGGATCTCATCGAGAGGTTTGTCCTTCGACGTATTTACGAAAGTCTGCTTCAGCGCCGTCCTTGACGCCGTTGACAAGATCGTGGTACGAGCGTCAAGCTTTACCTGCGGCAGGTAGGTCCTCGACCCATTATTGGAAGGATCGAGGAAGTAGCAGCCGCAGACATGTCGAGCACTGTACCGGTTGCCCCGATAGCCGGAGGACATTGTGTAAGCTACCTTGTTGGGGGAATGAAACTAGATGAAATGGGTGACGGCGTCTGATGGTGTTGATGGAGAAATGTTGAAGGAAGAGAGGGGAAGGGAAGGCGTCTCCTTTTATACATGGTCTGAGATGCGGTTGCCTGATACGCCTGATTACGTCGAATGCCAAGACAAGACGCGAGCTGTGCCCCGGATGTGGAACATCAGAGCTACTAGTACCTAGGTACGAAGCTATGAGTCACTGGACTCGCTGGGATGCGGATCCATTCCAATGAGTTAATTCAATCGACTTGCATATCACGCCAGAATGCGGAGGAGTTCAAGGATCGACGGCCCGGGGTGTATGTAATCACGTGACGAACCCTCCACCGCCAGAAGTAAAACCCGCATATTATCGAAGAGTGGCCCGAAATTAAAGGAGTCTACTATATCAGGTTCGGAATGCTTCCTGCTCCATAATACTGGCGTTGGTGTTGCGGATATGCGAGGTTAGGCTAGAGTCGTGACGTGCGAAATAGGCCGCCTACGCTCCCCCTTGCCGATGGAGTCCCGCGAACAAGACAGGTCATCCAAATAACCAATGTAAGGGCCTTCACGAGGGCAAAATATTCCTCGATGGATACAGCCTCCCCACCTTTGGCTCCGCGTGTTTGATGGTAAAGATCATTCGAAGTATTCACCTCCCGCAGATCCGAATTGATTGTGGACCTCCAGGCCCACCATTCAAAACGCAACTCCTTTGCAAGGAGACGAATGACCGCAGCACTCGAGCAGATAGTATGTCCCATTAGCCACCCGTCTCTTCGTCTGACGCGACCGTCAAGGCTACACTACCTTTCCACGCATCCGTCCTCTTCTTCAGCAGCATAAAGGCGGTAACGGGGGCTGCGGTGAGAGCCTTCATGCGCACTCCACCTCGACCGTGAATTGATGTTCCGTCCTGTAACTTGAGTAAGGTCCTTGCTCCCAAGCGTCAGGATTCTCCACCGGATACGTATCGATATGACTATTGATAATAACACGCTCGCCCGGGCCTTGTCCGCCTTGGATATCTGTGACAGCGCTTGGAGCATGCTAGGGAAGCGCCACTATGTCGCACGCAATATCATGCTTGGAGAGGAAGTCCTCAAAGGCTTTAGTCGCTTCAATGGTATGCCCGGGTGGGTTAGGCGACGGCGCACAGATAAATTAAAATCCCCGAGGAAGGCGATGTAATCCTCTCTATACATCTCGATTGCTGATAGGATAACCCGTCGAGTCGCCCTTATTTGAGTCGCTCAGCTAGTCGTCTGGTCTGGGTACGGTTCTGGAGGGTGGGATTCGGTTGGGCCGGGCAGCCTTGAGTCATACGCAGGAGCCGCGGTTTTCGGATCGAGGCTAGTGGCGCAGCCAATGCTGCCTCGCGAATTCAGCACCGCGTGTGTATTAATGGGGTGTGTTACTTGCTTTGACTATCAGCAGCGTCGAGGTGCGGGGAAGAGTGGTCGTGGTGAGTCTGCGATTGGGATGACGCCATGATAGGAGACTAACCGCTTGTGGTTAGGTGCTAGTTTCTTCTGACACCTGCAACCGAACACGCTCGATCGCACATACTATCCTCCAAGCCTGATGTCTCCCTATTTGATCTTGGATGCTCCTTTGTATAATTGCATTGTTGTATATGCTCTATCGACAATCGTCGAAGATCTCCTTCCGGTCCTGCAGCCTAGCGTGCCCGAGGATGAAGAGTCATCCAACGCAGAAGCCACTACCTGAAGGAACTCCTCTCTGATCTCCCGTATCTTTCGCTCTCCGCGACCTTATTCCAAGGCTGATTCTAAACGCTCTCTTCCATTAACGAAGCTGCTGGATATTACCACCGGCGAGAGATATCTTGGAAGCGTTGGCTACACGATGAAACAGAGAACCTCGAAACTAACAGTTAAATCGTATCGACTCGAATGCTAACATGTCATTTTGAAGAAGAGAAGGAACTGAAGTGATATAGCCGTTATTTTTTTGAGCAACTGGCCATGCAGCCGTGCACAACGTTGGCTAAACGACACCGCACACCCAGATGGCTTAAGCTATGAACCCTATTGGAAAGCATAGAGTGGACGCAATGGTGGCTGCGGAGACATCTCCTTGCTCTCGGCAGCTTGACACCTGCCATTTCACAGATTGTTGTTGATAGGTGTCGCCGACAGGTGCCGAGGGCGGCATCTACCGATAACTTTCAGGTATGGAAGTCTGGCCCTTTCCCTGGCGCCTATCATACATCTAAATTGGAGTTATCTTGCGAGGGCGGGGACCATAACTCTAGGAAAGAGAAGAGAAAGAGAAGAAGAGGGGAAGAGTTTTGGGACCTCGAGGTTCGATATAGCTTTGGAACACCATACGCGGCGTGAAAGGTCAGCGTTGGTCAACTTGCTGAACCTCGATCTTGCGAAACAATCATCAGGATTTATGTTTCGATGCATGCCCTACCGGGCACCTCATCTTACAGGGTGTTCAACAAGGGGAAGTGAAGGCCAGCCGTGGCAGATTGGCGGACAAGCGCGTCTCCCCGACGACGCGTCCTCCTCTTCCGGGTCTTCTCTTCACTTGTCGTCACCGCAACTTCTACGATGTTTTGCCTGCAACAACTCTTTATGAACGCGTTATATTCTCTCATTACCTCTCTTACCGCCCCTCTACTCCTCTACTCATACGTTTTCTCTTTTCCGCCACAGTTCTGAATCCGCCGGTTGCGTCTACCTAGGAAGGCAGACATTCAAGGCACTCCGCGCGCACAAACCCACGGCAGGCGCCAGCCTTCCACGACGGGATACCACGACCAGCAGGCCTGCATCTACAATGGCGCGCGTCCGCGGCTCACTTCGAAGAGCACCTCAATCTCGCTCGATAGATATTCCGAGAGCGCATCCTACCGCACACACAGATATGGGCGAACCGACGCTATTCAGTCCCTTATTTAGTTCCATCAAAACCTATTGGTCGAAGGATATTCCAAGCAGCTCTAGTATTCCCCTGGGGTACACAGACAGCTCGAACGCCCGAGCTACAACCGCGAAACGATGCGATTCCGTAATCAGCGATCCGCCGCCGCGAGAGGAACTACCAGCAGCGCGCCACGAGAAAAACGAACTGTGCAGGGCGAAGAAATACCAGCACCAAACACAAGACGGTCGGAAAGAAAAAGCGCTACAAGCGAGCGTCAGGAAGAACGGCATACCGCACGACTTTCGGGGAATCTTGCAGATACCTTTACCCAAGAAACCTCGGAGTAAGCCCATCCAAAGTACCGAAAGCTGCGAAAACCCGGCGAAGCGAGTCTGCTTCAATCTACCACCTCTCCTCGTCTCTCCAGATAAAGGACTTCAGAGCAGGGACTGCCCAGACGACATGGAACCTCCCTCCCCGGTATTCCCGATCAGCTGCTCGAGCGATGGGGCCTCCAGGTCATCGAGCCCGCCAGTCCTAGATCTCGAAGGTACTACTCCTGCTTTGGGTAAGTAACCTCATCCACTTTCTACACCAGAACTCCTTCTGCTAACACTTTACAGATCTTCTCAGCCCCAGGCGCGTCCTAAGCTGCGAACGCGACGTGTACCACCAAGCCCCAATCCCTTTCCGTCCACCTCCGGTGTCCGAGCCTTTGAACGTTATAGTCGCTCAAGTTTTAGAGCGAGACCGGCTGAATAAGGAAATGGTGGAACCGGACCAAGCGCCTGATTCCTCTTTCGGCAGGGGGCTCGTACGCCTTGGAAGGAGTGGTACTAAAGAGGCGGTGGAGGAGCTGAGTGCTGATGTTTTGGAGTTGTTCGATTTCAATGCGGCATGTGAGGGTTAAATGTTGGAGATATCGATTAGCAGTTGGGGAAAGGGAGGGTACTTGGAGCACTTCAGGTGCTCAACGGCTGAGTAGAGTCTCCAACAATGCCGAGGTGGTAATAGTTAAATGTCAGGCAGATCCGAATCTCCCTACCGACTGCTACGATCAAGGACCGACAACTCCCATTCATGCTCTCCATTCCGCAGGTCCTCTGCTCCATGATCACCTTAAGGTCACCTTCCGTGATGTTCTAGTGGCGAGTATCCGCACCGGGCTTGTCACTTTCTACAGGTAGATCCACCCCCCTTCCCGCAGCCAGACATGCCTCCTATTGTGTCTCCGTTCCCCGATTCCGCTTTTACGCTTGTAACCTGTCCTCCGTTAATCGCATATCGAATCACAATCCACAAACATTATGTCTCGCTCACTCCATTCCTTCTCTCGCACAGCCACAGTCCACCAAAACCCCCTCAACAACCCTGTACTTCCTGCAAGCCAGCCGCAGCGTCCGCACAGCCTAGCTCCTCTCCTCCACGAACTCAAATCCCTTTCCCTTTCCCTTCTACAGCCGCAACACCAACATGAAAGCGCCCAACGAGTTTAAAACGCCCCAAGCAAATCCTCTTCGTAAGGCGCCGACGCTGAAAGATGTTGAGGTTACTATTTATGAGAGGTGCTGCGATCACGGACGTAGTACGTGGTGTTGAATTATTTCAACAGCATGTAACAAGGGCCAGGAGGTGCGGGTGCGAACGTACCAGAATGGAGAGGTCAGATGAGGTGGACTGAATGAAATGCCGACAAAGCCAGGTACCTCTGTGAGATGTACGATAAAGAGGGCAAGTTGATGCCCAATGGCATCAAGGAGCGCGTGAAATGTTGCGGTGGGCTCAGGCCGCCGAAGCAACGTACGTGCGCTGCAACATTCCGAAGTTGGCGCAAGCCAATGGTATTTTGGAGACTGAGAAGGACCTCTCCGCGAACGTGCAGAAAGGGCCTGGCTGGCTGGAAGCCGGGCCTTCCTCTTTCGGGAGCAGGTTACTGTGCGGTGATACAGTGACGCTTGCAGTTCAGCGTTGAGTTTATAGCGGTGACAAAGAGGGGCGCAGGGAGGGGAGAAGTGGAAGGCGATTGAGCGGCGGTTGGAAGCTTGCAGGGAGCGCGGGGGGTGTAAGAGGGCGGCAGAGAAGACGGGTTACGAGTTGGCGTTTAAGCTGCCAGAGGGTAAGTAGCGAAGAGGGCGTAGCGATGGGCTTGGGTCAGGCTATTGCTATGGGAAGCGGCAGGCTGTATATATGGGTAGATGTACATGGAAGCAAGGGCTAAAGAGAGACATTACGACGAGTACGTGCACGCTCTAGTAGCGACAGTAGTATATAAGGAATTCCGGAACCCCACCACCCAGAGACAGATAATTCCGCCCATCACCAGACCTTGGGCCCAAAAGTCTGACCCTCGGGAACCGGGCTTTGGATAGCGGTGTTCTGATTATCCATCGTCGTGGCCATGACAGTATTGCCCCTGCATGTTCATCAGCGACTTTCCGCATATCATCAAAAGAAAGGGGTACACTTACCACCACTGTGGCGGGTCAATCCGATTAATCGTAAAAATAAAGAAAATCGTCAGCGTACTAATCGCCAGCCCCGTATCCAACCCCACAGCAGTCAGATAATTCAACCTGGACCACCACCTAAAGTGCCTGGTCCTCACATACTTCTGGAAGATGAACCCGACAATGCCCCAGGTCATGTAGTTGAGCGGGCTCGCCGGCGGGATACCCTGGCCGCCGCCGAAGATGAGAGGCGTCATGGCGAAGCGAAGAGGACGGATTCTCTTGCCGGCGAAGTGAATGATGACGGTAATGATGGCGCCGGCGGGGAAGAAGAATAGGAGGGCGGCGTAGATTTGGCCCGGGCTGAACATGCGCTGCGGGCCAAGGAGACCCCAGATGATAGATGCGGAGTAGAAGACTCGACCACCAGGACAGGAGAAACGTTGTTTCTGCTCGAGGGTGCAGATGCCTTCGATGTTGTTTAGAGAGAAGTTCAACATGCCTGTATGATCCGTTAGTACGAACGAGAGGAGAAGAGACGGTCACTTACCGATTTGAACAAAGCACGAGAGCGTGGTCGCCACGACTTGGGCTGTGAACATGGTTCGCGGAGGGATTTTCATGTAGTGGCCACTACAAAGCCATTAGCAGATCGCACGACGTTATCATTGAAATGCGCTTACAATTTTAGGTCCCCAACGAATCCCAGTGCGCTACTTGCCGTGATGTAGCCATAAGTCTTGAACATCATGAGCGCCAAAGGCTTGCCGGGCTGCATGTACCCCATGATAAACTCCGTAATGACATTCAGTCCAATCTGCAAGTTCGTAATGGCCTGGATGATGCCAATTGGGAGCGACATGACGGTAGCAAAGATGATCGAAATCAGGAACGCCCACCACGTGAACTCTGTCGGGTAGGCGAGGACGACAACTAGAGACAGAGCAAACATCAGCAGGAAAAGCGCTCCGTACCACCACTCCGGTACTTCCTTATATTTTGACATGAGCCTCATATGGATATCTGCTTTCTCACTCTTCGAGTTCTTGAACTGACTAACGATGAGGTGGCGGTAATTGAGGTGCGTGTAGACAACGACTGATGCGATTGTTGCGAAGGATAAGCCATAGCTCAAGGAAAAGGTCGTAGATAGAAAGAGCGGAGAGTATCCCTTGTACGCCGCTTCGTTGAGCGTGAGCTGGGGCGTCGTAACGCGCGACGTATTATAGCTCAGACCTGTGTTGTCGTATGTTGTAGAATCGCTGCAGCGTCGTCAGTCATTTAGCCATATGGAGAGAAACGAAAGAGCTTACCTCATTGGGAGGAACTTCGCATACCATGCGCCGCTGTAGTGGAGACCGAGCGATCCGATAATGTAGAAAATAAAGATGCCGCTTAATGTGTTTGCAATTGCATGCCATGGTGGAATCATTGGATTTCCAGTGAAACCAGTTATTGTAGTCCAGTCAAAGGTCAATGGTAGCAGACCCAGACCTGTGGTGCCTCCAAAAACTTGGTTCACAACAGGGCTTTGCGGGAAGGCCTGCAGTGTAGGGTACGTTAGCAAGTGTATCAGGAAAGGTGTTCAGAGCCCTAAGGATACGTACCCAGGTCATGAATACGAAGATGCTTAGGAACTATGGTGCGTCAGTCATACCACCTCAGTCAGCAACTCGGGTTGAAATATACCTGTGCGAGAAACCCAGGAATCCAGTAGTAGATATAAGACACCAAGAAGATGACACCGAACCACTTGTACTTCGACATATTCCCGCCAAAAACGGTAGGGTCGAGATCCTCTTCCTTCTCATGCATCGCATGCAGCAGGCTAACGCTGACCAGATTGCTCGGCCAGATCATAGCTGCCGGGTACACCAGGAAACGGCGCAGGATACCAGCGATACCATATCCGACGCTTGATGTTGTAATGGTCAGAAGCAGCTGGAATGCGATTCCGAAATCCTGCTTGTAGAAGACCTTCTGAGCCAGAATGATATCCGTGGCGTACGCGGTGCCGAAGGACACGTTGGCCATGACGACGATGATGGCATGCTCTTTAACGTTGAAGGGTCCCGGGTTGAGGTTCCATTTGATGCCATATGTGGTGTACTGCTTGGAGGGAATGAACCTGGCCCAAGCATTTCCGAGCACGTACGCGATGAGCTAGAAAAATGTCAGCGAAGTGATTCATGCTATGGCAGGGAACATACTTGAGCGACGATGACACCAACGCCAATGACAGGGTTTCGGAGAGAAAAGATAGTGTTGACAGCTGCTCCAAAGACGGACAGCAGTAGACCCAGGACCCAGGCTCGAATTGTGTTGGCTGGCAAGTCCTCATCGTAGTTGGGGACAGCCGCTCTGACCTCCTCATAAGGTGAATTCTCCTTCTCCTTCTCTGCTTCAGGGAGTGCGTATACGGACTCGGTGTCCCTGTGGAGAGGCACTTCATCCGTGAGGATGGATACGTTATCTTTCTGTAGTGAGTCCTTGTCGGTGCTGTAGATTGAAGCCCATCCGTCGTCCGGCATGTTCAGGTCCCATGACGTTAGCCGCTTCTCCAGCGCTTGCAGTGGAGTAGACTTTCTCGAGAGGATGCTGCTCGAAGTGGAAGACCTCTTCTCCATGTTTGCGGTCTAAAGGAAACGAAACTGCTCGGGGAACCAGCCCACAAGATCTCTAGAATTAGAATTACAAAAGAGTACCAAGTAAAGAGTGAGCACTGCTCAAGCGAGAAACGAAAAGGCGAACATGAGGAGACTCAAGATGAACCGAGCATCACGAGTATGAATAGAAAGAGCAGAAGGGGTCCATTGTCGGTACTGACGAACCCGTCGCTAGCCAATGTTCATTGTGCTTCATCCTTATCAGTGACCTCTCAGAGCACAGTACGGGTCTCGTACGGGTCTCGGTGATCTTCCGACCGTCGACCCAGGCCTCGGCGAAGGTGCGACGAGGTAGGAAAGCATCGCCGCTAGATTTAAGACGTTCTTTCCTATATGCTCCCCGGGAACAACGTCTCCATGAGTGGCGTCTATATCGGGTAGTGCCAGGGTTTCAGGCGCGATAGTGATGCGCTCCGCGCTTTTTGCCGTGGATAAGCCTGCAACGGGAAAGCTGCAAAAACCGGTTCCCGGTGAAGGCGTCTTTGAGAGACGCATTTGAAACCACTGAGCCATGTCCATTGTGTCCTTTGAGGCTGTTTTCGGTGTCAAGCGCTGGGAACTCTAGACCAAACAGCGCCTCAAAGCGGAGCAAGCCATTCTCGCTGTAGCTCGTTTCTGCCATGGCTTGGATGAAGGAATCAAGCTTCGACATTTCGTGGAGTACGCAGAAACGTGAAACCGAGATACTACGGAAGCTCTCGTGGACATGTATCGTTATCGGATACCCCACATTGGGTGGCGTAACTCAAGTGGTGATGGAACTTCCCGCGCCAGCACACCATCGGACAAACTGCTAAGATAGTCAGTGATGCTCATGCACTGGTGGCTCTTGCATGGTTTTGAGAAGCGTGGAACTCAATACTGCCCAAGTCAAAGGTGGCCCAGTATTCATGCATGGTAGGAAGTCCAACATGAACTCGACCAACACTTTCCAGTGACGCTGCAATTACCGGAGTGCATTTACTAGAGTGTGTCTCTTCAGGATGCCACTTCGTTTTAACTGACTGCAATTCTAGGCAGCAAGTGACACAGTGAAGCCTGAGCCACTCGACCAACTGCCCGGTAGAGAACAGACATCCAAAAGCTTGCTAGTGGGACATAAACGAAGCGTGGGACGCGTGGAAGCATTGATGATCGTCAGAGGTGGGTCGCAGGATGTTTCAACATTTGTGTTCAACCGGGCTCCCGGATAGGCGCTGCGGGACGTCTATTCATCCATCAAGATAAGCGATTTGCGCCGGGAAGGATTTGACAGGCCGGCAGAGAGGAAGAGGATTTGGAAGAGGATGACGGAGTGATGGAGAGTAGTCTCAGTAGTGAGGGATAGCGGATGGAAAGGAGTTGTAGTTCGCGACGCTATCGATAAGAAACAACGCTAGCCATTTTGAAACACCTTACGACTTCTGCTCCCCTTGCCTCGATTTCAAGAGGAAATTGTCCATTCTCATCATTTAAAAATTAACGGCACGAAGCAGGTGCTCGCAGGGAAGAGGAATAAGATGAATCGCACCTCCAAGTGAGGTTGAGGCTTTCATTTCGAGATTGGACCCAGGGTTTTCCGTTGTCCGATAGGCAACGTGTCCATCGCAATGCAGGTACCGTTCCACGCTGCCATGGTATGAATGCATGTTCTCCAAGGGCGCAATGGGAAAGCCTCTCATATCTTCCGCATCAGTATTGCCGTCTGCGTAGTTCCTCGTGGAACGCTCGGGTCGGCAGTACAGTCCTTTGCCGATTTCTCCCCCGCATCCGCGTCCTCTCTCAAACCACGCACAGAGTTCCGACTTCGAGCTATACTGACAATGAAAATTCTCTGCCATCACACATCTCCATATCCAAAGCAGTTAGGTTGAGTCCTTTCGCGCCAATTGGACAGCTCGTACAATTCTTCCCAAACAGGCATAGTCCGTCCCACTACACGAGACCTCAAGGCCTCAGGAGATGCGCATGTCCAACGTCAAATTTTCGATACTGACCAAAAGAGACGTGCAGATCGGAAGAGATCGGGCAAGGCAGCATAGAACGGCGGTGTTTGACGCCGGCACCCCCGATATCCAACATGTATATAAAGCGCACCGCTCAAGCCTAAGGAAGGTATCCCTCGCCTTAGAAGACGAGCCCTCGCATTCTCAAAACAACCTCTAAAACTCGTCCACCCGAGACAAATCAACGATGTCCCACTCCACCACAGCCTTCCTCTTCGTCCCCGGCGCCTGGTGCCCCTCCACCTACTACTCCAAAGTAGTCTCCCTCCTCACGGCGCAGGGCTACACCGCGTTCGCCTTCAACCTGCCCTCGTGCGGCAAAAAGGACACGGTCCCCACCTTCGCGGATGACGTCACTCACATCCGCTCGCACGCTACTTCCCTCCTCGACGCCGGCAAAGATGTCGTCATCGTCGGGAACTCGTACGGCGGCTTCGTCACGCTCGAATCGTGCAAGGGGCTCGCGAAGAAAGACCGCGAGGCGGACGGCAAGACCGGTGGAACGCTGAAAGGTATAATACTCATTGGATCGTTCCTCGCCGAGGTAGGCAACACGATGAAAGAGCTCACCGCGGGCCACGTGCCACTCCCGCCCGATCTGTCCGACCCGTGGATCGAGCCCGTGCCCGGCGACGCGGGTTACCGGTTCTTGTGCGGTTCGCTGCCGGAGGAAGAAGGCTTGAAGTGGGGTAATATGGTGCGCGCGCAGTGCGTGGCGCCGTTCGTGGAGCCCCTGACTTATGCGGCGTACGAGGAGGTGCCGACGACGATGGTTATTGGGGGGAAGGATGTGGCGCTGCCGCCGGATGTGCAGCATGAGAGTTTTAGGAAGGCGGAGGAGAGGGGGGCGAAGGGTCTGAGGAAGGTGGTGATTGAGGGGGCGGATCATTGTGCTATGTTGAATAGTCCGGAGGAGGTTGCGCGGGTTTGTGTTGAGGCGGCAGAGTGAGGTTACTGGAGGGGATCCTGATGGGTTCGGACTTTTAGCATGCCTATGCTACCTCGCATTGGAGGCCGCTCCAGTCACCTTGAAGAAATGCAGTCATAGTCCTCTAGCACCTTCGGCTCGTTCATATCTTCGAAGCACCCCTCACTTCCGTAACACCCAAATCCCTGCTCGGCGGCGTCTCCACGAAGCTGCTTCTTCCTTCCCACTTCCCCATCCACTCTTCCAACTTTGATCTACCCTTTCTCCAGTCCACCGCAAGATAGACAATCGACTCCGTCATCGCAGTTGCAACCACAACCGCAATTTCATCCGCTGACGCAGGCGAGCCATCTTGTGGCGCAGTCAGAATGCCCTCCTTTGCAGCACTCTCGAAGCGATCTAGACCCCTCAGAACCTTCAGCTTCTGTCCTCAATCCATTCGCTGAACTTCAGGCCGCGCTGCTTACGAATGCGAAGCTCATACGTTATGAGGATGGCAGCATCCATAATCCATCCGCGCAAGCGTGGAGGGTATGAAACCGCCAGTATCGGCTATCCTTCTTCGGATCCAACCCAGCCAGGTTGGTGAGGTAATCGCAGATCGTTCGTTGAGTCGAATATCCCATCTGGTACATCCTCCGGTACCAGGCATGGAATCTTAGCCATGGGATTGTACACGGCGACATCTTCATTGTTGTCGCTCCACCCAGGGAATGGGATGGGGCATACGACGACTTTTTGAAGGGTGATGTGCTGCGCTAGACCGAGCTCGAGGGCTAGCATGTAGACTTTGCGGGTATATGGGGAGCCGTGGTGGGAGATGAGGCGCATCTTAGGGATCTTCTTGGGTTTGATCAGAGAAGGTCCCAATGTTGCGCTCAGTGGTAGCTTGTTGATACGGAAGTTCCAGCGCGGGAAGTGCAGATGAAGTCCCTACGAATTGCGGATAACGACCTCGGTCAGAGCCAGCCCAATAATAGCCCCGCAGTCTTTGTGAGCTGATCCGTAGTCCGAGGCAAAGGTTTCGACTTTATCTCCAGGCTTGAGGCACAATGGATCCCCTTGGATGATTTCCACCGGTTCTGGTTGGGCAGAAGTGTTCATCACCCGGTCGCACATTGCGTCTCGCTCAAGCCTCGTCGGCTTCGGACTTAGAGTTTTCTTCCTCTCGACTTCGTCCTTGAACCTACGCACCCATGCGAAGGTCATAGGCAACTCCCTCTCGCTCACGAATTCCTCAGACAATGACCCTTTCATCCAGCGATCAGCGACCAGCTATGCAAAAGGCCAACCCGCGTCGATGTCCGCGAGCGTTGGTTCGTCACCCCCCAGTATCCATTTCCTCCCATCTGCGAGGAATGTAGTCTCTAAGATATCGAAGGCTTGGCGTAGGTGCTGGAGCCTGTCTGGGCGATTGGCCTCCATATGTTTCGTTGTCATACGACGACCAGTAAGCCGTTCTCTGTCATCCAAGAAGGCTTTGTCCTGTATTAAGCCGTTTGGCGTCCAGTACGGCATCATCTTAACCGCATTCCAAAAGACTCCGCCTTCAATGGTCCAGTTTTCAAGGAGCTTGCGAATGCCCACTTCAGTGGGTGTACGCGGCGTCAATGCGCTATTTGGATAAAGCGATTCAAGCTTCGCGATTATCAGGCGCGAGTCGCAGTAGACATCCCTTCCGATCGCCATGACTGGGATGCGGCGGTAGTTGACATCGATAGAGGCCAGGTCAGGGCGCGGCATGAGATGAGATTGGATCTGTATTGATGATGGTGATTAAGCCGATTTCGAACAGCTTTCGAACAGAGGCCTGACGCATTCATCATAGGGTATGCCGCGAAGCCACAGGTACCAGAGCACTCGATGAGAGAAAATGGAAGGCGGGTGGTGGAACAAGATTGGCTTTTCTGCCGATGGCACGATCGTAGTTTGTGAGGTTGGAGTCTGTTTGGGTGCTCTAGCTGTCGGTTTGATACGTTATATAAATATATCTCTTCATGCTTTGTGGATGTTGCTTTACCCCACATGCCGTGTAGGCCGAGGATTCGGTCTAAGCGAGTCAGGCTCCAGGTCGATGACGTCGATCTCCATAGGAAAGGCGCGAATACACGCAACTGGCCAGAACACACAAGATCTGACCTTCGGACGCGAATCCCAAACAGGATCCCTTCTGCTCCCACATACTGGAATGCCCTCGAACGCCCTGAATAGAGCTTAATCGTAATCCTTCAGCTGCTCCTGAGTCCAATCCCATAGCTTCTTGGCCAGCGCCTCATCCTCAGTATAGGCCATGGCTGCGGCGCGTACGCCAACCGGGGTGTAGAATCTTCCCGACTCAATCTTGCTCTTCTCAGCCGTAGCAGCCCAGCATGCATTGTATGCTCCCTCCTCCAACGAATAAGACTTCCACCAAGTCAAAAGCCTCAAGAACATACGATCCAGGAATCCTAAGTTGCTGAGAAGACCAGTCCATACCGTACCGGGCTCCAGGGAAGCTGTTGTAAGCCATGGATACCGTTTCGCCAACTCCCAAGTATACAGAATATTGGCAAGCTTGCTTTGACCGTACCGTATCCACTTCGCCGTCATACCGAGGTCATCCTGAGTCGTGCGAAGTCCATCGAATGCAATCCCGCCCGGAGCAGTATGGGCTGCTGCTAGCGAGGCAACCGAAACCATCCTTGCTTCGCCCTGCTCTTTCGCAGTTCGCTCTAGCAGCGGCAGCAAAAGCTTGATGAAGAGCGCATGACTGAGGTGATTGATGCCAAATTGAATTTCGTACTCATCTTTGGTGAGGCGTGGAGGAATTGCCATGACTCCAGCATTGCTTACGAGGACGTCGAGGCGATCCGTGTGTGATAAGAGCTGGTGGGCGACAGCTCGCACGGATTCCAAGCTTGTGTGATCGCATTCAAGGAACGTGGCTTTGTCGCTTCCCACTTCCTCGATGAGGTCCTTCGCATTCTCTACGTTGCGGCCAGTGAAGTAAATGTGGGATGGATTGCCATACGCGCTCAAAGTGAGAATGGCCTGCCGGCCCAGTCCGCTAGTTCCTGAGAAAGTGAGTTTCACATCGAAGAGGCCCAGGGCTCGCATACACACCGCCTGTAATGAAGAACACTTTGCCTTTAAGGTTCGGAATGTCCTTTTGGGGTAGATACTTGGGTCGAAAGAGAAAGGGCATGATGACTGGACAAGGTGTGGTCTCTTTGGAGGCAGAGTGGCCTAGGTGGCTCTTCCTTCATCAATGCCCGCACGCGCCGATCGCCGGACCCGCTTGGAATTTTGTAGGAAGCGCTACGCCGCCCAGTCGTAAGTTTCCGTAGAGAAGCCCTGAGGCATCGTGGCTGAAAACACGACGAAAAAGGGCGGGTGAGGTAGGACGAACAGAGAGGGCACAGCAAGAGTCCGCGCTGCTTATTTGTGGTCTGTGCGCTGACCAGGGGCAGTCGCGATCAGAACTCCAAACACCTGGCGTCGGAATCATCGCGTCTCCCTTCCCAACACCATCCACGTCATGGACTATCGCGTTCTTCTGGGCCTGGTTTGGTGTGCTATTGCATCCTGATATCTCACGCCCGCGTTCCCAGCATGTCTCCAAACGCCCGGCGAGCGGTACCGGCGGCCGTCGCCCTGCTGCTATTGGTTCTCTTCTGGCATAACCACGGCGCGCGACATTCTCCATACCCGCTCGTCCCGTTGGACGGTAATGACGCTGTCGGGACCAACGGAAAGCCCCCTTTCTATCCCGGAATTGCCAAACCACCGGGTTCAAACTATACCCGAATATTGGTCGTGCCCAAGACGAAAGACGAAGACATCAGCTGGATCCAGATTGAATTACCGGAACTGCAAACCGCCATCTACGAGGTCGACAAACCAGACGCAAAACTCCAAATACCGAAGAACAAAGGCCACGAGGCGATGGTATACTTGTCCTTCATCATCGACCATTACGACAGCCTTCCCGACACCATTATTTTCGTGCATGCTCACAAAGGAGCGTGGCATAACAACATCTTACTGGACCTGGATACGCCCACGACTATCAAGCGGCTTCGCGATGACCGCGTTGCTCGCCAAGGTTACATGAACCTCCGATGCCATCATGACCCGGGGTGTCCTGACTGGATACACCTCGACAGAGCCAAAGTGGATTTCGACGAGCGCATCAAGCCCGAAGAGAAGCAGTTCAGCTTCGAGCTGTTTCAGGAGATGTTCCCTGGTCATCGGCCTCCACCAGTCCTTTCGCAGGCTTGCTGCGCTCAGCTCGCCGTAAGCCGGGAGCGAGTAAGAGACAACCCGAAGGCTCTGTACGAACACCTTCGAAGCTGGCTCCTCGCCACACGTCTTGAAGACAAAGATTCCGGTCGCGTGTTTGAGTATATGTGGCAGTATCTGTTTACCCGAAACGCCGAGCACTGTCCGTCCATAAATGCGTGTTATTGCGATGGCTATGGAATCTGCTTTGGCAGCGCGGCGAATCTGGACGCTTGGCTCAAGAAACTGCGGAAGAGAGAGCTGGCCGATGAGGAATACGATAGGGCGAAGAAGGAGGGCAAAGATCTGACGACGATGGAAGAGATCAATAGTCGGAGGAAAACGTTGAACAGGGAGCTCAATCAAGAGAAGGTAGAGGCTTACAAGAAGGGAGATGACGAGATGAACAGGGCGCTGGAACGCGAACGGTTACCGGAGTACACCTACACTTGAGCAGCCCTAGCGGTTGCAGGTTTAAGGCATGGGGATACATTATCATAGAGATTGAAAAGCATGTTCGATTGCCCATAGTTCCCGCACTCTACCTAAACTAACCTGCTTCAGCTGCTCAATCCTCCCAAAACACGTTCCTACTACGAAACCACGATGCCATCAACGAAAGTCCGCGCAGCAGCGAGTCTTCATCCTCGCACGGCACAGCTAAAATCCGGCAACAAGCATACCAGCTATTCCCACGACCGCGGCGCCATAGACATTCGGCCCAGCCGTCGGACCTGAGCCTTCAGAAGCTACACAACCGGTAAGCAACACTCTTCACTGAAGGCAGGACAGTACTCACAAATCGCCGTAGCAACATTTTCAAACCCACCCGTAACCGTAATCGGCGAAATACTCGCAAAGTCTTCGCCAGACATTGGCCCAACCGTACTACTGGTATTCGTGCCGTCAGTAAAGATACCCGTGCACGTCCCCGCCGTGCCCTGCGTAGTCGTGCAATCAACTTCCACGCCCGTGTATGTTCCGTTGGCGGTGAGGCCAAAGGTCGCGCCTAGCGTCGATGCTCCCGAGACCCCGGTGAAGGAGTACCCGGTGGATATGTCCTCGCATTCCGAGGTCAGGGAGGCGGGGCAGCGGAGAGAGTAGGTGGTCGCGGTTGCGTCGCCAGTGATGATAGAGGCGACGTAGTAGGTCTCGACCATGATGAGGCTGACGACGGGTTGTTGTTGGGATTGGGCGAGGATGGCGGGGAGGAGGGAGAGAGTGAGGAGGGCTTCGAGGAGCATTGTGGATGGGCTGTGGTACACGATTCTCGCTATTGGGAGTTGAGATGTTTGAAGAAAATAGCGGGCAGAGAGTCGTAGTATCGATTCGGAATTTATAGCCTCGAATAGCCCCCATGACGCTTGAAGCCACAATCCTCCTACCCCGCCGGCGAGGCCGCATCGAGTGTCTCGACGTAGCACGGCAGCTTTATCACCATCGACAGCGTCAGCAGTCATCCCTCAACATCGCATACAACCGCATAGCGAATCGCTCTCCTTCGAATTATCTCAGTACATACCTTTACGTAACCGAGCCCGTCGCCCTTACTTGATGCGTATGGTACAGTAGAGAAATGGCTGAAGCAAGCGAGGTAGGCTGTGGTGATATATCTGGGGGCCATGGCGCCGATTTTTCCGTTTCCGGCGAAAATCCTCTGTCCCCGCATCACAACTCGACCGCGGGGCATCCATAGAATACGGATCGGTCCCTTCTAGTATCGCATATGGGGCATGGAGCCAATCGTTGCTTTGCTCGAGGTTTATCTTTTGCCAGTTCCGGCGATTCTGGACCCGCAATACGGCTGTGACACGGTGACGGGCGCGGTGTATGCGAGAGTGAGCAGCTGTCGAGGAGAAATTTGCGGCTATCAATGCGATGATATGGGATGATTGTGAGGGGGGCTATGGTGAACACCTCGTGCCGGGTCTGCGTGTATCTAGCCTGTCGAATGACTGGCTACTGACTTGGAGGAGCCCCGGGGCGAGGATAGACTCTGCACCTCCATGGGTTCCAAAGGAAAGATGGAGGAGTAAGTTTCAGGCAATGTAATCAAGCAATCGAAGCTTTTCATGCTTGCTTGGAGCTACACAGCCAAGCGGACGAGGCTGGGGTACAGGCCGTGAGGTCGGGCTCCAGGGAAAGGATAGTAAAGATTGTAGATACTAGGCAGGGCCTCGGTGGGAAATAGACTCATGCTAGGGCCGCCTTGCTGATGCTATACCTGCGTTCCGTGTTGTATGCAGCTGACACGGTTAGGACGAGACACTTGCGCGTGTGCATTTGCAAGTGTCTTCCTTGTCTTCCACAGTTGAAGGGGGAGTAACGCGTAATTGACGACCGTCGCGCACGGACCTTGTAGCTCCGCACCGCGAATTCCGACCACCACTCCGACAACCCACCACCACTCTCTTGCCGGACACCAATTCGTCGTCCAGTGTACGTTTCATCTAAAATCATCGACGATAAGTGGCGGTGCGGAGAACAGCTTCCGCCCCCGCCATAAGCCACAATGGCTGAAGGGCAGCTGCCGCCTCATTGACTCACCAGCAATGAGATTGATATACAGCCCACACTCCGTTTCTAGCCAGAACAACAGATTGTCTCTCTCCTGGATACACAAATGACACCACCTCCTCTTTCTTGGGCTGCCGTCGCCCGCGAAAACATGCCGAACGTGTCGCGAAATACAACGCTCTCCAACGCGCCCTCCGCTCCGAACCCCACGGCCTCCCCTTCCACCAAACCGCAACCCGCAACAGCAACCCCGCCGCCTCGTGTAGCATTCATCTCAGGCCATATCGAAATTACGCCTGGTCAGTTCTCGGCGAACTACGCCGGCGCTCTGGACGCTGCAATACGCCGCGGCGATGCATTCGCCCCGTCCAACGCCGGCGGTGTGGACACGCTTGCCCTCGCATACCTTCGCACCCACCGCGTCTCCCCCTCCCGCATCACGATATATTTGCATAGGCCTCGACCCAATCGCAAACTCAACGCCACCCAAGACCGTATAAACAAAATGAGATTGGGGCCAGAGGTCGAGGAGAAGTACCGCAAGCAGGGTTACAACATAAGGGTCATTCAGGGCTATCACACTGAGCGGGACGCTGCAATGACCGAGGCCAGCGACTACGATATACTGTGGGTGCGAGGCGACGCGGAGACAGCTGCCCTATATGGCAGCAAGTATCGGCCGGGACGAATCAGCGGCACGCAGAAGAATAGGGATAGGAGGCTATTGAAGGACAAGAGAACAGGTACGCCGAGCGTCACCTAAGCTCCATCAAACGGCTCGGGAGGTTACCGGGCGCTTCCTTCGCTCAGTTCCGGGCGTGCCTGATCTCCACTACCGATAAGGAATGACGCCCGCGGAGATCATGATGCAGGGCCACGGCGCAAACCCCTACCATCTCCACGATCCAGGCGCTTCCCCTACCCGGTACGAAGCTCCATATCGTTCGCGACACCTCGAGCTGCACATGTCGACCACGTTGCAGGCCCATGTGCATTTGCGCAGGTGTCTTATTGCACTAGCACCGTCCTTATTTGGCCTTAGCTACATGCCCCTCCAGTTGAAGCTCTCCACTTAGTCCTCTGGAGTTGCGCGGTAGTACATATGCAACATTTCGAACGGTGTCCAATCAGAAGGCGTCTTTCTGTCCTTCCCCATTCGTTTCGTTCTTCATTTCCGTTCGTGGCTGGATGCGGTTAGCGCCTGCTTTGGCTGCCGCACTCCCTTCAACCTTCATTCAACCTTCTCTTTCCTGTCGCGTCACAAGTCGTCTGCCCGCTCTCTTATCTTCACCACCACCGTCAGAACGCTTGCTCTTCGCTACAGACCGCGCATCCCTCGATCAGGCGGTCGCACAGCCTGACACTTCAAATACATCCAAGACATCGGTCATGTGCTTTCCTCCAATGACAACGATAAGGCGGGGTACGGATACCCCTACCGCACCCGTCCATGGGTCCGGCGTTTAGACTCGGGCCTCGCGCCCTCCTACAAAAGGCGCTTCAATCTAACCATCCCGGCTTAGGTGGTATCACAAGCCGCCATAGCATCTGTAACGTGCCTTCCTTCCACCCACTCGCTTTCTCCCCGTTACATCCCAAGCCTTATCTACCTGCCAGATCTTCAGATGCGGTTACCTGTGACATTTCGCACGTATGTGGTCTCTCTTCTACGCGCGCTCTCCTGCAGCGCGCCGTAAATCATTACCATTAGCGCAACGGCATTGCCAATGAAGTCGAATACGCCTCGCCTTCGCAGGAGGCCAATCTCTTGAGCATGTACCCCTTTGTATGGGTACATCTCAACACCATAGTCGCTATCCCTAGGCGACCTTGCAGCGAGTGGGATGACAACCCCATCTGGCCGTCTGACCTTATCGAAGCAGCTCTCAGAAGTACGTCCGGGCTGGGCTCATCCGACGTTGCTGCAGTTTGTCCCTTGGATCTCGATGGAATTGCCTCTCGTTGAGCAGCGGAGCATTAACCAGAACATGTCCCCACCTCACAGATGTACTTGTATTGATTCTAAGGTTGAGCGATTATAGCTGAATTTGGGTACGAAGGGGCGAGCGTCGTCTCTATCTAGGTACAGTATTCTCTATCCTGCTCTTCTTCTCGACTGGCTCGCTTCGCGGTGCGTCACTTTATCCGCCCCCTTCCAGATCGATCCATCTAGCCAGGCGCCGCCGTTTGGTCGGCTATTACTCTATTTGGGGATGCCGCCCCCTGTAAATTATGCAAATCAGTGTCCACGCTATAACGGCCACACGACATCCTGCCAGGCGCACACCGCGGACTTCAACGACGACGAGCTGCTGCGCGCTGCAGGACGCTATCAGAGCCCTTGCTCCGCTGTCCGGAGAGATTATCACGATGCAAGAGCAGTTGCACTTTCCCTGCAGGTCCCAGGGCCGCTTTGCGGTGCCATTGGCGGGTAGTCTCGCTTCAGCGGGAGGCGTGATAGTAGGAGGTACCATTCATAAGGAGGACAATGTCAAAAGGACAGGGTCATTTACATCCGCCTTGCCGGGTAAGGGCAGGTAGTCGACTTTACAAATGCCATGGCAAGATACATACCCCCTTTAGGCGCCACATGTCCGGCCCAGCACGCGCGCACCTTTCTTCTTCTTAACGTTGCTTCCTTGTCGGGTCTCATTTCCAGTCGAGCGGTTGCATCTCTTTGGACTGAGCTGTTGCATTCTCATCTCTCATTCCCTCCCCCTTTCTTTCACAACGCGGCAGGCATCGGCGTTCCTTTCTCTTACCTAGGGTCACGGTAGCATCTGACTGCGTCCACACTCCTTGAGCCGATGGGCGCCCTATAAGAACGTCACTTATCACTCCTTATATCGATAGATTGGCTACCGCATCTCCTCCGCCCTCCAACCAACTGCACTCGACAAAATGCGCCTTCCAACTCTTGCAGCTCTTCTTCCGCTTGCTGGGCTGGCGAACGCCGCCGCTATACCTCAACCGGTCACTGACGTTGTGGAGCGCGCTGCTTTCGGGTACAAGAACGTAGCTTACTTTGTCAACTGGGTAACTGCCTCCCGTTATAGCCCATGTCCTTGAGCTCCCTTGCTAACAATTCCCCAGGCCATCTACGGACGCGCCTTCAACCCTCAAGACCTCCCCGCAAATGAGCTGACTCATGTGCTCTACGCCTTCGCCAATGTGCGGCCAGAGACGGGCGAGGTCTATCTCTCCGACACATGGGCCGATACTGACAAGCACTATCCGACCGACTCCTGGAATGACGTCGGAACCAACGTCTACGGCTGCGCCAAGCAGCTCTTCCTCCTGAAGAAGCAGAACCGCAAGCTCAAGGTGCTACTGTCGATCGGTGGTTGGACGTACTCAGCCAACTTCGCTAAGCCCATGAGCACTGCCGCCGGTAGGCAGAATTTTGCGAGCAGCGCTGTCGGTCTCCTACGGGATCTTGGCTTCGATGGACTGGACATCGACTGGGAATATCCTTCTGGTGAGTCACATGACGCATATCTGCCGAACCACTACTAACAGTCCCTCAGACGACAGCCAAGCCAACGACATGGTCTCCCTCCTCGCCGAAGTCCGTTCCCAGCTTGACTCCTACTCCGCCACCTACGGCAACGGCCAACACCTGCTCCTAACCGTCGCCTCCCCTGCCGGCCCGACTAACTACCAAAAGCTCAAGCTCGCCGCCATGGACAAGTACCTCGACTTCTGGAACCTGATGGCGTACGACTACGCTGGCTCGTGGGACAGCGTCGCTGGCCACCAGGCAAACCTCTACCCCTCGTCATCCAACCCTTCGTCCACGCCCTTCAACACGCAGCAAGCTATCGCCTACTACACCGCCAACGGCGTCCCAGCCTCCAAGATCGTAATGGGTATGCCGCTATATGGACGCGCGTTCCAGAACACTGATGGGCCCGGGAAAGCATTCTCTGGTGTGGGTCAGGGGACATGGGAGGCGGGTGTGTATGACTACAAGGCGCTGCCCCAGACTGGCGCGAGCGTGGTTACAGATACAAGTGTGCTTGCCAGCTACAGCTACGATTCCGCACAGAGGTTCATGATCAGCTACGACACGCCGGACATCATCTCCAGGAAGACTGCGCTTATCAAGTCGATGGGTCTGGGAGGCGGTATGTGGTGGGAGAGCAGCAGCGATAAGAAGGGCAGTGATAGTTTGATCTCAACGGTAAGTGCATGATCGCTCTTTTTCTCCATTGTTACAGGGCCTAATGATTTCTGCAGTACGTCAATGCCGTCGGCGGGACCGGCGCGCTGGATCAGAGCCAGAACTTGCTCAGCTTCCCGGTTTCGAAGTACGACAACATGAAGAGCGGGTTTCCGAACAACTAAAGCGGGTCGAGCGCCGAAACGACCTTAGCCGCCACCACAACACTTCCCATTCCTATCCACGGCCCATCGGTATGGCTATACCGAGGACTAACCTGCTCCACCTCACCACTCTTCCTCCCGTTCCTCCCGACGACCCTTCAGCACGGCTGTGTTCGGGGCCCCTGTCGCCACCTCACACATCTTTCACTATCACTACTTCCCCTTCAAGTATATATTTCGCATTCAGGGTCTAGGATGCTCGGCGGGTGCTGAGTGTCGCTATCTCATCACCCATTCATGGTTGTTTGGGTTTTCTTTTCTTTTCTTGTATCTACGTTCGTTTGACTCAAGACTTGCCGCCATCCATGTTTTCTTACATTTGGAGTTTTCGGGATAGAGGAGTAGATGTGTGATTCACATTTCACCTTTTTAGATTAGGGGCCATGATCAACTCATTGCATTATACTTACTTACGGTCCTCGCTCTCGCCTCCTGAAATGCCCATTACCATGCGCTCACTCGTTACTCCGGTGATCCCGTTGCTATGCGGCACTTCCCATTCACTCATTCTTTCCCCGACGTTTCGTGCCGCCGCCTACGTGAACTTCCTGGGAAAAAAACAATATCAGCATCTTCTATCCATCTTGCACGCAAAACCCTTGTTGACGGTGCGGCACAGTTCCTGCCTGGTTGACTTATCAGTGGCCGGACTGAACCTTGTTTCAGAAGCTGATGGGATACATTCCGGCGTGGGCCGCGAAGCGGGGTATCCCAGCTAGCGGCGCTGTGCGGCATTTCGGGTAAGTTTTAATTGGAGCTGCGACCTCCATCGCTCACATCTGATGAAGTTGCTGCCTAGTCTTGCCCATCGTCTTCGGTTATAGACGAACGTGAAAGCATATAATACGGTTAAACGGTGCTCTCTAGCCTTCAACACCGTCTGATTGTACCCTGTCATCTCTCCGTTGTATCGACCGAAGAACTTCCTGGTACTAGGTACTGCGATATTATCCAACAAAGTCAGTTATAATACTAATATTTATGCGCAGCTTAAAATGTGCGAAAGACACGAGGTCCGGGTGACTTATCAGAACTGCGCTGCGGAACCAAAGCATAAAATCACCAAATGGATTCCCGTGCCTTGTCCGACCAATTGCGGCAACTGGGTTGACAAAACGAATATGGGAACTTCGACCAACAGGACTGCTTGTATAATCCCCTAAGCCTAATATGCGATAGTGGCCAGACGCTGGGTCACACCGCCAAAACAACTTGCATTGCTTCCAACCTTTTCTGCTCCGTCGTGGCAAAACCAAAGGGTTTGCATTCTCACAATTGCCTATCAGACAATGGATAGGGATATCTATGTGGTACCCTATTTTCCCGACGGAGTGCAGCATATCATCACCACCGGCAGTAACCACTACATCGGCTTTGTCGACGAGTCAACAGTCTTAAAGTACCCACATTTCAAAGGAACTTCAGACGCTCTCGGCGTTGAATCGAAAATACTTCAGCGGCTCGGCAAGCACCCTCGCATCATCGAATTCAAAGGAGAACACGAGGACGGGTTGCTTTTAGAATATGCGCCAAACGGATCGTTGGAAAAGTATCTAAAAGAAACACAAGTTCCGATCAAAGAGAAGATCCGGCTCGCAAAAGAGACTGCAGAAGGCGTTGTATACGCTCATTGGAGCAACGTTCTAGGGCCTGATGGAGAAGTCCTTCTTTCTGGGGGAGCTTCAGAGAACGCAGAGTCCTTCATGCCTCGTTGCGACAAAGAGTTCGCGGACATCAGGACAGACATTTTCGCCCTTGGATCCACCATATATCATATCATAACCGGGCATCGGCCATTCCCACAATACGACACCATCGACGATGAAGCCAAGTTTGTGGAACTTTACCGCAAAGGGCACTTCCCTCCCCTAGATCCAGGGGTGGGTGGCGAAGTTGTTCAGAATTGCTGGAGAGGCAGATATAAGTCTGCGAGCGAGGTAGCCAATGATCTTATCCTCCTGCTAGAATAACCAGCGAAAGCGACGCAACGCCGATGCGACCACTGAGTAGAGCGAAAGATGGTCGTGGACGAACGGCAAATTTCAATGTCACAAAGGACAAGACCTTGTGAAAGAGCAGAGTGACACTCCTGCCGATGTGTGGATTTACTTTGGTGACGGCCGGCCTGGTCAGGAAGGGAAGAATTGGAAGCTGTGGATATTGGCAACCCGTGCAATCCTATATTCTTGATGGGAGTGTCTTTCCGTGCTCCAATTCCAATTTCTATTTCAGAGCTCTCCGGGAGCCGTGGAGTATTATACGCAGCCGTTTACATTATGAGTATCCCTAAAACTCGTCGACGCTAACCCCTGAAACGTTATCTTCCTCGTTAGTCTATTCTCCGTCTCTTATCTTCATTTTTACCATCGCGCCTGTTCGCTGTGCTATTCCGACCGCGGAGTAGAGCTTCATGAATCCCTATTGGTTGAAAAAGTTTACGAGCGATGGTAGATCCGCCGCCGATCGTCTTGTGCTTCTGCCACGTTATGAGGATAGAGTTCATGGCTTCCTCGTCTCTGCGAAGATGTCCCGCCTCTTGGTTTGGCGGACTTGTCTTTCTCCTGTCGCTCTTGCGGTACTCCTCTAGGTACTGCCGCACCGAACATCTCGATGCTTGTTTCTGGATGTACGCCGCCGCCTGTACGAGAGCACGCTGATTTGCCGATCGATCAGCTTTTGAAATTCTTCGTTCTTTCTTTCCCCTAGAACGAGCTTGATCTTGCTACTCAGGTCAAGCGCCCCAGCTGCGCCCCTATTGAGTTCCTGGATTGCGCTGTCCATTCTCGTGATAAGCATCCCGCAGCAAGTGATGGATGCGTCCAGGTCCATCGTGAGCTGAAAATGCTGCAGTCGTTCGTTCTCCGAGTCCAGCCATTGTTGAATTTTCGATAGAGCAGCTTTGAGTGCTGTTATCTGAGCTATCAGATTGAGTAGCGTGAAGCCGGCGTCTTTCCATCGGTCATGCAAATCGCGGAGGGCATTGATCGTCGTCGTCGCAACATCGATAATGTTCGCGATGGCGCCCGCAGTACCAATGACGGTAATGGGGTCCGCCATGGTAACCTGTCAACGTTTTCCGTGGACGTTCGAGGGGCCACGCAAGCGTGGAGGAAGGCTGATGTTGCGTGTCGGAAGGCTCTGACCCCGCGGCTTGGGCTTGCAGCTGGAAGGACGCAGGAGCCCCGGGCATCCAATCACCATGCGATGTGGCTATGCTTCCGGTGAGAGCATGCAAGGCGCACTTCGAATCTCAGGGCTTTTGCGAGGTTATGAGTGGCTGAAAGCTGACTGTGTCCCCATAACCCACACTCTAAGGTTCGGTTGGCTTAAACGCCTCCATTTCTAGACGATGTTGTCTCCAAATATGGAGGCCTCTAAGCGAGCGATTTTGGGAGCCCGGAAAAATCTTAGATCTGCGATCATTCCGTATTCATTACTTAATCCTGTAGTAAGTAGCCTAGTCGACGTTAAGGCTTCCCGCATCCTGGTTTTATTCCACTCTGAACTTCACAACCTACCCTCCTTTCTGCCTGCTTCCCGTGCGGTGGATCCGTGCTTGCTACTCTGCTACGCCATTTCTCATCGTTAGCACGAAGGGTAAGTATACCCGCGCAATGCTCCTAGTCTACATGATCCCTATCCGCCATGGATCTGCACTGTAAAGCGTCCGAGCACCTGACGCAGCAAGGAGCACGAACTGTAGCAATCGAGACGCTAGAAGTTTGGCAGAACTGAAACGAAGTTGAGCGTCAGACAGTGAGGCCTGCAGTAGCGCCAAGACTAACAACAGTGAACTTGATTAGTGGATACCGTAACGACAAGTCGTGGTGGCTGTTTACAGATTGGCTGCCTGATAACCTGTCGTCGCCGAATCGTCACAGCACAACAAAACCCGTTCGAAACAGGTGAAGGGTTCACTGTAAATGTGCGGAGCTAAGGATTATATCTACCGTCCGTTGCGACACCTCATGGCATCGATAGATCGTTATCCATCAAATCTCCTCTCAAAACATCAAGCACATGCATACGGCACCATGGGTGTACTGCGACCTTTAATGAGTCCGAGAGTCACTTATATCCCCAGGAGGTCTTTCACGGCTGCGCCACTTGCGATGGGTCCTCGGAAAACAACCCAGAGCCACGCCGGCCAGCAGAAGTTCTTCTTCTCTGCACCACTTGCAATGGGTCCTCGGGAAACAACCCAGAGCCACTCCGACCAGCAGAAGGTCTGCTTCTACTCGTAAATGAAGACCGCGCATTGACTGACACGGACGATAGAGAAAAGAGCAGCCAGCCAATCATAACAAGCATCGGACGGCGAAAGAAGATACTCGTCTTCCGGGTCTAATGTCGACAAGTGGAAAATTCGGGGGACGCTTTATTCGAGACCCTCGTGACCGCAGACTGGCGTCGATATTGAAACAACTCAAACGAGACTTAAGAGCATGGAAGCGATTCGGATAATAATTGGAAGAAGGAGCAGACTGGGCTTGGCTGAAGTGTAGATTTAACGGGTACGCGGGACGTAACCGGTTTCGATAACTGTGGAGATGGTCAAATGCTGTAGTGCGCATAGACAATCGTATCGGAAGGTGAAGCTGCTCCGGCCCGACACCGCGTAGTCGACCTGAAGCTTAACTACCACATGTACAACGATCGTGAGCGAGCGAAGGGGTACTGTGAATTCTGCCAAGGGAGGACAATCTCCCCAACGTTGTGCTTACAAACATTCGTCGGATCGCCTCAATCTTTTTCACCGTTGCCAGTGCTCATCTGATAGCAAGCGAGGATTGATTTTCTGGCTGGTATCGGAGTCTGTCGAAGGCGCTGGAGTTTGGGTGCCACACGTAGGATCGGTAGCTGCATCTGACGTCGTATCTGTAGTTTTCGTCGTGATCATCACGTCCACTGAGCAGTCGCTGCCAACAGCAACAGCTGCGGCTTCGGCGTCGGCTTGGAACTCGGACTCCATGGCTTCCTCATCCTTCTTTCGCTTCTAGGGGCCGATGGTTCGTCGAATCCCATCGTCCGAAAAATCGGGTTCAAATCGCAAAGACAGAGGAAGAGAGGTGAGGCAATTATCAAGGAGTGTATTTGCTTCATTCAGTTTATGTTCGTCTATGTAGGCATCTCATCGTTGTTCTCTTCCGCATTATTCCTCTATCCCTCCCTATCGTAAACATCTGATCTCATATGCGCAGACCCGTCTAACCAAAGTCCGGCCTGTGCCTAGCAACAGGCACCTGGAACCTCTTGCGACCAGAAATACACCAGTCAACCACCGCACCAATGATAATTGCACCGACGATCGGGCCAGCGTAGTTCATGTTTATGCCATCGACGGGCAGGAATCCCGGGAACGGCATCCAGATGAGGATATAGATAATGTAGCACATGGCTCCGATATTGACGAACGGTCCTGCTTTGCCGAGATGGAATGGCCCCCAGGGCACAGGTGTGGGATGCGAGCGCGACATGCGGCGCCAGAAGATGAAGAAGATGGGGAAGAAGTAGGACATGTATAACGCGAGCGCGGGGAGCGATATAAAGGCGTTGAACGCGGTGCTGGAGCCGATGTTGATGAGCGCGAGGATAGCAAGGCAAGACCCGACGAGGATGAGGGCGTTGAGCGGCATCTTGAGCGTTGGGTGAACTCTTGCGAAGAATGGGGAGAAGGGAAGGCCGTTGTCGCGTGAGAAGGCCCAGAGGAGGCGAGAGACCGAGGCGAAGACGTTGAAGAAGGAAACGAAGATGATAATTGCGAGCATGACCACGAAGAGGTTGGTGGCTGGCTTGGACTTCGTCGCCTGGTAGTAGACTTGGATGATTGGGAGGGGGTCTCCTGAGACTAAGTCGACGTCTCCTATTGTGAAGAGGACGGTGATCATGTACGCGAATTGCATGACAGCGTTGAGGACGACGGAGGCGATCATCGAGCGCGGAACTCGGATGCGACATTTCTTAACCTCATCAGACATGTGGAGGACACCGTCGAAACCTGATATCTCGTCAGCATTATGTGATCGTGGTTCTGGGGGAGGAACCATCTTACCGCTCAAAGGATATGTAACAGTGAGCAATCCAAGTCCCCAAGCTACAGCGGGATTCTGCCATCCGCTCACATCATGCGTCAAGGTGTGGAAGACGTATTCAACGGTACTTCGCTCAGCAAGAGTGACCAAAGTGACGATGCTAACAATGAAGAAGACCACATGGCAAATGGCACCCACGGCTTCGAGAGGATTTAGGAGCTTCCTAAACCAAAAGTTCGCGAAGAACGGGAATAGCGTGATGGCCCACATGATCAACGTGACGTGCCATCTTTCCGGGACGTAATTTGGGTTGTTGAAGATGGCGAGCCCGACTACCACGTTCGAGATGAGGGCCGGATTGGACGTGCAAGAACAGATCCAGCCGAAGACCGTGATCCATCCTACATAGAGTCGGAAACTTGAACGTGATGCTCGGGTGACGGGGACGTACCTTGCATGAGACCGAAGAATCTGTTCCATTTTGGTGCGAACATAGCCGACCATCGATACTGCGCACCGACCGTCGGGTCCCTGGGAGCATTCAGTAAGCGAGGGGCCAAAAGGGTCCGCAGGAATACGACGCTTACATGGACGCCAATTCGGCAAGTGAGGTAGCCACGAGGGTGGTTCCGATTCCTGCAAAGATGCTGCCATAGACGATAGAAGCTGGGCCGCCATTGCTGAGGGAGAACTGGAATGTCACTGCCGCAGCCTCCCAAGAGCACTGCAGAATGAACGAGAAGTTCACCGCAGACACCAAATTGATGTATCGCTAGAAGAGTCATGAGCGCTGATCGCAATTCAGTGTGAGCTATAAAGGTCGGGACATACCTCGAGAGCGCCGCCAGGCTGATGCGTCTTGACCCTCTCATCCTCAATTGCCTCTTGCATAGCAATCTCGTCCACTTCGCCGGCCCGGGTCGTCAACTCGACGTCCTTGTCCATCGCCATGTTGTCTCAACGCAAGATAAAGGAGAAGGGGATTCCAGCGCAGTGGGACGACAGGAACCACCATGCCCCGGCTTATTAAAACCACCGCTCGTCGGCTCATATACCTTACGATAAGCGGTCGGCACCTGCGGCGGGGAAAATTCCCAGACCCCAGCATGCCGGCAGAAGCGAGCAGGGGGAAGACGCAGGATGGTCGGCCGCTTTGTCAAACCGCATCGTATCCGAGTCGATGAAGATACTTTTTGCGCCTCGTCCCGCTGAGCACCGAATCAACGCGGCTGCGGAGCAGCACGAGCACGCGGCTGGCGACGCAACCGAGCAGTCGGTGAGCGTTCTGACCCAGGGCGAGGGAGAGAAGGGCTTCATTCGGCATTCTACCGCGAGAGGCTTTGCGGGCTGCAAGCGATGCCAATCAGCGCTCGCTCCGTGTGATCTTAATGCTCCTTTCGTGTCACAATGCAGCAGCGGTGCAGCTGACAGGGTTGGGATTCGGTGATGAGCGTCCACTCTGCCTCTGAGCGGCGGATGAGGGCGTGAAACATGGTCCCACCCGCATGGCCGGCCTCTTGCCACCGAAAGGGCTCCTGGTGATTACTGTGTATGCAGCGGAAGGGAGTCGTGGGAGCGTCGGCTGGACTCGTAATTGAGGCCGCAGCTGATGTGTAGTGGCGGGAGGGACGTCGAACAGACCGAGCGTCAGCTAGCGGAGCGGGTGGAACACCTGCCCCGGGCTAGCGCGGGATTCTGGCAGGCGCTGGCAGGCACACCCCGGCCGCGCCTTGCTTTTTCGGGCCACATCCCACGCGTCGCTCCTCCTTCGCTCCACACAACGCCCTCCACAAATCACCGAACGTGATCTCCGCACACACTCCGGCCCAGCTCCTTGCGTTCCGCGCCGTCCGCCGCAGCTACGGGCCCGTCCATTGGCCTGCTCTAGCAGAGCAGCTCCATGCCTGCTGATACTTTTTGCACTCGTTTCTGGACGGCTGCAGGAATGCCATTGAGAAAGCTGAAACATACTGCCTCTATCAACGCCTCACCTCGCCCGCCCGCCATGAGGTCGAGGAACTCGGAAGACGCCCTGCAACGCCCACTCGTCTAGTACATACTTCATGTCTCTCTTGCCTCCAGTGGTTAATCGCCGCCATTGGGTTTTGACATGACCATGGCAGATGGGCCGGGGGCCAAACCAGCGCTCCATCCGTTGACTCCGGACGACCGTGGCCCCATCATCATCATCGTTACTTATTCCTGGATCTTCATCACCTCTATCGTCGCATTCATTCGCTTTGGCCTCGCGTGGAACCAAAGGTTACGCTTCAAAGTTGACGATGGGACGTACCTCCTCGGGACGGTCAGTACCCCTTAACGCTGGCCTTTGCGGGCATTTCCTAAGCGTGCTCAGTCGCTTGTCGTCGCGAGCTCAGTGTGCTTCCTTATTGCCGCGAACAACGGTCTCGGGAAACGGATGAAGGATGTCGAGCAAGCTGATCTTGACGACTACTATAAGGTACGTGTCCTCGCAAAGATTGTGATTCGGTGACTGATGAGGAATCAGGCCATGTATGCGGGCGAATTATTGGCAATCGCCGCCATGGCGTCGGCAAAGACATCTGTCGTCCTGCTCAGCGACCGCGTGGCACCGCAAGAAACGCGCTCATACAACATCATGCTTGGCCTGGTGGCCTTTTGGAGCACATTCTCGATATTCGGTATTGCATTTCAATGCGGCCTCCCGGAGCCGTGGGTGTACATTCCTGACGACTGCCCAACCAAGGGCTATCTCTATTATCCTGTCATCATCCTAAACATCCTGACTGATGCCGTTCTTGCGGTATGGATTCTTCCGACGCTCTGGAAGCTTTTGATGGATACGGGAAAGCGCGTCACCGTTATGGTCTTATTTGGATTGCGCTTGGTGTAAGTGAAGTCGAAATTGATCGGGCGGGGCACTCTCTGATAATCGCAGTGTCTGTTGCTTTGCCGCTGTGCAGCTGTCCTCCGTCGCCCGACACATACGCGATGAGGACGTAACTTGTGGGTATACTTCTCCGAAAGATGGAATCCTACGCTAATCCTTCACAGATGAAGCGTTTGGCCGCGTTCTCTGGGGACTGTACGCAGCTTTCCTGCCCTGTAACATCCGATTGATCCGCTAACATTCCCAGCTGCACCGCACATATGTCGGTCCTACTAGCAACGCTCCCCCGAACCAACCGCTTCATCACAGCACTTCAGAGCATGCATACCTCAGCCCTCCTTACGGACTTTGAACTCGCGCACCCAAACGGGACGCGGCGGGTGCCGCCTAAGGACGTATCGTATGGTAACTCAGATGCCACAACGACTACGGCGCCCGAAGACGCTCACACCCGCTCACGTTCCCATTCCAACCAGCGCTCCCAGCGTTCCCAATCCCACTCGCCGTCGCGCAGCCATCGGTCTGCACAACCGCTTGTAGAAGTACCATTGCAGTTGACGCCTAGCGCGGAGCAGCATTTCAGCGCCGAAATCACAGCTCAAGTTCAGAGTGGCTCCCACGATGAGAGGAAACAGCAGAATTCGAGAAGGTACCATCTCGATGATTGGAGGAAGTACATGCCGCGAAGTAGCAAGAAGGAGGACAACATGAACGTATCGAGTATGTTCTCTTGGAGCTCGAGGACAAGCTACGGTCATGAGCGGATAGTGCAGACGAGGGAGGTCACTCAGGAGGTGGAAGTTGTGCCACCAAAGGAGTCAAGATGGGTTCTTTCGAAGCCTCGGAGGTTGAGTCGCGGATAACGGACTTTAGGTGGGAAGTGGTGCTTTGGCGTCGTTGTTCAGTCAGTACTGGGGGTCTTCGATGGCGTTTGGGCGGCTTGATGAGCGATACCCCATGCATTTCTAGCTATTACAGGCCTCGGCCTTCATTGATGGATACGCAGGGTACACAAAGGGCAATTGCGGAGCTTTGGCTCGGTTCGGATAAAATGGGATCTTTGCCGATAGACGGTCAAACCAAAATCTATCTCCCTCTAGCGCAAGCGCCTAGCCAAGCTAATGACAGCAGTGCCAAGATGAAAGCTGCAGCACGTGGAAAGGGCCGTGCACGATCGGCCCGATCTTCGTGCAACCTCCACACCGAAACTCCACAATGGCTTGGTATGGTATCGTTCCCCGTCCGGCCTGAATCGACCGATATGTCCCAGCCCGATGTGTCTCGCTTTGGCATGGAGTTGGAGCTCCTCGGGGCCATGTATCCGGATCAGATCGGCTTCAATTCTAAGCGCCGCGAGCTAAAGTTCACCGATCGCTCCGCTGTTCTCCAGCTCCGCATCCCAGAGCTCTACCCCGAAGTCGGCTCTCCGGACATTGTATCTGCAAGAGACGCAACGAAGAACGACGTGCGAGATCGCACAAAGGCAGGAATCCGGACGCTAAGGCTGGCAGAGGGAGAGGAAGCACTCGACGCAATCATCGCATGCTTCCAGCGCATCATAAAAGACACTAACGACACCACCACTACCCACACAGGCACAGACAGTTCCACCATCGCATCTACCTCCTCCTCCTCCGCCCCCGAGCCCGGCAAAACCGTCGTAATCTGGCTCCACCACCTCCTCGCCCTCTCCAAACGCAAGCTTGCGCTCTCGCACCCCTCGCTCTCTGGCGTCACGAAGCCCGGCTACCCAGGTGTCATGGTCTTCTCAGGGACCGCGCCCGCCGTCGCCGGGCATGTTAATACGCTGAAGGCGGAGAACTGGCAGGCGTTCCAGGTGCGGTATGAGGGCGATGAGCGGTGGAAGTTTGCGCATGGAGAGGGGATTAGGGAGGTGGAGAGTATGGCGGAGGTAGTTAAGGATGTTGAGGGAGGGGATGCGGAGGCGGGTGCGGAGGGAGGCGCGAGAAGGAAGGAGGAGTTTTTGAGGGCTGTGGGGATTAAGTGAGGGGCGGCGGAGGCGGAGGTTGATTGGGATACCGGGAGGTGTTTCGAGCAAGGAGCGGACCGGCGGCAAAGGTACCCGCCGGGACGCTAGGCGCAGGCATCTATCTATATGCTCAAAGACGCGCCGAAGATGACGGAGAGAGGGATGCCGTGTGCTGACCGCAGCTGCGGTCCGCTGGGAATACATCTTATTGGGCTCCCACTGAGATTGCTCTCTAGGTGAGACGCTGCATCGATATGCATCGCTTTTGGTACCACAGTACAGCGTGCGGAAGCATCCTACACCTTCCTAAATACCCAGTGAAGGTTTCAGAGCGTGTTAGATAGGCCTTGAAACGACGAGCGGGTTCTTTTAGCAAAAGGAACATCCTTCATGCGTTCGTGCTCTTTGACCGCTCGCCGATGGATGGCCGAGACATCGGAGGGGCGGCAGACGTGAAGCCACACTCACGCGCACGCTTTGCACTCCGCGAACGTTCACCGTAGGTGGGCACGCTACCGCAGCTCCCCAATTACGCTCAGCATGAATTGCGGGATGGGTGATGATGCGTGAGCGTAATTGTATGCGCGTCGAAAAGCCTTCCCCATCCTTGTATTGGATCACCCACTCACATAGCGCGGAAGACGTCCAGAGCTTCTGCAGTGCATCTCCGATCGTGAGACGCATTCACAGCTACAGTGCGCTAGAGGATGTAACTTGACCGGCTTGGCTAGGTCTCTCACGCGACATGGGCTGCTGTTGGACCAACCGCTCTTTGTCCCGCCGCGTGCAGGCGGCGTAGCTTACACCGTCTTTCACGCTGGGCGGTCACGGCTAGGGAATATTACTCATGTGAACCCAATCGAGGAGGGATATTGGTGCGGGCTGTGCCGGCTGATTGGCCTCAGTTCGCGATAAAGGTGTTCCGTCAGAAGCGCAGTGAAGTGCTTGCTTCTTTGACAAGAGCTAATCAGCACGTCGGCATTGCACGGCGCCCGTTGAAACAACTGTGACGTGAATGAATGCGTGCCCTTTATGAGCTAGCCTGGCCGCCTTTCTTGCCCGGTCAGCCCCTCGGGCGCGCATTGTGGGCGTCGCGGTGAAACTAATTCATCGCCCTAATCGAGCTTAGATCCGCGTATCGACGCGACCAGCTCGTGTGCGGACCGCCTCCACCCCAAACGCTCGCACACGTCCCGCTCGATTGTCCCGCGAAAGCACGCATCCCGCTCACCACGCTCTTCACTGCTGCTGCCACGAGCCCCCCGCGGAATGTGAGGAGGGTGCGAGCTCTGGAAGCGTGAACAGCCGCCCGCGACGACGCCCGCTGCATCTCCGCACCCGCACAAGAATCGCACCTCTCTTGGCCCCAGCATTTCCAAGCAGCACCAAGAATACGTCCCCTCGACCAAATCTCCTTCAACCCAGCTTCTTTGACGGAAGCGTACGGACGCCTGGCGAGGAGCGGTGTTGCCCACAATGAAGGCTGCTCCGCTTCTCGTGTCCTGGCACAACGAGAATGCCCCCATCTACTCCGCACATTTCGAGCCGCACGGCAAGGGACGTCTAGCCACGGCGGGAGGCGACAATAATGTGAGGGTATGTGCTCTGCAAAACTGCTCGCGGGGTAGCAGGGCATTGCTGACGGAGCACAGCTTTGGAGGGTCGAAGCCAACGGCGAGGAGCGGAAAGTCAGCTATCTTTCGACGCTCGTCAAGCACACGCAGGCTGTCAATGTCGTTCGATGGTGTCCTCGAGGTATGAGAGCGAAAACTAGGGTCAGAGACCACAGCTGACGGCAAACAGGCGAGGCCCTGGCCTCCGCCGGCGACGACGGCAACATCCTCCTCTGGGTTCCCGCCGAGAACCAGACGCACCACACCAACTTCGAGGAAGGCCTGGAAGACAAGGAGACGTGGCGGGTCAAGCACATGTGCAGGTCCATGGGCTCAGAAATATACGACCTAGCGTGGTCTCCCGATGGCGTCTTCTTCATCACAGGAAGCATGGACAACATTGCGCGGATATACAACGCTCAGACAGGTACGACGCTTGCCCAACGCAGCAACCAAACACACGCTTAAGAAAGACAGGAACATGTGTGCGCCAGATTGCTGAGCACAATCACTACGTACAAGGCGTGGCCTGGGATCCGCTCAACGAGTACGTTGCGACGCAGTCCTCGGATCGCTCGGTGCACATCTACACCCTGAAGACGAAAGACGGCCAGTTCTCACTAGCCCAGCACAGCAAAGTCACCAAAATGGATCTCCCTGCGCGACGAGTGTCCTCCAACAGCCCAGCGCCGCCCGACTTTGGTGGTCGAGCGTCCTTCGTTGCACACGAGTCGGGATTGGTTGCTGGCTCTCCGGTTCCGTCGGCACCTGGAACTCCCCAATCACTGGCGCTCCCGATGAATCCGCCTCCGACGTCGCACAGCCGCCGGTCGTCGTTTGGCTCGTCGCCTTCGATGCGGCGATCTGCCTCGCCGGCGCCGTCGATGCCTCTTCCTGCTGTTATGCCCAATTCGCCTAGCATTAGCAGCATCGGGACTACCGGAGTCAGGAATGCTCCCATCTACGCTAACGAGACCTTTACTTCTTTCTTCCGGCGGCTTACCTTCGCACCAGATGGAAGCTTGCTGTTCACTCCGGCTGGCCAGTACAAGACGCTGCATCCTGCGGTTGGCGATGCAGCAAAACCGACCGAAGACATCATCAACACCGTCTACATCTACACCCGAGCTGGCCTAAACAAGCCTCCAGTCGCTTATCTCCCAGGCCACAAGAAACCCTCCGTTGCTGTTCGGTGCTCCCCGGTGTACTACACCTTACGCCAAGCGATCCCTCCAACCAAACAAATCACGATTGACACCTCGTCAGCAGAGGATGAGATTCCCGCATTACCGGAACCCGCTATGCCGTCCAAGGCACCCACTTCGCATTCTTCCATGGAGCCGCCGCCTTTGACCAGCGCACCCTCACCTTCGCCGAGCTTGGCAGCTGCATCCCCGAAGCCTGCAGTTGATGGTGAGACACCAAACCCAGGCCCGCCGCCGGGGCCCATTTCGGCGTTTAGCCTGCCTTATCGGATGGTGTATGCTGTTGCAACGCAGGATGCGGTGCACATTTATGATACGCAGCAGCAGAAGCCGTTGTGTGTTGTTAGTAACCTGCACTTCGCTACCTTTACGGATCTCACATGGTAAGTCAATCCCGAGGTTATGCCTATTGCAGGGTACTGATGTATATCCAGGTCAAGTGACGGATCTACCCTGCTGATGAGCTCTTCCGATGGATTCTGCTCGTCGCTCACCTTTGCACCTGGCGAGCTAGGAGAGAAATACACAGGACCCCTCGCTAGCCAATCACGGCACCACCAAACGCCTTCTATCAACACGACTGCGTCGCAATCATCGAACCACTCCACCCCGACCCAGACACCCACGACGTCAAGCATGCCGGTCACTGCCACAGCTACCGCGCCAGCGATGCAGAAGCAGCCTTCCGCAGGGTTCCCGGCCTCTCCCAGCTCAATCATCCCAGCACGCCCAGGTAGTCCCACGAGAAGTAATTCGGTCTCGAGTATCGCTACCGCGTCCTCCTTCGCTCCAGGCGCAGGCGATTCAAGCGTCATGAATGCGCCTACTCCGGCCATGTCTTCAATACCAGGATTGGCAGCTGCAAATTCGGGACCTGTAGGGGCCATGCCTATGTGGACGCCACCTCTCACGCCGGCGCATGGACACGGCGGCACGCATAGCGCGAGCAGCTCTGTCAGCGGCATCCCGGGAATTAGTGGCAGTCTTCGACGAGAGAGCGAGTCCGAGCGGGAAGATGCGGCTTCTGCTCCAAGGAAGCGCGACTTGCACGCTGTACCAGAAGTTGAGGAAGGCAGGGAGCCTAAGAAGAGAAGGATAGCGCCAACGCCTGTCACTGTTGGCCCGGCTGACGCAGGCGAGAGCGCGATTGTGAGCACAGAAGAGAATACGCCAACCGCTCAAACGCCGTCGGCGCAGTAACAAGCAAGAAAGTAGAGCAGCAACGAGGAATACTTTCTCTTCTTGTCTAAGTAAACAGGTAGTAGTTCCGCTACATTTTCAGGTTAGGAGTTATGGAAGTGGAGCTGAGCGATACCCTCTCCTCCCAGCATGGCGTTCAGGACATGATGGCGGGTTGTTTTTGGGGTTCACTTCTTTTGAGAGATGAGATGAGAGGGTTATGTGTATACTTACTCCCCTTTATGTACGCCTACCTAGGCGGGATTCGTGGTCTCCGCTGTGTATGAGAAGAGAGACAGGGCGTTTATGCGTATATGAGTATGCCTGAATTCTAGCGGCAAGATACATTTTGCATCCGCCCTATGTGTCTTCAGAATTGCGTGCGCTCTGGGGAAAGTGGATATCTTCATCTCATGTCCCCGCTAATCGACGGGATGTGCGGTTTTCGCTCTGTTGCGGAGACCAAAATTCGCCGCGTGCTAGCGCTCCAGAGGGCTGTCGAAGAAGCAGCAGCTTCCGTCCGTCGCGGAGGGAGATGCGTCTATATGCAATGCTGCAAGAGCCGCGCCGATCAAATCGTTACTATATGTGTGAAGTGCCTGGGGGTGGAAAGGTCTTGGCTGGACTTCTCGTTCGCGCTAAAGATTGCAGTACAGAGAGGTGGGTTACCCCTGAGCAGCCCCGCCCTTCAAATCGTGCACCCGGAACTGACTTTCGCAAGGAACGCTGAGCGAGGCAGGGGAATGCGCAATCTATGTTACAAAAGCAAGGAAGATGCATGAGGCCGAATAAGGACAAGGGATATGATTTTTTGCTATTTTTTTGGGTGTCTAATTGTCCAAGAAAGGCTGCGTTGGAACGGAGCCGCAGACCGTCTTGCCAGCCTCGCCATCCTGCTAATTACTCTTCTTCACCACAGCCAGCCTCGCCCTCACCGGGACATTGTGATCCTGCCCAACCTGCGGGAACTCATCCAACTCAACACCCTCCCTGAACAAGACACAGCGCGCGCCGCCTCCATAACGGAACACGCCAATCTCATCCCCCTTCCCGACGCGCCGGCCCTCCTTCACCGTCATCTCGCATGCGCTGACCTCCGTCATGCCGATTCCCAGGAAACAGACGTCTGGCAGACCCAGATCCTTGTTGTCGGCCTCGAAGAAGATAATAGCGCGCGTTGCTGTTGCAGTGAGATAGCCCTGTCCATTGCTCTCCCCGCCCTCGTTGATCTTGTCGCTGTCAGGGTCACCAAGGCCTTCGAACAGCGGTTCGGAGAAGTACGTCCCCTGCTCGAGCCAGGCCTTCGAACAGTGCCGCTTACGGGCGCGTGCCAGCGGTGATAGCTCAGCGCGGAGAGGAAAGCTTGGTAGATCGTGCCGCCCACAAAGTGCTCGTACAGCGGATCATGCGCCAGCATATCAACGACAGAGTACGCCTGGCCCTTCATCCAGAACTTGTCACGGGTGGAGACATTCTTGGCGACATTGTACGGCTTGGACTCGCACGCGTTCGCGATGACGCGGTCGTCGTCCGGGGATGCGACGGGTCGCTTGTCCTCGTGGAAGTGCCGCGTGAAGAAGTGGTCCCAGGATTTGAAGCTGCGGTGCTCTTTGGACGGATCGCATTGAATGAGATCGTCGAATGAGTAGGATGTCTGGCCGATGTTTGCGGTAGCGGCTAGATCCTCAGTGCAGTGCGAGCTGAACCTGCCGGTGGAGTCGTCGCCGAGGACGTAGGTGGCGGCTAGGGAAGAGAGGTATTCAGCCCAGGCATTTAGGACCTTCTTCAGCATGGCGTTGACATCCGGATCGAGGAAGAAAGCAAAGCCGCTTGGGGTCCCCATCGGCCAGTCGAGAATCGCGTTGAAGCGCGTTCCAACATGCCTATGCTATAGGAATTATCGTTCCACGCCGGCGCCGTGGTGAGGGCGTAGTTGAACAGCGTCAGCATGTGCTGGTAGTCGCGCACCTGCTCGTAGCCTGTAGGGCCTGAAGAGTAGGGCTTCTTAGATGGGATTTCCTCGAACATCTAGTTGACTTCTGATGATAGCACCGAGAAGCTGGCGTCCGCGACGCTTTCTCCGGCACTGCCGAGCAGTACGGCGCGGCAATGAAGCGCCAACGCAATACGAACCGCCATTACAGCAAGAAATTACAGCAAGAAAACGCCGCCAGCTGTACGCCATCAGCCCCCCCTCCCCCCACCCGATGGCCTCTATATTCTTCTCCTACTTATCCTTACCCTCCTCGCCCTCCTCGCCCTCCTCTCCCTCCTTGCGCTTCTTGCCCCTCTTGCCCCTCTTGCGCTTCTTGCGCTTCTTGTCCTCGTCCATGTTGTCCTCCAAGTCGTTTCTCCAGACCGCGAGATCCTGGTTGTAGAGATGGGTGTTTTCATCGGCGTAGATGTGACCTACATCGTGCCTCTTCTGGTCGATTTGCTCTGGGTCTTAAGGTGTACTGTTACATGTAGCTGTGGATCCGAACCGCTTTCATGTAAAGGATCGTGCATTCTTATCTCGCTATACTCTGAGAGTAGTGAATGCTTCGCTGCAGCCGCACAGATAGTTCTAGTCTCTTCGAGAACCTCGACGTCCTTCGGCCCCTGGAAGCCTTCGTAATCACACCAGAGAACCTTGATAGTTGTCATGATGAGCGGTTGTGTTGGTTTTGAGGTTAGGGAGGTTAGAGAAAGAGCGAATTAAATAGGTGATAAAACAATTAATGTAAGTGAACAATGTAACGCTATGTAACTTCTCTACAACATTCTTCTTTATTCTATTACTAGGTGAGTGGCGTTTGCCAACATATCCGCACTATCACCGCGACCTCTTACTATGGTATCGTATCGTCTCCGGTACTTTTGGCATCCACACACCCGTTGGCGCAGAAGGCCTAGAAGTCGATATCGCCGTTAGATCCGCCACTGCAGTAGAAGAGGCCATTGTTGATGTGTGCGTCATCGACGGGCTGACCTTGTTCGCGGAGCGCCTCTGCAATCTGGCTGTAGTAGTTGCCTGGCGGCTGTATTAGTATGAGCGCCCTTGCTGTGTAGGAGTGGAAAGGGACGAGGTAGATACAGGTGCAGACAAGGCCTAGAAGCAAAACTGACCTTTGTGCAAAAGGTTGTAGCCGCAGTAATGAAGGCTCGTCTTGCAGTTGTCGGCGACTGCGAGCTAGGCGAAGCTGGCGACGGCGAGGACTGCGAAGGTGGAATCGATATATTGAAAGCGTTCTATAAAACAATATAATCTATTATAGTTTCCAAATGAGCTCGTTCTAATACAGCATGTAACGTAGAGTGAATAATAAAGGCTGAGTGACTACTCCAACGATGATTTAGCAGCTTAGTCAGCTTCTATCTGAACCCACCCGTCAGCTAGTAGCTCTTCTGTTGCTGGCCGCTTTGATGGGTCTGGAATTAATGCCTTTCGAAGATATCTTTTAAGGGCTCCTACGCGCCTCTTCTCCTTTTTAGAAGTAATAGCGCTATGACCACTATCAAAGTATAGCGATAGCTTTTCGTCTAAGGTTTTGCGGCTTCGAAAGCAAGCGCCTGTAAGAGTGAGCAATCTGTGTCCAATAATAGAGGGAGCAACAAACCGGTAACAACCGGGAGATCTTTCCAATCCTGATTCTGCACTGCATCAAAAATGGCACTGAGAAGCCAAGGAGCAGATGATTCACCGATAACGTCGTATATTTGGGGTATAATATGGCGCTTGTCAAACCATTCTATAAAGAGGTCTCCGCCAGTAGCAATGGAGAAAGTCTTACTATAGTATTAGCTAATAGCCTCAGAATATTTTTGTATACTTACTGTGCATCCAAGATTCCAGATATCAATTTTTTTGTCTAAGGGCTTCCCAAAAATCAATTCTGGAGGAGAAAAAGGTATCGGTGTATATATCGATTCTGGGGGCTCCGATTCAAAGAAGGCTGTATAAGTAAGCGGAGAACCAATAAAAGCCATATACCATATACCTACATGAAGAAAAGTCGATAAGTTGTATGTGATTGAGTTTTTCAAACTCTAATCTTTTACGCTGACGTGTAAGGTCGAGCGGCTCTACGAGATATCTTGGTAATCCTTCTTCAAGAGGAGCACCATCCTTCCTAGAGACTCCGCCTTTAATTACTTCGGTTAGGTTGAGTTCGTTATTATCCGGAAGGCGATATAAAATATTGCGCAGGTAAATATCTATCTAAAATCAGAGGCTTGAACAATATTATTTTGCACAAGGAACTTACCTCCATGTACAATTCCAAGCGAATGCAGACAGTCTACCGCTAGGAGGAGTTGCTTAGAGATTCGGCGACAGGAAGACGATAGATTGAAGCGCTGCTTTGGTCGAAAACGCATAACGTCGTTGACATTAGGTCCTAGAAGCTCTAGAACAAGGAATAGATTTCTTCTTTCAGCGCTACCTTCGTAGAAGTGGTCTAAAAGTCGAGGAAGGTACTTGTGGCCGGGGTGTTGAGTAGTACCTTGTTGAATACGTTGTAGGATTCGAAGCTCTAAGTTGTTCTCCGAATTCTCGGCCCTAATAACCTTTAACGAGACACGAGATTTATTACTAGTAGTGTCAGCAATTTCAAACAGAGAAGAATACGCAGCGTACCGATGATCCCAAGCGGCCCAGACTGTTGAGAAACTTCCGAAACCAAGTTTATTCAATATCTGGTATCGTCCATCCTGGAACCGATCGTCGATATGAACAGGATACAATCCCCCATCTCCGTACTTTTCGATCGACTCTACTTCCGGAACCCCCCAATTGTAGTCGCTCCTATTAATCATCTCGACAGAAACTAAAGGACTAAGATAACATCTTGGTAGTCAAGACGTACCAAAGCCTAAGTTAAATAGTCTCGAAGAAAACATTGTCTGAAAGAGAATGGATCTGATCAAGTCCTGAAAGCAGCATGTCCCTGGCTAATTTCAGCTTATCATGTCATTGTTCACTCACCCCGGGGCCGCGGGCCCTTTGGTCAAAAATGAAAGCACTCTCGAAATAACTTAGTCCATAAGGAGATGAACCTGGGCACCGAGTAGAAAGGTACAAAGAGCGTGTCAACAGGTGGCGTCGCAGACTAGGCTATGGCGTGATAGACCAAGCGGTTGGCGTTATGGATACAGGTCACTGAAAGGATGAAAGATGCTCTGCTTGCTAAGAGGGACTACTGCGAACAGCACAGCAGCGTGTCTGGCAGTCGTGTGGCAATGAAGACCTGTTGCTCTGATTAGATGCAGAAGACGCATGTCATGTGCGCCAAAGCTTCTTCGCGTCCATTTGGTCATCTCCCTGACAGCCATGTCGGCTTCAGCTGGCCTTTCAACAACAACGATACGAAAATTTCAATAACGCATATCAACTGCCTCGCTCTTAGCAGCGTTAAATTAGCTCCGCCTCGGTATCCACATACTCGATGAACTTGCATTGAGGGGTCGGGCTAAGTGCGTCTTTGGGCTTCATGCGTTAAGTTGCGTTTGTACCCGCCCAAAACACTCAGGACATTTCGGAAGCGGCGTTCTGGCATTGTTTAGTTATCTCTTTGACTTCGATGAGCCTTGCACAGTGGAAGCTATGCTCTATCCCTTGGGCGTAGAACGCCGCAGCGCTATGAATGGTTCCTTTTGTTCTTTTTGTTGTCTTTGTTGTCTAGCTATTGACGGTAGTAACATTAGCTATAAGTGGACTGGTATGAAAGGGAATCTAGATTCACGCTTCTCGGGATACCGCTAAATGCAGAATAAAGGCCAACCCTCACGCGAATACTCTTCATTGTTGTCAAGGAAGGTCTCTAAGTTGCACAGCGGTGCTTTATCCCATAGCTCATGCACCCAGATTGTTCGCTTCCCAAGCCCTTCTTGAAATCTCCAGACGGCACTACCGACATGGTCAGCGGGCTTCTCATATCTTTGTCTAGTCAACTTCTTTACAGCCCTATTTGCGCACACGTATCTACCCACGCCAGACTACACTTGGCTAAAGACGTATGGTATGCTGAACCTACTGTGGTATACATTGTAGCCTACTTTTAGCGCACATTCCAGCCGCGCAACCTCCTGCCCTTTGGTGGCCTTTTGACAACTCGCGCCAGCTCCTCGGATCAAGCCATCCCCAATATTGCCCGTGAGCGTCACCAAATGTCTTGTGACGAGCGATAGGGCCGCGTCGATGCTGTCAGTGGCGCTCGCCCGGCGCCGGCGAAGCAATATGGCGACTGGTCTGACTCGCCAGCGTACATGTCCACAGTGTTCGCGTAGCACCCAGCGATCTTTTTAACGCCTCCACGAACTGCCTCGTCGACGGGGCTGGCGTGCGCCCGCCGAGACCGAGCACGCGGAGCTCGGTGTTAAGCAAGGCTACTATGTCGCGGCTAGCACAGGTCGAAGTGGTTGTATGCTATGAAGTGGCGCCGCGAAAAGACGTGGAGTTCAGTCCAACCAAAGGGGGTTGCATCGGGGGAGACCCGCTGAGGTCTGCAGCTCACCACGTCTCTGAACAGAAAAGCTCGCACCAGCTAGCCAAGGCAAGAGTAGATACGGGTGACTCAGTCGGAGTCTGGTTTGACATCAATAACAAGCCCCGGCCTTCCCCACCGCGATCCCTCCACCGTCTTCGTCCTGGCTTTGCCCGCTCCCTTGCTGCCCCTTCTGGCCCTCTCTGTCGCTCTCGCATTCTCGCGCTCTTTATGACTGCGCCGTACGCCTGACGCCCAGCCTTTTTTCAATTTCATTTCGCCCGGTTTCCGCCGGCTCTTCGGTCTCCTCGACCTCCCTCGCCTCATTCGTCGCCTTCTCCTCCCTCTCGGCGCAAATAAGCATCAGCCGTACGCTGCATCTTTCTGCCTCATCGTTTCTTCGTCTTCGTCGCTATCCTCTCCCCACGCACCCGCAGCTGCCGGCGTTTTACCCAACCACGTCTTCTCTCCTTAATCTCAGTCTGCTGTGGATTGCCTTTCTCTGCCGTCGATGACCTCTCCGCGCTCTCTAGTGGCTTGAACCCGAACCAAGCTTCAGCCCGAATGGTAGCCCTGACCCTGACTGCGACACAATAACGAGGGGCTTGTTGAAAAGGCAGAGCTACACGGCGAAGGATGCCGAGGTACTACGAAGCGAGAGAGATGCCAGTAGATGAGGTTCATGAGATGACTGATGCGAGTGCGCCTGTGGAAGTTGGAGAGGAAGAATCGAAGGAATGGCGAGATGGAGAGATAGTGAGTGGGGTCGACGAATTTTGAGCGTGGAGAGGATCACTGCAAGGCCGGGGGGATTGGGAGCGCTAAAGTGGAACAGGCTGGTTAGAAGGTAACAGAAAGGGGGGACGAATCTACTTCGTCTGTAGAATAGTAGTGATTATTTCTGAAAGAACGCAGACAGCGAGTACAAGAACGAAATCCTAGCAGGATGCAGGAGAACAAAAGACCTGAGAAGCACACAGCTCAGGCGAAGTCGACGAAGACAAGGAGCCAAGGAGCCGTGGAGCCACGGGCTGAAGAAGGACTTACGATTTGAGTGGCTGAGGGGGAGCGTAGCGTCTGAAGAGGCTACTCTCGAATCCCAAACGAAAAGCAACACAGAAAAGCTCATAGTCAGTGGGTCAAGCACACTTACCAATTGCCATGTTCAACGTCGCGCTCTCTTCAAATCCGTCGACACCCCAGCCGAGCCCAAACGTCGCACAACATACCGCGCCATCCTAATCAGTCACGGAAGCACTACCAGCGCCTCCGCGTCGCGCACCAGCCGCTCTATCTACCATAACCTCCCCGCGGAGAGACGCTCTTCTCCCATCTCAAAGTCCAATCCAGCCAGCGTTCAGTAGCCACAAGTTCACTTCCAATCCCGCATCGGACACCCACGGTCGAGAGATAGTCGAGATCTAGATCCACACGCACATCTCAAAACCTTAAAATCGCATCCTCAAACCGCACTTCGCCATCTCGCGTCCATGCACGATCCACCACTTCCCCATACAGCCTAGATCGGGCGGGCGTCCGCGGGTATCGATTGGGTGTTGATAGGGCTGACGGGCGTCCAGACCCACTCAGAGTCTAGACCACACCCCACCATCGGGGGCGGGAAGACCAACCAGGGGAAACGGAAACCCCATACCACCGGTAGATTGACAGACAGACAAGGCGGCGGGCCTTGCAGCCGCCAAACCAAGCGCACGCCTCGCCCAGGGCTGGCACGCAAACGTGGAAACGCGCTGGGCTGCACCGCGCTGATCTCCCCCCAGCCCCAGCCAGTGCAGCGGGACGCACGCTGATCAGGCTGAAAGGGAAGTGCTGTGTAACATGTCTTTGGGCCATGGTTCCTGCTTCCTGGCTCTTCCGTATGCACGTGCAGATAAAAATACCTTCGCAGGCGATGCCGTTTTCCGTTTCAGCAGGCCTGCAGAATGTACACAAGTGCCGTATCCCGATACTTTATCGTGCGGATAGGGGATGCCCATTGGAAGAAGGTGTATGTGCGATGCTGATGCTGCAATGCTATTCTACCGGCAAGGATGCATCCGGTTTTCGCTATCGATAGCGAGCGCCGTATCTGCAGGACTGAGCTGATACTGATGATAGCGGCGCTGTACGCGCTGGAGTATATTGCGCAGGGTGCGAAGAAGACTGCGTGGAACTGGCAATGGAGGGAGCGCACTGCTCGGCCGGAGGGCGTAGATGCGCGGGTGCCGTACCTGCCGTGTACGCGAAGCCAACATGCAATGCAGCATGAGAGTGCGACCAAGGCGCTCAGCGTTGCGAAGCAGGAATTCAAGCGCGGCAGCACTTTATCCTGTATCAACTCTGATGAGCTGGAAAGCGGTGGGAAGAACCCAACCCACAAGACGCCGTCGACGAGAAAGCAGCCCCGTATTCGGCCGTCCCCTTCCGCGCACGTTCCCAATCCGCCGGCACGTGACCCACCCAACCACCAAGAACACGGCTCGCTTCCGGCCTGGCTCGACGCCGATCAGCGCACTCCAGCCACAAGATCGACGCTCCGCTTTCTTCTTTGATCGACCATTTCCATTCTCGACCTGCCGACGATAAAGCCACAGCAACGGCGCGTCGTGGCTTCCGCTTTCGGGAGGGATAAGGAAGGAGCCGCGTGTTTGCTTGCTTGTTCGTCGCTCGCTCGCTTTGTGAGACAGACCGCTTGCGGAATTGCAGATGACATGAGATGATGTGGTCTCGGCGGGAAAATTTGTGTGTTTGGAAGTGCGAATGAGGCACGAGCTTTGGCCGCAGGGTCTGAGATTTTCAGGCACACCAGGTACGAGAGACAGGCGGGTGGAACAGATCAAAGTAGCACGCTTCATAACTGCTGCTGTATATATCGGTATTAGAAGCATGTCACCCACATTCCGTGGATCATCAGTATGATGGCGGCGATCCGTTGATCGATCGCGAAATTATGTATTCCATCTCCTACAACTCTCGTACATGGATCTACACATATCTCCGTATTCCATATGCCGTCATCTCAGTGACAGTCTTCTTCCGTAAAGTCCGTGAAGAAATATGGGTATCTCATAGGGTGAAAGTGAAAACGCCGCGCTGTGACGAAGCGCTCGTTGAAAATGCTCAGATAGTGAACGCCTAGAGTGCTATAAACGCACCTTTATGAATGCTTCTCCTGGGTATCGTAAAAGGACGATACGGATGCTGGATACCATCCGTGCTAGAACATAGGAAATAGATGCAGTGAAGGAAATATAGGAAGAGGTGAAGATTCTGGTCTAGGGAGGATAGTGGCCTAGATCTCAGATCAGATCAGATTAGGAGGCCCACGCCCAGAGCGACTGCGCTCAGGCCGGTTTCCCGGCTCTCCTCACTGTTCCTTCTCTTCCCCATGTTCGCGAGCTGGCGAGCAGCATCTGCCTTGGCTTGGGTGGCGGCAGTTGGAGAAGGCGGCTCAGAAGGAGCAGCAGAGCGGATACCCTCTGCGGCGTTCTCGGAAGAAGTTGAAGCCAAATCATAGCCAAATGCCATAGAATCATCGCTGATACCACGCAATGGTGAGGTCGGTCTCTCGACATTGATTGGGGCTGGAACAGCTTTGGTGGATGTGGGTTGCGGTGTGTTCCCGCTTGAAGTGCCTTCCGGCGCGCGTTTTGCCTTGAAGTTGTGGGCTTCGTAGCGTGGTGGATGTGAAGTGTACTCGACTAGGATATGCTCTTTCGTGTTGATCCGTAAGCGTTTCCCGCCGCTGAACACAACATCGCTAACCCTCGGAGAGCTGGCGAGCAGGACGGGAGCGCACCGGCGTCGGTAGCGGAGTGCCTGGGAACGGCTGGGTCGAACAAGAGGAGCAGCTTTCGGATCGGAGTTGCTGGCACCAGTCGAAGGCCGGTCTTCTGCGTTGGTCTCGCCATCCCGCGACGCAGTACGGCTCATGGAGCCGCTTACAGGTCGCCTCGTAGGGAAACGGACATCGTCGGGGTCGAAGTCATCGCGATCAGGATCCGCACCCTGCGGAGTATGGCCTGGCTGTGATTCTTGCGCATTTCCATTTGCTAGGTGAGGATAGAGCTGACGCAGAATCTCCTCTTGCTCCGCAATGATGCGTCGGCCAATGTCGAGGTTTGACAGATTCTCAAAATCTGCACCGAGTCGTGATCCGTCAAGGACACGCTGCCGCCTGGTGCGTCTAGGCAGGCTCCGATAACGGGGTTCGCTGCGGTCTTCCAAGGGTGGGCTGATATCAACCGCTGCACACAGCGTCTCTACCCACATCAGCATTTCCTCTTGGGTGTTGGCACAGAGCAGAAATTGCTCCGTCTCCAGACGCAGACGCAGGGCATGTTCTCGAATCGGCTCGAAGAGATGCGGATCCGTTTCGTACAGCTTCTGGCGGGCAGAGACTGGCACCAGGTGTGCAAAGGGCGACCTCGGAGTCAATTTTGTCTTCTTGAAATCCGAAGCCACGCCGACTTCTGCGTGCTGCAGGGTGAAGGTCCTGAGAAGGCGCCCGGGAGCAGGAGCTCGATCTTTGCTGAGAATCCCAGGAGTTTTGATGCGGTAAATGCAGAGCTGTGTCCCTTGCAGCACCACGTACACGTCGTGCCACTCGCGCGATCTGGACACGTCGAAAACGGAGGTCAGCTCCTGCTTCATCCCCAGGGTTCCTTCAATCTCCACTGTACACGAATATGCGGGAGGCGTTTTTGTTTTCCGGGTGGCCACGGCCTCGGTGTGAGCTTTGGCATTCAGCCAGCTGAGGGTCCGCACATTGGTTGCGCAGGCATACGAAGGCGGAGAATCTAGGACGGGCTGTGCATGGGTGTGGAAGGTATTGTGGTATCCGTAGGTCGGCGGAGTGGACTGCGAATTCGGGGCACCGCTCGAGCGCTCTGTTCGGCGCGACCGAGCGGTGTTCGGGGTTTCTGTAGGAGGATCCATGGTGTTGGCCAGGAAACTGAGGACCAGTGCGACGATGACGCTGAGGAATTTAGGGGTATGCTCGCGGACGGAGTGGCTCTTGTACGGCGGGAAGTGGCGCGGGATGAAAGCGGTACATGGATTTCGGTATGCGGTGGTGGCTTGCTTGCTTGTTCCGAAGCGAGTGGTACCACGGAATACCGGCGTCTTTGTTCGTCGCGAGCAATAGGAATAAATAGCGTGAAAGAAGCGCCTCGACGCACAATTGTATCGGCGATAGCTGGAGGCTGAGCGTAGCGTCACGGGCGCGGGGGGTTCCTTTGTATATGTATGGAGCTGGTGACAGGGGTGCTGGTTGCGGTTGCTGGATGTGGATCTGCGGACGGGCCAGGAAGCTGCGCCTGAGGTCAGCGCGGCGCTGCGGTATGTGGTGTGTCTCAGTGCAGCGGACACTCTGGACGGGATGTGGATGTGGATGTGAATAGCGACAGCCAGCTGCACGAAGTGAAATGAATGCGCGCGGTGAAATCCTGCTGGCTCAGCGCCGCGGTGCTATCCCGCGTTAAGTATCCACAGCTTTTATCAGCTGCTCCCGCGGGCTGGTCACCCAACCGAGAACAGGCATCCCCTCACCTCGCGGCCGCGCTGTGGCGTCGTCCAGATCTCCTTGTCGGCGTTGGCGAGGCCGCACACGACAGGCCGGCGGAGGCGCCAGCTCTAACCAGCTAGCTGCGCCCTGGCCCCTCATGCGCCGCGAATTGGGCCATCCACCTGACGCTTTGCCCTCACCCCATCTAACCCCATCGATTTTCCACGCTGCACTCCCGCCTAGAACTGCTGCCGCTTGCCCTCGCGTCTCCTCATCTTCACACGACAGCTGCATCCTGGCGCCTCACCGCCAGGCTCACGCGCGCCACCAGGCCCAACGGCCATCTCTCCCCACCGCATCGGCCCCGGACGTGCCCGTGAGCGCTGACTCAGGACCACAGACAATCACAGACCACACAGACCATCACAGACACTGAGTCGATCAGTTCCCTGCTATTTCGGGCCGAGAGCAGCTAATAACCACGGTTTCTGCCAACATGCCAACCCCAGCACTCGATGCGCCGCTGTTGCAAATGCACAGGCTGTTGCGGGCCCGCGGTTGCTTGGGCTACGCTCCCCCCGCTCACCGACCACGGTTCCCTTTCCACTAGCACTGCGTGGCCTCAATCCGCGGTTGGACGTTCCTGAGAAACAGCACTTTCAAGGCCCAGAATGCCGCTTCACGTGCGCCGAATGCACTGTGTCCGAAACTGTTGATCGCAGAGCCCCGCATGCAATGACGGTGCATCCGCCAAGAGCCATGGTGCAAACGTGACGATCTCACCACAATCGCTCAAATTCTCCGCACCCGCAGTATGTCGAACCTTCTCCTCGGGTTCTCACGTTAAATTCTCAACTCATCTTACTAGCTGTTCTTCGAGAACCCGGTAATATCCCAATCTCACTCAATCTCATCATTCCTGCATAAGGCGCGCGGCTGCCATGCCCCTCTGACAAGACTCAGCAATGCTCTCCTTTCCGCGCAGCCTTGTTCCATGTTGAAACAGCGCTCCAATCGTAGAATCCAACCTTACTCAGCTAGCGCCGTTAGAGCCAGTCACTTGGGACAATGCCTCCTTGATCGAAAACACGCAGATAAACGCAGCGCACCATGCAAAAGCTGCTGCTTCGTCGTAGAGAGGCAACCTTGAAGTTCTCAATTCGCTGTGGCTGCTGGCTTAATCAGCAGGCTCCTGCATGCGGACCCGGCACGGTTCGCCAAGCCACACACCAAGTCATTGACATCCCCCTTGACATCAATATGCAACCTCTCAAGTATCCCAATAATGCAAGAGGGTTCAAGCATATTGTGCTTGCGGAGCTGACGACTTTGGAGGGTATTCTAGGGAGTGCGCGGTAAGCGGACTCGTCTAGTCACGGAAACACTCTTGCGAGGCAAAGGCTGATCAGTGCTTAGTGCTAGCGCTAACCTTAACTACCACTGCGTCTGCCCGTGGAAAGGTATCATTGGTGATGTTCCTGTTGTTAATGAGTCTTTCATGACGAATGGAGTCATCTCCGGCGCCTTACCCAGCCTACAAACGGAACCAGGGAAACAGCAGTCAGGAGGAAAGGAAGCAAAACTAATTGATGGCTGAGAAGAGCGTAGAAACGGGATATGCGTGGCTCTTTAATGGTAGCGACTGTACGAATAATCAGCTTTTGCAGCTTAGCCAAAGAATGGAACGTACCCTCTAATTTCACGTCTCGAAGGGCTTCTTCTGTAGTCGCATAACTCTGCCTCCAACATCTCATAATCGTGTTCCTGAAGGCAGAGACAGATTCTAGATCAGGATAGCGGCCCTCGGAGAAAGCAGCAGATACTTCGTGATCAGGCAGATCCTTGTATGGCTTCGAGCCAGTCATTATCTCATAAATAGTAGAACCGAGAGCAAAGAGTTCGGTCTTTGTTGAAATATCTTTGCCAGGAAGTTCGTGACTGGCCCCATAACAGACGAGTGGTGGAATAGCCGAGCCGGCGAAATCACCAAGCTTTACATCGAGATTGTCATCATGGAAAACATTGTTGCACGATATGTCGCCATGGAACACGCCCTTTGAATGGATAAACCGCACGGCATCGGAAAGTTGTTCGACCCAACGAAGCCTAAGCGAAAGTGGAACCTGTTTCTGCCTTGCAACGTATTGCCTAATAGATGTCTGGCTCGCAAACTGCAACATGATAGCATTTTCCAAGACGCCGAAATACCGCACGATGCCGCTGTGGTCGCGACCGAGACCTTGATAGATGAGCTTCTCTCGTTCAAAGAAGTGCAATTCCGGCGGCCCGAAGAACTTGACGACGGCATCAAGACGCGCGACAATCGCCGTAATGCCTGCGCCCACCAGATCCTTGACGTCTAAACCAAGTGGCCATTGTATGACAGACTCCTGCATCTTCCTCTGCGATATCTCCGATGGAATCGACTAGCGATCGCTCGGAATGATGATATTGCGCCCGGTACAATCGACTTGAGGAAGAGGAAATGAGGTCGGTCGGAGAGGGGATGTGAGATCGGTACGAGAGGAGTGGGTAAAGGTGAGGCGCAGTAGGGGGCGCCAGGATGGGAATAATGATCTTTGAAAAGAAAGGCTGTTCTTGGTGTCCTCTCTCTGTAAGCCACTAATTAGCGAAGCCACGTGTCAAGAGGGAGCACCTTACTTTATAGTGAAGCGCAGATAGGTCTGCGAGCAGGCGTATGCTGCGCAGATGCGGTCGACAGTGCTGTCAGTCGCTGACGGTGTTGGAGAGCGGTGGAGGTAAGGATGGTTGAGGTAACGGCTTGGGAATGTGGCTGTGTCTGCAGGCGCACAGATGGTCATTGCGGTACACTCATTCTTGCCTCGAACACCTCACCCGCTCTCATCTCATCCAAACCCCACGAATGCACATCCCAAACGCATCTCAATCGATGCTCAGCACGCTGAGATGAGCTGCTGATCTCGGAATGCTAGGCTTACTGTGCCGCCTGCGGGGCGCAGTGTTAGCGGTTGTCTCCATTATGCCCACCTGTACGTCTACACTAACCGGACATTGACAGAAAGCACGAACCCACGTCGGACCGCTCAATCATCAACGTAGGATCTATCGAGCAATAACGAATGCTTGGGGCCTTCCTCTACGATCCGGTGAGTGAGCAATATTCTCCGGCACCACATGAACGGTGACGAAAGCCGGTCTTCACTAGGTCTGGAAGCCTTCCTAATCGAGCAGGCGCCCTTCTGGGCTTATTGGCTGCAGGACCTCGCGCCTACCAGATGCGCATATTGCTTCCTTCAGGGGTATTCCCGTAGTCCGACCCTCAAAGATCCTCCCACGAACATTACGCCTAGAACTGACTAACGCTGTTGCCGTTCGCCGGAATAACGAATCTCTATGCGGTTTAATGGAACTCTGTCTTCTCAATGCCAGTGACAAGGATTCTGGGTAACCGTTTCTCGCCTGCGTATGCCACAATTTCATACTTCCTTGCCAAAAGAGCTAGCCACCGGTGTCCGGAGTCCGAGGCAGATCGCAATGACCACAGCCCAAATACTTGGCATTCTCTTGCCACTGAGGGTCGGATACAATCCAACCTACGTGCTCAGGTCGCCAATGTATGCGAGCGCTCACTCACACACGCTCATGGTGCTCCGTAGCCGTCGGCAAGGCCGCGGGTGCCTCGAAAAGGCACCCCACCAACCTGATTTCCGTCTCTCGATACTAGCACAACAGGAGTGGTATTGGACGAGAACAATCTAAAGCGCTCTACGACGTCGCACTTCAGGGCACCCCGGATACTCATCGCCTCGCGGCAACGTTTTGTGACCTTGAGACGCTTCACTTTCTGAGAAACCGGTCAAATTCCAATGACCGAACCTTCTGTGCTTTGTGTATCCACCATATGAGCACTCACTTTTCCAGCTCCAGTTATGCGAGTCGCCTGGGCATGTCGTTCGCCAGCAGCACACAATCTACCAGCCCACGATTACCGAAGTTGAGGGAGCCTGGCCTCTTCCAAGAAGCATCATTAAGTTTTGGCATGACATCGGGTAGGACAGTTGCTCCATCGACATCCCCTTCTTTTTCGTTACTCAAAACCATTTCCTGTTCCACAAATGCGATCTGTGTCTCCCGTTCCCTTTCTAAGCATCACTGGGCAGCTCTTGTTACATCAGAGATCTGGACACAGGTCCCTTCACGATCTAGCCTCTATTCGCTGCTCATTTCCCCTCGCACGAAAACCGTTGCGCGCAACTTTGTTCGTCACGCGGCCATGCCAGGACACATTAATCACCCCACACGATAAGCTGTGGATCCCTACTACCAGGTTCCAACTCGGGCCGAGCACAAAGCCACAACACTATCGCATCGGTACAACATCTGGAGCAATCTCAGCGCGGCAATCGGCACCTAGATCCTCCGCGCTACCCCATTGAAGGCACGTCGCGAGAAGATCCTGTATGAACGGCAACGCTAGATCCATCATATGCCACTCCTTCATGCCATTTCCTCGATTTGGCGCACAGCGTCAATAAAAAGATGTGAGGCTACAGGACCAGGAGCTCCGTCGCGGAAGCCTCGGTTCAGAGTTCATTGCAAATGATTGGCAGCTTCATGAACGATCAATGGGGCCACTTTGGCCTGTGTTTGCAGGAGAACCTCCTCTCAATATCATTTGGCATCTTCAACAAGACGGACGCGATAGCCTCGTCGCAAGCGCAGCGCCATTGACAGTCGATATACCATCAAGTCCCAGATGCCGCTCACCGCGTCTTGTAGGTCTGGATCGACACCCTTCTATATAAATATGATTCCCGCCGCCGTGTTTTCGGAATCCAACGGCGAGAAGAAAAGATATTTTAGAACTTGGCTACTCGTTCTCTAGAGGAAGGCTCAACGACCCTCCCATTACCCATTCAACATGCGCTTCTCTACGCTCGCTTCCACTGTCCTCCTCTCCGCCGCTGCTCTCGCGGTACCCACGAAACTTGCCGCGAGAAGCTCGAGAGTAAGTCCGTAGTCGTTCTCTCCGCCCAGCTCCGCTTCTCTGGGTTTCCTTTCCCGCCCCAGACGCGGCTCCTCTACCACCTTTGCTCGACATATCGTCCCCTCTATTCGACAAGCTCACTGACATTCATAGGTCTACATAACCTCGGACCCCTTCTGGGGCTACCGCGAGAACTCCGGCTTCTTTCAAGCCTTCGACATCGAGGGCGCTGATAAATGCGTCGATCTCAAGGGGACTAAATTGTATATCCCCCTTGTTCTCGTGTTCTTTGGTGGGAGGTAGCGATGCTTACTCAGAAGCAGCGACAACGCCATTTCGTCCTTCGGCCCCGATTCGGGCGTCAAATGCATCGTCTATGAGTAAGTCCCAGCCAGCATCGTCTTACTCGCTGCGCACTGGAGCCGCGCAGTCAAACAGAACTGACACGCTGTGCTTGCTAGCGGGTACAATTGCACCGGGCAGAACGAGCCAATTTGGTACTCTGGATACGCGGATATGGGTTGGAATGGTGAGTCCCCTGTTCGAAGGCGAAGGCATTACCCGACCCTCACTGACACGCGACGGCACAGGATGGGACAACCGCGTGAGCTCATACGAGTGCGGATTCTGCACCAAGGGTGTGGATAAGGGATGCTTGTAGTGCCGCTCTCTAGCTGCGCAGCCCTGTCCATGCTTCAGGGGAAAGCCTGGGCCGAAGATATCAGGGACATGGTGTCCTTCCTTCTCTCAAGGAGGGAGAATTTAGCAAGGCTTTGGGAGGGACGACAGATATGCTCTCATCCGATGCTTCTTTAATATTTTTAGTGGACTCGTGGTGGGTGGTGTAGTTTGCTTGTTTACTCCGCAGTCGCTCCTTTTCTAATCCAAAGTAACAACTTCTCATGCTTCAGAACTCTTATCTACACTACATAGATTCTTCTACCTGGAAACCTTCCTACCCTCTACGCGCACCCTGTTGTATTCAGCAGATCGATCGAGGACGCGAGTTCGATAAATAAATGAACAGACGAGTATTGAGACTCGAGCTGATTGACTCAGTCGTAGAGAACTACGGAAGCGATTGCATTGAAATCGTGGTATTGCTAAGCGATTTTGCTTTAATTCACGCAGTATGGTAACCTATCCGACAAATATAGAATATCCGAAGATCGGTCTGCAGGTCTTTTCAGCAGATTAGTTGACCCATTTGCACTGCAATCTTTAGCGCGGACGAGGGACCTCAGCTAGGGCGACGCTAATTGGCCCAAATATATGCAACATCGGGGCAAGCACAATGGGAGAATGCCGATGGAAAATACCGCTAAATCAAGCTTTAGAGCTCAGAAGAACTCATTAAAGAGCACGAAGGATCAGATGCAATGTTGACATGAACAAGTTCCTACCCCGAAAGATACCTTGCGTTCACTCGCCCACCCACTCACTCTACGACACCTTTCCCCCGGCATTCTCCTCCGCCATCTTGCTCTCCCCTCTCTCCTCAATAGCCCTCTGCTCCACCGCCGCAAACCCCTTAAGCGCCTCCCCATACCGCTCCCAAGTCCCTTTTCTATACCCCTCACAAATCTTCTTCACAAACGTCTCCTCATTCCACCGTGCCTCCAAGAAATCTTCAAACTTCTCTCCTTCCCTCCTCTGCACGCCCCACGCAGCCTTGTACGCAGCGCCCAGCGCGCACGCATTTCCGCCGATGTCGAGCTTGTACACGCCGTCTGCGCCGCCGAGGACTTCGCCGGCGAGCTCAGCGATGGCGCTATTCGCCGCACCGCCGCCGACCATGTAGATGCGGCGCGGCTGCGGGGGGAGGTCGCCTTGGCGTTCGACGAGGTTTTGCGAGCGGAGGCGGAGGGAGAGGAATTGCGATTCGAGGATTGCGCGGGCGTCGGCTTGGGGAATGGGCCATGACTTGTCTTCGGTCTTGCCCTGGGCTCCTGGAGGTGGGACAGCGGAAAGCTGCCCGTCTTTGTATAGGAAGCGCCATGTGCCGGCCTTGACGTTGGGCACGATTTCCGGGCGAGGGAAGAAGAGACCGAGACGCATGGGGTCTGAGGAAGGGTCGTTTTGGCCGAGAACGGGGCTGCTGATTGCGGTCTCGTTGAAGAGGTCCCAGGTCTTGGAGTCGCCGGCAGATGAGAGCTTGTTGATGGCATCGCGGATGTGCTCGCGTGCTAGGCCGCCGTTCTTGTAGCACAGCATGAACATGTACAGGCCGGCTGTCGTGGGGTGGTTCATGAAGTGGTATGCTGGATCGGGCTTGTACTGCGGAGTCGACATGAGGAAGGTCGTAGAAGTGCCCAGGGAGACAATGGCATCCGAGGAGCGAAGCGGGAGAGCAAGAATAGTCGAAGGGTTGTCGCCTGTGAACGCGATGATCTGAGCTGATGACGGGAAGCCATATCGCTTCACGAAGTAGGGAGAGATAGTGCCAAAGCTGCTCCCGCCGTCCTCGGGCACATTTCCCAATTTTCCCTTCAGATCTTCCACGCCTTCGTCTCCAGCCGCAAGCGCGAGCAGATCTTCATGCCAGCGGCCATTCTTGATATCCCACAGGTTTGCTCCGCACACATCGCCTATATCCCAAGGCGCCACCTTTCCAAGGAATATCGATGCGATGAAGGAAGAGACGAGCGAGATGCGGGAGGTAGCTTTGTACGCTTCAGGGTATTTCTGGTGGAATCGGAAGATCTGTGGGCCGCTGAAGCGCTGCCAAGCTGTCAGTGAAGCCTCAAGGCATGTGTTGGGACAGACTTACGTGGTGAGCTTTGCTTCCCGTAGCCTCCGCCAGGGTCTCCGGGTTCTTCAAGGCGACATCAAACTTCTCGCACTGCTCCTGCGTACTGGCGTCCTGCCAATTCGGACTGAAAGGATGGCTGAAAGCGCCTCTCCTCTCTCCTTTCGCTCCACCCTCCAGCTGCTCCAGCAATGTCTTCCCAGCATCAAGCCCGCCAAGCAGCGTCGCCGCGTCTCGACTCCAGAACACGGTTCCATGCTGCATGCCGGCCCCGGAGATGCCCTGTACTTTCGAGAAATCCGCACCCTGCTCCTTCAACCGCTGCAGGACCAAATCGATGGCTTCAAGCCACATGGCTACCGGCGCGAACACCTCGCCCTCGGCCGGGTTCGTAAGCACACCCTTCTCGATGCCATATTTCGCGAGATCAGCATCAAAGTCGACTTTCCCTTCGTACACAAGCTTGAGGTCCGACTTCACGATAATTCCTGCACCCACGTCAGCGATTGTTTGCGGCGATGGCGGGGCAGCTCCAGGCGCGGGACGCACTCACCCTTCAATTGCTGCGTGCTGAGGTCGAAACCGATGAATTGATCAGCCATTGTCGAGCGAGATTGCGTGGGCTTTTCCAGCAGTGAGAGGGGTGTAACAGTGTGCACAAGACATTTAAATAAGTGATGTCTCGTGAGGTTGAGGGTCCATCACTTTTTCCTCAGGCTGCGCACTAAAAGCCTAGCTCGCGGCTTCCCACAATGACGCGTGAGGTGCATCACCTTTTCGCCGGTCGTGCCTGCAGAGGCGCTGAAGTATTATTGGACGAGCGGTTAAATTCATGGACTGCCAGATCGAGCGGCATATAGCATCTTTTGGTCAGGAGGGTCATATCTGTAGAGGCAATTAGTGGTACCCGAACTTGCCCCTGCGGCATCACATGGAAATGAAGAGAGCAAGTGCCCGATGAGGTTGAGAGCTCGTGAATGATTGTATTTCGCGGTCGGTGTCCCGAGACGGGTGATCAAATGCACAAGGGGAATCCTCTGTGCCCAACCCAAGAACGCCCAAGCAAGACCTTGATCCCGTATTGACAAGTATAGTACACGCTTACTTCCTCCTCTTTGCGTTTCCGTTTTCGCCCTTATGATCATGGTCGTGGTTGTTCTCCTCCTGTTCGGGTTCAGGACTCAGCTTACCGCTATCGTCTGCGCGGATGAATTCGTCCATGAAGTCGGGCTGATCCGAGGTGTTGGAGACGAAGCGCACCCGGACTCTCTTCACCCCGCGTACCTTGGCACCTACGCGCTCGCGTACTAGATTTTCGACGCCTCGGGTTTGGTCGATCGACCATGTGGCAGGCGCGCCGAGCTCGACATCCATCAAGTAGTTCTGGCCGGACTTGACACCCTGAACGGTCCGCACGTTGACATCGTCTGCTGCTCCTGTGTTGATGTCCTTCAAGGCTTTGGTAGCCGCTCGTCGGACGTTGTCTCTCATTTCGTCTTCAACACCCACGTCTGCCAGCTCGAACAGTGCCGATTTGGTGTTGCCCCAGCCGGCCTGGACCACCATCAACGAAATTATCAATCCGCCAACAGGGTCCAGCCAAGCGGCATTCTCTAGCACATTCGAGCCCGCGATCATAAGAAGAGCGACGAAGGCGGTGAGGGAATCCACCCGGTGGTGGTATGCATTCGACGCGAGGACGGACGACTTGCGTTCGTTGGCGACCTTGAGCGCTGGGTTTGGTTAGCGGATGCGTGAGGCTTTGAACGGGTGTTGCCATACTCGCTCGATACAGCCATTCCTTGATGACTATAGATCCTGCCGCCAGCCATGCTGCGTTGATGTTGGGCCCGAGGTCCTCGACGCCGTGGTGATGTCCGTGACTATGCGGCAGCAATCCCCATTGCGCCGCGACCTCGGAGGCCTCTGGGAAGAACTGCTGGGCGAGCGCAATCAATGCCGCCCAGCCCATCATGAACCCGCCTCCAAGCAATATACCGCTGACTCCAAGGGAGCCCAGACTCTCGACCTTTCCGTATCCGCTCGGAAACCGTTCCGACGGTGGCTTTAGCGACCACGAGACGGTCGCGAGGGTCATCACGTCCGAAACGAGATCCGTGAGACTGTGGATGGCGTCGGCGATGAGCGCTTCAAGCTATTAGCAAAGGCAGCGCTTGGGAGCCTGGCCTTACTTGCCCTGGCTGTTGAAGACATAACCGCCGAATCCCTTGCCGACCGCCATGCCCAGATTGACGTACAGGCCAATTCTGGTGATGCGCACGCCCGCATCCTTCTTGTTCTTCGACACGAGGTACGTATTGTCGTGGTGATGGTGGTGCCCGTGGGAGTGTCCGGCGTGTTCCCGGGTCTGCGTGCGCGTGGTGCTCATGGCGGAAGGGGAACTGTGTCGTATGCGGTGGGCGGTGGAGGACCAATTGAGCGCAGAGGATCTCGACGGCACAGCGCCTTTTGTAGCGGTGCGGAGGACGCGCAGCTGCCGGGATCTGGTCGGGTCCCAGGGCTGGGTGCGGTGCAGGATGTGCGGTCGTGATGAGGCGGCCGGATGCTGGTAAGGCGACGTAAGTCGAATGGAGCACACGCGTCGGAGCTGGCTAAACAGAGGAAGGCCATCTCTGCTGTTGCGCAGGACCATGAGCGACGGGCAGCAGAACGGAGCTGCTGCGATGTTGCTGCGACGCGTGTCTCTGAGGCGGCAGAGACCCCGTCTTCTGCTTCCTCGAAGGTTTTTGAGCCTCTGTCGGGTGCTGCCGGCTCTAGCTACATGTCAAGCTCATCGCACGTCTTCGCCCTGCGCTCGCGGCGATCCGCCGAGCGCCAATCACGTCACGCCCGATACCAACACCCGTTTCAAAACTGATCGCTACTTCCAACTTCCTATCCTCGCCATTGTCCTTCAGAACCTCTACCGTGCTAGTCAATGTGAACTTCCCCCCGTTTGCTGGCTTTCTTGGCCGCGAAGAGGTAGTCACCCGGCAAGGCGCTCAACTCCTCCACCGATATCTTGCGCCTCACTTACATTTATTCCACCTCACCTAAAAAACCAAAGCGAATCCTAACTCTTCATCCACAAACAAATTATCCTTCATTCACGAATTCACGACTTGTCTCCAAGTATTTACTTACAACTGGCAAGTCCCCAGCTCCCTATTACTACAGCCAAACCACAAGCTCACATTCTGCCCACCAACAGCTACAATACCTACCATACAATGCCTACCCAACCGTGCTATTTTGTGCTGTCATAAGACGCCCACTGCTTCCACCTTCCTTCCCGCCATCCAAGCCGTCGCGGAACGATCGTAAAACCATGACAACAGAAGCGTGGTCGACTATTCACTCAGTCTATGAACTTTCCCCAACAACATTCAAGAAAAGCTCCCGTCCCAAGGAGAAATACGACGCTGTAAAGGGCGGGGATGTATTCTACAGAACACGACATTGGAAAACCGAGCGCATCCTCAACGAAGCTCGAGCGCTGCTCCTGCTCGCTAAAACCAAAATCCCGGTTCCTAAGTTGATCCAATGTGGCGACAACGATGACGGGACCACGTTCCTGGAGATGAGTCGAGAAGACGGCATCGAACTAAGTGAAGTGGGCAAGGCATGTCACATGCCAGGTACTGTGGAGCATAGCCACGTTGGCGAATGCGAAAACTGCAAAGCCATTGCGCAGGCCAGTGCGAAGGACTTCATCCGGAGTATTCTGCTCCCCGAGCTCGCAAATTTAACTTCCGACACCACAGGACTGGACGGGTTTGTAATACCGCCGGCGTGGATGCTGGAAACCGATACACGATCGAAGTGGGAGCCAATGACGTTTTCGGAACCAGTGCTCATATTCATCCACGGCGATTTGGGGCCCTCTAATCTGCTGATGGACCCGAAGACGCTAACGGTGAAGTGTGTGATTGATTGGGAACATTCAGGATATTTTCTTCCAGAATTCCAGAAGTGGGAGGTCGATATGGGTCGTTATTATGCTCTGTATACGGAGAGGAAAACACATTTTGAGCTTGCTAGCAGCATCACGCTCTGATCACGTTCTCCAGACTGGACGTGCGTCAGGCTTGAGTATAGTTAGTCCTATCTGCGACGGCAGCAAGTCGCATTTTGGTTCCGTCCTGTTCCGTCTTGCGATATTGTGCGTTTCATGTATAATTTGACGATTTCTCGTTCCGCCGCCGAGCGTGACAAGCAGTCCCAGCACATCTGTTTGGTAATTTCAAGCCTAGTGGACGGCAGCCAGTCATCGGTACGCCCATCGGTACATCTCTCCTCTACGTGATGCCCGTAAATCTTCTATACTAGCCTGGGTGATGGCGTCGCCTACGTCGGCGGCTGATGCGAACTCGCCAGTCCAGCACCCCATTATAACGTTCCCAAGTGGCAGGTCGCTAACGTTAGGGTATTCCTCCCTAGCCATGCGCTCGAGAACGACGTTATCCTCTAGATTATGGTAAGGCTTCTTCCCCACGATAATCTCGTAGAGGAGAGAGCCAAGCGCGTAGAGCTCAGCGCGTATAGTAGGTAGACGGTTTTCGTTTTTGTCGGGATAGCGGAAGCCGACCTCGGCGATAATAGTGGCACTCTCGCCATCGATGTAGGAGCCCGAGAAATCGCAGAGCAAGATCTTCCTATCCGAGTCTAGCAACATGTTGCGGCCCGATAGGTCGCCGTGGCGGACGTTCTTCTGGTGGACGTATTCGACCACAGCAGTGATATCGCGACACCATGTTACCCTCTCGTGGAGCGTAGCCTTGCCTCCCTTCTCGTAATATAGTCGTAGGCAGCCGTTCGACGCTAGCGCAAGATAGATGCCATACTCGTTTATTTCGAAGACGTGGACTAGGTGCGGGTGCTCCCTAAGACGCCGATACACACGTTTCTCGATCTCGAAATCGGAGAGAGTGCGGTCCGAAGGAATAGCCACCTTAACGACCACTTCGGGACGATCTGGAAGAGTGTAGAAGATGCCGCAACCGCCTATGACACCATATCCATCTATTATCCACATCTTTGCGCCAGGAGGATAGTTAGGGATGGGAACAGTCCCCCCGAACTTTCCCCGCCGAGAAGAGGGTTCTGGTTCGACTTGGGCTTCTTCGGAAAGGGGATTTGCTTTAGCTTCGTTGTTCTGAGGATGGGCTTCGTTTTCGAGGTCTGCCATCGTGACAGGAGACTAGTGCGCGGCGGTTAGTAGAGGTAGCGTAAAATCTACATTTAGGCCTTGAACCTTTTCTTGTTGTTCTGCATATGGCTGAGGCGCTGGGTTTGTTGGGTTGGGCGGTCAGCGGTGTGCCGAGAATCGCGCCAGGCATTAACAACACGGATTCCTAGCCAAGCTCTCCACCAGATCTGGGCAAAAGGGCACCTACACCCTATACAATGTTATTCTAGATAAGTATTACTGTCTAGTCTATAGCTATAAGTATAGCCGTTTTATTTCATGCAGAAGCCATGAGAACGCGTAGATAATGGAGTATTCATTTAACACCAGACTGCGATACGGAGGATGAATGAGTATGCCCATCGGTACATCTCCCCTCTACATGGTGCCCGTAAACCTTCTATACTTTTTAGAGCTTCGACTTCGCGCCATCCACCTGGACAGATTCGACGGACCGAGCCAAAATCCAGTTCGCAACATCGTCCATGAACACCTCCTTCTCCGGGCTTGGTTCGTCATGCACTATCATCGTTAGCTGGGAGACAACGGGCTATTCTGAGCGAGGACTCACGTCTGTGATAGTAGCCCTCATACGACTTGTACTCCTTGTCCTTGGCCTCAATTCTCTCCGCCAGCGCCCTCGAGGCAAGGGGGTTGGTGATTCCGTCCTTATTCCCGTGGCCGATCCATATCCTAGTGACACCGCCCTCTCCAGCGTCATCACCAATCTTAATCCTCCCGCTCGCCAGGTCGCCAGTACGGTCCAACAGACCCGCGAGTCCTTCGAGGGTTCCCGTATCATGGCATAGTTCGTCTTCATCAAACTGCTTCTGCACTGCGGGATCCCGGGAGACAAGCTTGACGTCCAGCTTGTTGACCATCTGGCGATGCGGGAGGAGCTTGCCAGCCAGCCGACCGAAGAAGACGGTGATGGGCGACGGCTTTGACGCTGGGCTGAAGTCTACAAAGGGCGATTCGAGAAGGTAGCCACGGATGTGCTTTCGGATGTCGGCGGGTCCTTGAGCGATGTAGCAGAGGACTTCTCCGCCGCCCATAGAGTGGCCCATGAGGAATAGCGGAATAGGGCATGGGATCACTGTCCTCAGGAAGGAGCTGATGTCATCCAAGACCCTGGTTGTTGGGCCGGTATGGCCCCTCTCAGATTTCTTCTGCGCAGAACGTCCCCATCCTCTACGATAGATTAGCTGGGTACTTTGCTTAGGAAGAAGCTAGTCACCTTTGATCGAAGGTGTAAACTTCGATACCTTTGGAAGCAAGCGTCGGAAAGAAAGAATTGTACGTGTTGCCTGGCACGTGTTAGAGGCCCGAGTGTCAATCACTCTTGACGCTGAAGCTGACAGTGATCGCTGAACCCGTGAACGAATACAAGGCGAGCCTTTGCCGGCCCTTCCGTCTATTCCATTGATCAGCATCAGATCACCGGTGGCACGGATCCTAGCTACCTTCCAAGTCTTCGTGTACAGCTTCGTTCCGTCCTCTACCGTGTGCCAGCCTTCCTCGGTAGCCATGCTGAGATCGTGTATGGTATTTTCAAATGCAATCAAATAACAAGGGTATATGGATGACAGTAAAGTCAGGGAAAAGCCCGAGAATATATAGTCAAAGGTGGTTTTGCTGATGCCGTGAAAGCTGAAAGCCCGAGCCGAGGCGCCATCCCAAAACGTCATAGCCTCAACCACCAAGCTTCCGCACGCCATCGCCGATCCGGAGCGTGCCCAGGTGGACCCCCTTCGTCTCCACCGCGCAAAACCTCCGCCAAGGGCAAATGCATCCCACATATCCCGCAGACTATTATGCGTGTCGTAACACGGTCATTTCTGCGGCGCTCCTGTAATCCTCTCCCATCCACATTGCGGACCTTCTCACTGAGCAGCATGGCCCAGACGCGATCCGCGAAAGCCAGCCTGAGCCATGAAGAACGGACGGCTACCGACCCACGCGAACAGTCGCTGCATCCGGTCATTCTCGACAAAGTCTCGGCTGTCAATGACCGAATAAAAACGTACAGATTTACCATCAAGGACAGCAACGGCATTAACGTATCGTCGGCAACCCTTCCCGCATTCACGCTCGGCTTGCGCTGATGGAGACAAGTTCCTGCCAGGCCAATGGCTTGATGTACACGTTCCTGGAATTGAAAAAGCTGGTGGCTTCACCATAACATCGTCCCCAAAACACGCTCTACCGGCATCAGCCGAAAATGACGTTCCGTACATTGAATTGGCAGTTCAGAAAAGCCCAGACAACCCCCCTGCCGCGTGGTTATGGCAACATACAGAACAGATAATGGGGAAGGAGCTCAATGTGCGTGTTGGAGGCAGCTTTGTATGGCCGCCCCCAGGTCTGGACATGAGCCATATCAAGCGAGCGATTTTCATTGCTGGCGGGGTTGGCATAAAGTAAGTAGGTCGCATCTTCTTTGATGAAGACGCACTTTGCTCTGTGGGAAGTGTCTCGATGGCTCACTTATGACAGCCCTTTGATATCCATGCTCTCGCATATCCGCGAGCAACCGTCGTCTATCGAAACCCGCCTCCTCTACTCTACCAAGGTACCCTCGCGAGACACACAGCCCGAAGAAGTACTTTTCCTGCCTCGACTCCTCGATCTCTTCCGAAGGCCGCGTTCCGACCCAAACAAGGACCGACTAGAGATGTTCCTGACGGGCACGTGGGATGGGTCACACTGGGATCGCAAGAACGACGAGCCCATACATCCGCTTATGTCTCTCACACTGCCGAAGTTGGACATTGACACGGAAGTGCCAATCGTGGCTTGGACACACCGTATCGATGAGATCGCTTTGCTTAGTGCGGTGGGGAACCGTGATGAAGCTCGCTCCTCGGTGTTCTATGTGTGCGGACCGCCAGATATGACGGACAGCATCGTTCAGTTCCTTCAGGCACAGGGGCACGTTGAACCAGACCGCGTATTCTGCGAGAAATGGTGGTAACAACGCGGTCTTATATAAGGGATCTAGGTGTAAAGAACTAATCTCCGCTCAATCAACGATTTGACGCGGCATCCTCGGCGTGGGAGACCGACTCTCTTACAAATGCTCCTTACAAGATCACTACTCGGTATGATTGACTTCACCGCTCCTAAGTCAGTTAAGCACCGGAAGCAACTAATCAACTTGTCGCTGGACTTCCAATTCTTCGATGTACTCTTTCAGCGTCGGATTCGTCTTCTTCCCTAGGTAGGTGCACGTTCACGAACAGCAAAGTGGATGCAGTTCTAGTAGGCCATGTTTTCGCGAAAGTCAGACCGCTCGTGTCGCCTTTGACCGTCTACCGTCTGCGGCCGCATCACAAGTCTCCAATAGGAAGCTTATCAGACTTCAGCTCGTTTCAAACGTTGGGTGCAAGATGCATAAGGCGTACCTTCTCTTGGCTAGAACCTCCCGCAACTGCAGGGGTCTTAGCCTTCAGATGACCAGCCGCCTGATGCTCTACCGCTCAGTCAACAACAGTTTCTTCGCTCTCCTCGTATTTCTGACCCGAAATTTCAAGCTTGCGCCTGGTCGGTTACATGCATGCTGTCGAGCTTGTGGGTTCCTGTCTATAGTTAGGTCAAAGGTTACGCTCCATTTCGTCAAATCTTCTCAGTCCTTCCAGTATCCCCAACCAGCTCCAAGATATTGTAGCAATAGCATGGCCGACAAGGGGCAGCTCCTCATTCCAGCACCCAGCGGTCAGTATGCAGTCGGCCACAGCACAACGAAGCTTATCGACAACGCGCGAACTGACCCTTACGATCCCGAACACGGCAAACGCAATGTCATGATCTCGCTCTTCTACCCGGTCGACCGCTCCGCCTGCAAAATGATCAGTCCGGTGCCCTACATGCCTCCGAAAACTGTCGAGATCCTAGATGAATACGTAGCTCAATTCGAGATGCCTCGCGGCATATTCGGAGCCATCCGGATGCAGATGGCCAGCGACATCTCGCCCGAAGCGATTAAGGAAGCCATTAAGTTTCCGCTGGTGTTGTTTTCTCCTGGCCTGGGTGCCTCAAGGCTCCAATACAATGCGCTCGCGCAGAAGCTCGCCAGTGCGGGATACGCAGTCGTAACAATGGATTACACATACGAAACGATTGTCGTTGAATACCCGGACGGCACATACACACCCGGCCTGCCGCCCACCCACTGGGATCCTTCGAACCGCGAGAAACACGAGGCGGCACTCGCTACGCGCGTCGAAGACAGCCGATTCGTCCTCTCGCAGCTCGGCAGTCTGGATGTCGTTCAGCAGTTGGTGCCAGGAGCTACCGCTCCCTTCAACACAGAGAAGGCAGTCTTCATCGGGCACTCATTCGGTGGCTGCACCGCCATCTCCGCGCTCATGGCCGACGCACGCTTTGCTGGCGCCGTGAACATGGACGGCAGCCAATACGGCCCGCTCTCCGACACCCAGAAACCCGTCCTGCTCTTCGGCCGCGGCGACCCCTCCCCCCGTAACCGCAGCAACAATGCCACCTGGGAGCCGCTATGGGCGCATCTCAAGGGGCGCAGGAAGGAGGTCAATCTGCGGGGCTGTGAGCATACTACGTTTTGCGATACGCCGCTGTTGACGAAGCTGAGCGGGATGCCGACGAGTGGGATTGTGGAGAAGATGATTGGGACGCTGGACGGGGAGAGGAGTTTTGAGGTTGTCGCGAGGTATTTGGTAGAGTTTGCGGGCTTTGTGTTGAAGGGGGAGGAGGGGCTGCTGTTTGCGGGCCCGCGCGAGGAGTGGCCGGAGATTGTGTTTGGGGAGAATTGAGCACTGAAGGGGGGTTAGATGGGATTTTGCCTGCTATTTCAGTCTCCTCGGAAGTTTTGCGGGACTCCTAGGTGCAGAATCGAGGCTGCACGTCTCCTTTTGGGAGGAGTTCGGAGATCTACTGTTCGATCCTTGTGCTAGGGCTCCTAATTGTAGGCGCAAGCGCTATTGGTATGGATGCGGTAATACGATTCTCGCACCACGTCTTAGCTGTTAAGCGCCGACAGCACCTTCAAACCTCTACATCTCGCGATCCTCACTCCACAACGCTCCTTCGAACAGTTTCGAAACAAAATGTCTTTCCAACACCACACCTCCACTCTCAATCGTCCAGATCAGCTCGCTCACGGACAGATGGCACTGCCCGTCACTCTGTCCCAAATAACCCTTCATGCTGCCCTACCACACCCATCTACCAATCCCAACCGAAAAATATATTGCCATTCCCCAAAGCAGCCATATTACCTCGCCTTTGTAGTTCCCCGCTGCAGGGATGGCGCAGGATGCGGGAGCAAGAGCGGCGCGCTGATTGGCTGTCACACGCCACGCCGCGCTGTGATGGGCGTGTGCGCGCTGCCAGTCAGCGGCTGCAAAGGCTACTTTGCTGCGCGCTTCGCTGCGCAAGGAGGGGCGGAACCATGTGGGTTGGCTCGGCTGATGGCTGATGGGATGGGGCTGCAGCGGGATGGGCGTGGATGTGCGCTGTTAAATGCTGGAGGATCCCGCCCGGTGCCGTTGGTTAGTGAGCTTTGCTGTTCGACTTCGAGGGTCCCTGTTATCGCGACGACGACGACTGACGAGGAACGACGGGTGTAGAGCGCCCTATCGCATGCGAGAGGATCCCGACCCAGAGAGCGATACTCCCAATTGACCACTCCCATCGCTATCGCCAGAACGAAGAGCGCGCTCCCGTCTCCCCCGCTCCATCCGAGCTGACATCCACCTCCTCCAACCCACGAGCCGGCCTCGCTCACCCTCCAAACGCAACCCACAATGGCACGCTGCTTCATACCGCGGCAATGGCGGATGCCGCGCATCGTCTACTTCCTGATGATCCTCGAGTTCCCCTTCACCGTCGCCAATCTCGCGCTCTTCGGCATCGCGTCGCCGAACCTGTACCGGACGATACTGTGGGCGGAGGGCGGCAAGCTGGGCTTCAATAGCGATCCGAGTACGGTGCTGTATGCGGCGGCGAATTATCGGCCGGTGCATACGCCGCTGGTGTGGAGTAATTTGTAAGTGGGCTTTTTTTGAGTTTGGGTGGTATGGGGTTGGGATGTTGGATAGAAGGAGGAGGTGGGATGGCGATGTTGCGGAGTGCACGCACGGCTGGGGAAGAAGAAAAGAGACGGAAACATCCCCATTGCGACTTGAAACTAACTGTTCCCCAGCAACACGCAGTACAACCTCGTAATCGGCGTGCTATGCATGTTCTTCTACCTCACCAAAGTCACCATGTGGCTCCTCCACGTCCTCTTCCCCATCCTCTCGCTGCCTCTGCACCTCGCGCTCATGGCTCTCTGGGCCGTCAGCATCCACACGCAGACCGGGCCCGACACCATCGACCCCGAGCGCGCGAACCACGGCGCGCCCTGGTACATTACCAAGAACTGCAATATCATGGAGGACAAGACGATCCGCGGGTACTGTATGCAGGCGAAGAGCGCGTTCGCTGTGAGCGTGGTCATGCTGTACGTTTCCCCATGCTATTCCACTCTCTCCAACACAAGCATGACTGACCAACCGTGCAGCGCCATCATGGTCGCCCACATAATCCTGGCGCTCTGGTCCCTCTACCCCACCCCGGAAGCGCGCCTCGCGCACGAAGCCAAGCTCGCCGAAAAGCGCGCGCAGAAGGAAAAATGGGAGTCCTCGCCCTACGACAACGAGATGACGGCCGACGAGCAGTGGCAGCACATGTGGGAGCTGCAACAGCTGCCGCGGACACCGGGGACGGCGACGAGCTTCAGGACGCCGATGACGCCGATGACGCCGAGGACTAAGGCGTTTAGCGCGTTGGATGGTGCAGTGCAGGGGTATTACGGAGGTGATGTGAAGGGCGTGGGCGCGCAGGGGCAGTATGTGCAGGGGCAGTATGTCCAGCATAGTAGTCCGATCCAGGAGCGGGATGAGTGGGTGTATGATGGGAAGGGGAAGGGGACGGCGATGTAGAGGCGGGTTTTCTTAATGATTTGGATGAGTCGGGTTATGGATGGGACTTTGTTTGATGAGGCGTTCGAGCGAAACTTTTCTTATGATACCACACCAGACTTGCACTCTTTTTTTGCGGATATGGAAATACACCTTGCGGCGATTTTACAGGCGAGCTTCTTGGACGCTCTGGTCTGAGTAGTCTGTCTCATGATCACGGGGGTTGATTCTCGTCCCGCAAAACAGTTTCTCATCTTTCTTCCTTCCCATTTGTGTTTATTCGAGCCCACGTTTCTGTAGGCCCCTCCCTGTGCGCTTGCATTCAGCACGTTTGCTCGTGGCACTCTCCGTCATTTCGAGCGCACTTCGTCCGATTACCCTTTCCCACTGGCCTAGATCAACTTCTTTGACCGCCCGCTTACTCACCCTCAGCTGTGCAAAATCTTTCCTGCGCCTACTTCCATCCACATTTTCCAATATTGCTGATGAAAACGGTTCGGGTCCGAGATCTCAGTTCAGCGCGGGTGACTCAGCGGCTCCAGCATCGGAATTAAGAATTCTTCGCGTAAGTTTGTGGAGGCTGAGGGGGCCGAAGCCTGCATTTTGGCTGGTTACGGTGTGGTGTATATGGGCAAGCTGAGCAGAGGAGCTTTAATAGATGTGATGTCATAGTCATCGTGAGAGAAGGAGCTTGGGGGTATAAAGTCAAGGGTGAGTATGCCGGTTACCTAGGTAGGTGTCCTCACGAGGCAACGAGCAACTTGGAGTTAGACTTTCTCGTCTTGGACTTGGGAGATACTTTTCCTTTGGCTGCTCTTAGCCCTTCTCATTTACACTTGTCCCATTTGCTGCACTGCCAGATCCATATATCTCCACTTACCAAACACCATCTCCAATTCCTCGCCATCACTTGAATCTCCTCTCCAACCAATCCACCCCCTCTTCTCCCCCGGCTCAAAATGGCACCCTACACCCTCCCACCCTCCGCCGTCTGGTTCATAACCGGCTGCTCCTCCGGCATCGGCCACGCCCTCTGCGCCCACCTCGCCACCCACACAACCTGCCGCATTGTCGCCACAGCCCGGAATCCCTCCTCCCTCTCCTCCCTCCCATCCGGTCCCAACATCCTCAAACTCGCCCTCGACGTAACGTCCGAGTCCTCCATCCAGTCCGCGCTGGCAGCCACCCTGCACGCCTTCGGCCGCATCGACATCCTCGTCAACAACGCCGGCTACGGCCTCATGGCCGACACCGAGACCGCCGACCCCGCCGCCGCCCGCGCACTAATGGACACGAATTTCTGGGCCGCGGTCCGCCTCACCCAGCTCGCGCTCCCCATCTTCCGCGAGGAGAACGCGAAAACCGGGGGTCCTAGGGGCGGTATGGTAATGCAGATCACGAGTCTGGGCGGGCGGCTAGCGTTCGCGGGGAATGCGTTCTATCACGCGAGCAAGTTTGCGCTGGAGGGGTTTACGGAGGCGCTTGCGAAGGAGGTGCCCGAGGAGTGGGGGGTGCGGTTTCTGTGCGTGGAGCCTGGGGGGGTGAAGACGCGGTATGCGGAGACGAGTACGGGGGCGTTTGATGTGGATAGGAGAAACCCGGCGTATAGGGATCCTGGGCTGCCGACGAATGTGCTGTTGAAGTATAAAGAGAGCGCTGAGGCGACGAGGAATTGGGCGGAGCCGGGGAGGGTGGCGGAGGTGCTGTATGGGTATGTGAAAAAAGGAGGTGACATGCCGCTGAGACTGCCGTTGGGGAGTGATAGTTGGGGGATGCAGAAGAAGGGGTTGGAAGAGGGGTTGAGGGATTTGGAGAGCGTGCGGGGGGTTAGTTTGAGTACGGAGAGTGAGGAGCAGTTGAGGAGTATTGAGTTCTTGCAGGTGTAGAGAGAGGGGCGTTTAGGGACGATTGCTATGTGCGTAGCGAAGGTTGACAGATCGTCAGCCTCTTCTTGATGTTCGATCGGAACCTACACATTTGTCAGTACAAGCGTACGTAGCATTCGACGTGTTCTAGAGCCGTAGTTCACGGCTTTAGATCTGCTGAGCAGAAGAAAAGAATCCAGCGCGTTCTCTTGCGAACTAACGAGGGCCATTCAAGAATCTCGATATGTGGTAGTCGACGATGGCTGCCTTCGTCTAACTACTCCAATGCCATTGGGTAAGACTGAAGGGTCCTAGTCTGTATTTGTAGGTGGGGAGCTAGGGAAACTTGCTCAAATGCGAGCATCTGCACCTGCACTGCGCTTAGCCGAGAAGCAACCTTGAAATCCGAATTCTCCGGCTCGCATCCAGACGAACACCATTTCCCATACCATGTCAATCAATCATGGGATCTAAATCTGATAAGTGCGGGTCATGCCTCTCATCGAGGTTCAGGTAGCTTTCGTCGAGTTACGTCGCGCGTTGAATAGTCAAATCAACGTGTTAACTGCGTAAGGATCAGTAGCAGTACTCCAGACGATCATGAGGAAAAGGGCTGGGAGGAAAACCTTCTCATTTACCCACGATCCAGGCTCAAAACACCCATGCCACTAATGCAAGCCTTTCGAAACTCTGGCCCATCCAGGCCCCAGCCAGAAAGGCGCTCCCGTATACATAAAGCTGCCGTCCCAGTTACCCTTCTCCCGGGTCTGTGTCTGAATTCTTATCTTCATCCTTCACCGCAAAGATGTTCAGACAGATGTCAATGGCGTCGATGAAGCTTAGCCTCCTCCTCGCTCTTGCCCCGTCTACCCTCGCCCATCTCGAATCTCCCAAATTCCCGGGCTATGGCTTCGCCTGGTACACCCCCGTCTGCGGATTCGCTTGCAGCGGCGCCATCTCTAGCGCACCGCTCTCCTGTACCGATGCTACGACAGGCACCACATCCCCCTCATGCCTCGCCAGCGACACCGCGTATCTGACGACCTTGGCGTATTGCATGAACTCCACATGCGATCCGATAGAGACGCCGGTATGGAAGCGCGAAGAGTACTGGATGATGAAGATGACGGGCGATATGTCGGTCATGCCTAAGTGGACTTACTCGGAAGCGTTGGCGGAGGTAAATGAGATGCCGATAGTGGTGTTTAACTCGAGTGAGAAGGGGGTTTTGAATGAGACTGTGCTGATCAGCAAAGAGGACTATGAGGTCCAGGCCAGATTCGACAGGATGTTTGATCATCTGGAGATGCTGCAGGCGAGATACATGTGAGTAATGCTTAGGTCTGTTACCTTACAGACGGGGACTGACGACAAGTAGCTTTGTTCTCGTCACAATCGGCTTCGGAACTCCCATATTTTTCACCCTCCTGGCCCGGCTCCCATACATGACCGGCATCATCGACAGGCTTAAGCCATACTTGGTGTATCCCTCCCTCATTGGAACCTACCACATCCGCCCTCTACCTTGGCTGCTCGGCAACGCGCCCACAGTTGGGCAAGCCTTGTATATCGCCATGTTCTTCATCCTCAACCTGGTTCTAACCTCGGTCAACTACCGCCGCTCGCCACCGGGTGAGATGCCCTGGGGTTTCGGCCCCAAAGAGGAGATCCTGGCCTACATAGGATACCGCACAGGGCATATCGGATACGCGTTGCTGCCTCTCGTCATCCTCTTCTCTACCCGAAACAACTTCCTGCTCTGGGTAACCAACTGGTCGCACTCGACGTACATGCTCCTGCACCGCTGGGTGGCCCGCATCTTTGCTATTCAGGCTATCGTGCACAGCATTACGTTGCTGCTTACTTATCAGGGCACCGGCAGCTACTCGATGCAGTCGAAGATGCCATACTGGCAGTGGGGCATCGTCGCCACGGTCCTCACTTGCGCGATGTTGATCCTCAGCCATTTGTACTTCCGACGCCTCGCATACGAATTCTTCCTCATCCTGCACATCCTTCTCGCTGTCTTTGTCATCGTCGGCTGCTGGTATCATGTCATCCTGATGTGGGGCTACAATTTCTACGACAACTGGCTGTACGCCGCCATCGCGGTGTGGTTCTTCGACCGTCTGGTCCGGGTGCTCCGCGTTGCCAAGAATGGTGTCCGCCGCGCCGTTGTGACCGAAATAGGGGAACACTATGTGCGCGTCGATATCGAAGGCGTAAGGTGGGCCAACAGGCCGGGATACGCAGCATATGCGTTTTTCCCTACACTGAATCCCCTGCGACCGTGGGAGAATCATCCATTCTCGATCAACTCGACAAGCGTATTCCGCAGCTATAAGCATGCGCTTGCGCCGGCGTCCACGTCCCTGGCACACTCCTCGTCCGACGATGGCCGCGATATCGAGAAGCCGAGCGGGAAAGTACCGGCTACCAGCGCCATGCAAGCCGTTGATTCGACAGTGGGCACATCGGGTGTAACACTGATTATCAAGAAGAATGCCGGTTTGACGAGGCTGTTGAAGTCGACTAATCGGCTGCTGACACTCCTTGATGGCCCGTACCCACAGACACCTTACGCAGATATCCTGACATGCGATCGCGTGGTGTTAATCGGTGGTGGTGTGGGAATTACGGGTCTGCTGGCATGGATCCATGCTCATCCAAATATCAAACTGGCGTGGAGCGTCCGGTCGAGCGCTGAGGCGCTATGCAGAGAGATGGACACTGTCTTGAAGGATGTGGCGGACAAGGAAGTCGTGATTGGTGAGCGCTTAAATATCGACACTTTGCTAAGGACAGAGGCACAAGCTGGGTATAAGAAAGTCGGCGTGGTTGTATGTGGTCCGGCGGGGATGTGTGATGACGTGCGAGCCAAAGTATCCGGGCTGGGAAGAGGTGGCACAATGTTTGAATTGGAGGTGGATTCCTTCTCTTGGTAATTTGAGCTGGCTTCGGCACCTTGCAGCTGTGTGAGGAGAATGAACGCTTCGCGTCTTCCAGGTTCTCTTACAGTGAGACGTTTTCGTGTGACCATAGCGTAGCCTAGATATCTCGATTATTCCCGTAGTGCATCTATCACCCCTATCGAGCGAGATTGGATAATGTAGAGAGTACAAAGAGGGGAACGAATTGATAGAGGAAGAGGTGTGGAGGAAGTCGGAAGGATGAACGAGCGGAGTGAAAGCGAAACGCGCTAACCGGAAACGTACTAGCACCAAAGTCTTGACCTCTAACTCGAGGGCTCCGCCACAGCTCCATCAACGTCCGCCCTACAAAGGTACACTCATTGGAGCAAAAAACACTCCAACAGAACATGCCCTCCACGCTAAATCGTGAAATATCACCACCGCCTCGGTTATCCAAGCGCCGAAAGACATCAGAGACTGTATCGCCCTGCAGCAAACAGGATGACGAAACCACTCCAATGCCCAATGCAGAACCTACGCTCGCCGCCATCGAAGCCGGAAGAGCGAAAATTGAAGACCATCTCACATACTTCAAAGAGCACTTATCGAAATCTGCACGGCAGACAGAAGACAGCGTGCCGAGAATTAGCATTGAAGAGTGGGCGGATTTATATCACAGGAACGAGCATTCGCACGGGAATCATTTTGTGATCCACCAGCACAACCACCCCATTTCCGGTGTGCACTGTACGACTTACTTCCCCCTTGAAAAAACTCCTACCCGAATATTCCACAAGAAACGCTAATGCAAACGCAGATGATCTGCGTCTCCAATTCTCCGCATCAAGCTCCATCTCCTTCGCCGTCCCCAAAGGCCTCCCCGGAAACCCAAACTCCAAAAGCCTAGGCCGCATGGCCATCGAAACGCGCGTCCACAACCTTTGGAACCACCTTATCGAATCCGCCTCCCCTAAAACCGGCTCCCTCCTCATCTGGGACACGGGAACCTACAGCGTACTGCCGCGCAAAAAGACGGCTAATCGCCCGCCGTCCCCTCAGACTACCGACGACGGCAACGACTCTTCGGATTCTGAACCCGACACCGCCGCCATTCGACCATCCAAGCGTAGCGACGCAAAACACGAAAACGAAAAACTAATAGAAGCCTTCCAAACGCGCTACGTCCGACTCCGCCTCCATGGCACCCGGTTACCCAAGAACTACACCGTTACCTTGCGTCTCCCATCCGCTAATGATTTTGCCAAACGCCGCCCTCCCGCCCGTAGGAAGAGTCGCCAGGAATCTCACCAAATGCAAGCCCAGCCACCACCATCCACCGACTCCGAGCCCGACGACATCCATCCCACGCGGCAAGAGAGAGAGGAGAGCGGAGACCTGGACACTGACTCCGAAGAAGACGCTCAAACGCGGCTCAACAACGCCTACCCCGGCTCCACAAACAGCATAGGCTCCGTGCACCAGCGGCAATGGTTCATGTTGCTCGACCGGGCATCGAGTGGGTTTGTGCAAGAGGGGCAGACCGGGACGTGGGCCAGTAGAGAGGGTGAGGGGTTTGAGGCTTTCTATGTGAGGGGCAGGGATGTGGAGAGGAGCGTGGTCACGGGACGGTTGGGAAGGGAGGTGGAGTGCGATGAAGGGGTGGAAGGGTTTGTCGGGAGAGGCGGGTGGGCGGGGATAGAGCGGTAATGCACAGGTATGAGGCAGTTGATGAGACAGGTAGACGATGTACTAAGGAAGTAGCAATAGAATATATTAGATAGTGCTAGCAGATAGTTAAATTCTTACAGAGTAAGAATAAAAGAAGACTATACTATATACTAGGCTACTATATCAGCGCTCACTCGATTTACCTAAAGCCTCTAAGATAGCTAGAGATACAGATACAGTGTTAGAAGAAAGACAGAGATGCAGACAATTACGCGAATGACAACAGCCTCAGAGATCACACACAGGACGCGGAACATCGTGAGAATCCCCAAGCCATGCTAATATCTGCTCGGCAGTTACGGCCGACTTCTGCGGTCCAGCGGCAAGTAGTCCATACAATAGGCTCTTCATCCAAATCATCGCCACGCTGCCGTTCACGTAGCTCCGTAGCGGCATGTGCTTGCCGTCGTGTAGCTCCATCAGCCCTCGCCACTGCTCTTTGTACACCCGCGTGTAGGTGCTGAAGCTCGTGCCCGTCTCGTTCATGTACGCGGCAGCCTGCGCCAGTGGCAGTCCGTCGAGCAGTCCCAGCAGCTCATCACCTTCCTGTCCTGTGATTGTGTTAATGATCTACTTTCTTTTCCACTTGCTAGTTCTCTCAACATCACTTGACTACAAAGCGCTGCTCATCTCAAGTCCTCTTTCATTGCGACGCAGGCTAACCCTGTAGGCCCTGTCTGCTCGTCTCATTAAGCGTAGGAACACCCTATTTGATCAGATTATGCAGCGCCGTAAGAGCTCTGCTGACACTGGCGTCACGGGCGTTTGCAGTACTTAGTCTTGCGGACCTGACCTGACCTTCACCTCGTCGGCTTTCGGAACGGTTAGTTCAGTGGTGGCCTTCAGTGTATCCGAGAACATCGTCTGAATTTTAAAGCTCGTCTAGTACTAGCAGGGAAGGCACAGAATGCTATCAATCGCAATTAATCGTAGTCTGAATCGTTCTTCCAATAGGGATCGCGTCTTCTCCTGTAATATTCTTCCAACCACTCCTCTTCCTCCTCCCGCTGCCTCTCCCGCTCTTCAATAAGGAGCTGCTCATTGTCATACGCCTGGCAGTCTTCTTCATTGTCAAATTCCACTCGATCATCCAGCGAGATCCATATTTTCTCCGGCAGTTTTGTAACCTTGACAGTCCATCCGTAGTCGTGCATCCTCTTCGTCAAATCATTGCTTGGATCCTGTTCGGGGTACACCTCGAAATTGATAACAACCTCTTTGAGGGAAGGGATGTTCTTGAAGTGAGTGTCGAGTAGACATAACGCCTCCGCTGCAATTGGCGAATCGCTAAGTGTGTAGTTCGCGCAATCCGGTGAAATCAACAGTTCGAGAGTCCTTATACTTGTACAGGTATCTCGGATGAGTTCTAGATTTCTAATATGCGCTTGGTGAAGCCCAGCTCTCTCAGACTCGGGGTAGTCGAAGGGAGGGAAGGGAATGCAGATATGGCGAATATGGCTTGCCTGGGATCCGATTTGGTGAAGGAACGGGGAGATGTGGGCGCTCTCCGTGGGAGACGGTGTGGAGGTGAATACTTCGGGGAATTGGAAGCGATTATCGGAATAGAGTAGCGTACTGGCTTCGCTGTACACCGTCTTGTTGATACGGAGAAGGGCTAGACACAGCTCGTCCCCTTTGGACCGAAAGAGTGGCGGTGACGGAGGGCCATTGTCAGCCAGAAATACGATCGGTTCAGGAAGAACGAGGAGTTCCGAGAAGATCTTGAGCCGGAGCTCACGGGCGATGTCGAGGATATTCATTTTAGTTGGAGTGATGGAGGCGTCTTTCCGCGTCGCTGGACGTGCAGGTGTGCACTTGAGCTGCGCACGTGTGGCGGGGTAGTAGGGCCGACAGAGTTTCGGGATGCAGCGGCAGTTCCGCCTACCGAGTAGTTGCTATGCCTTGCTTAGCATTTTTAGGCGGTTCGCTTGTGTGGGCGGTTCGCTTGTAAAGTACGTTATTTAAATTAATATATAAAATATTTAAGGTTAGGACTCGCAGGATAAAACTCCAACTCCTTGGCAGGAGCGCACCACGACTTGTTGATCAACACTCCCAGTCCGCTCCTGCCTCACGTACGTCCGCCCGTGTCGAAGTCGCTGCTCTGTCTACTCGAGCGTCCGCCCTGATCCTCTCACGGTCCGTCGCTGAGCGCCTCGCCCAAGCCACTCGCTGTTCGAGCCGCTCGTTGCTCTCAGACCAGTCTTAAAAACCCCCCACAATCCATGTTGTCAACAACTGTCCCGCAGTACACACGTACCCCATTCTACAAGACGACCTTGTCAAGCTCAGTCACCAGCTTGCAGCCTTTAGAATACAGTACACGTGAACCCTTGGCGCGCTTGGACCTCCACCGCTAGCGAAGTGCGTGTACTGCAACCTCACCACGCCAACTTCGATTCTCACTGGCTAAAGTCTAGCATTATCTCTTCTATTCACATGTCTGATTCCGAAGAATACTCCCGGGAAGCTGCCGTTACAGAGTTCTTCAATCAGACGTGTGCAACCCGCGCTTCCTGTGACAGTAAAGCACTGGATCTCGTAGGCGGAGAAGTCGTCCCCGTCGAAGTGCAAGGAGTATGCAGCTACACCGTCTACGCTGGGCCTCAACTCGAGTATGTTGTCCAATTCCGGCTTAAGTCCCTGAAGCTGGATACCAAGACGGCGACTTTGGCCGCGCAGATCTACGGCTCTCTGCCGCCAACAGTCAAATTCTATGGCGAACTTGGATCAGAAGGAGACGAAGCAGGAAATGAACCGCTGCTGGTGTATGTCATGGATCGGATACGAGGTCTTAGTCACCTGGACTTTATTCTCAAATATGGATATCCGCCAAATTCAGAGTCAAACGTCGCTGCACGGAGGAACCTCATAACGGACATCGCTCGGTATGTACTTATTAGAAGCCAGAGAACCTGCTAATCATTTGCCGATAGATTCATGGCCCTCTCATGGAAAGCCCCGCAGGAAGTCTCGTTGGAGTACCGGGGGATGCTAGCCCAAAGGTACACTGGCGACTTACAGCTCTTGCTCACAGCGCTACCAGAACGATTCCACGCTATCGTCCAGGGTGTGCTCGATCACTTAGACTCAGTGTTCTCTCTCCCTATGGTCCTGCTCCATCGTGACTTTGGCACGTCAAACATTCTCGTTGAGGATGCGGCTTGCCATCTCACTGGTGTCATTGACTGGGCCGAAGCAGAAATTTCCCCTTTCGGTCAAAATCTTCATTCCCTTGAGGCATTTACTGGCTCACTCCACCTTCAACATGGATGGAAACGATACAACGATTACAAGGACTTGCAAGTCAGGTTCTGGGATACCTTTAGCAATGAGATTCGCAAAAGTTTAACTCAAGAGACCAAAAAGGCCATTGAAACATCTAGAGTCATGGGTTTACTACTCTCCCGGGGGTTCACAAAGCGGCTTGCTAATGCAGCCCCACCTATCCCAATTTCCGATGACAGCACGGGAAGCTACAACATGTTGTTCCTTGACGGGACTCCTCCTCAAGCCAGAGACCAAGTTCATTATGCTGTGAGCGGAAACGTCTGGGCTCATGGAGGAGAGAGAGCGATTATGGGACATGGGACATGGTCGTATTTGCTACGGAATCTTCTCCCCCTACAATGATTCAGAATTCAGAGGACGCCGACATCGGCAAGAGCTTGCTTCAGGTCATGGACATTCTCCAATTTGGGCAACGGTTTCCCAGCATTGAACACCTTGTGGTTGCCCGATGTCATCGCGGCATGAGTCATTGGACGCACACGCTCTCGGTTCTCCATCTCTGACCTCGAACTTCCACCCTGTGATTCGGCTCGGTGTGCAGCCCAATACCTTCTGACCATCCAACATGACTGTCCCCTGATCAAGGATGAGCTCTCACATGTCGCATTTCACACCGTCCATGAGTATCTGAAGGCCAATAAGGTCGGTAAGATTGTTGCTTGTAATGTAGTGAACGAATTTAGTGATGAAACCATGTCCAACAGCCGAAAGATCAGGCATCGATCCATCCTGATACTTGTACGCAAGAAACTCGTTGTCTTTGAGAACAAAGATATGTCCATGAACAGCACTAGGATTGAAGGTGCTGACGTCGGTCGGGTTGGTCCAGCGGCCGCATGGGTTTTCGAAGTTCTTCCCGAGCATGATCGTATTCTCCGGGATCTGGAAATGGCCATGGATCAGGTGAACTCCAAGGGTATTATGGGCATTGTGGCGGACGAACAGCGCCGCAAGGTTCTTGATGTGCTCATCAGCAACTGGTGGCTGTGCGGCGTCGTCTGGAAGAGCATTGTAGCTAAGTAAAGTGCCTTAGATCGATACGTTCAGGCGAGCACGTCTAGACTTACGCAGTGCGACTTCTTTCCAAGTCTCTCAGAACCAGAGGCCTTGCAAAGGACCCTTCGCCCAGATAGCTTGCCACAACAGTTGCCATTGTTTTAAAGATTTCTCGAAACGTACTTGCTTGACAGGATGGATAAAGCAACGAAGTGAAAGTATGAAGGTATTAATAGTAGGCAGATGCTATGGAATGAAATGTGACGGCGAAGCACATCTTATACTTCATGATATGGAATAGCTGCACCTATATGCAAACAGTCTTCCGCATTTCTGTTGCTAGTCGCGCGTCTGACAACCACAGAACTGGGAAACCCGGGAAATCGATATCCTACATGTATGTTAATCCATTTGTGGAAGCAGGCAGAATGGCGCAGTCGTGAAGTGAATCTTGGCTATAAAGGGCGAATGTGCGCCTCAAGCCTATCATCCTAAGCTCTCCTACCACCCCAGTCAGGAAGCCCTCAGAAAGCGGCACGGCGTTTGGAGGCGTTATATTGTTAGATATTCAAATATTGCTCCTTGTCACGGCTGTAATTGTGTCTTGAGTCCCGCGCTAAACTTCCGGATGCAAAGAGATCCTGCCCATACATGCAGGACAAAGTATCGCACCCCTTCCCATTCTATCTTTAGCAGCCTCTGCGGCACAGGAGTTAGATTGCGGCACAGCATCGAATCGACGTGACAGCCTTCGCCCAGCCTCTACACACTGCGGCTATCTTTCATAACAAACGGAGACCGTAGGTAATATAGCGGTCTCGAGCCGCCCGCGTGCGACTGGGGCGAAAGCCTGAGCAATGGAGGCATGGCAGGCCGTGGATGAAGTCGTTTTACGAAAGTGTATAGTGGTGGCGATGATGTTGCGGACGGCGTTGAGGACCCGTTGACGCCAAGCCGGGACGCTGCACTCTCAACCCCGCCCATGATCCACCTGGGCAGCTATCCTCTCTCAAAATTGCAATCCAGCCGGACGTTCGTCCACGGTCATTGCTCCCTTCACCACTCTCGTCGCTGCTGTTGTGCTGATTATTGGGACTTTGCCAGCGCCGATTGAGCCCCTGAATTCACCTCAGACTTTTGTCACAATCTGTCGCGGCCTGCCGTAGGTTTAATTCTCTATCCTTACTGACGCCTCTAGATACTATCAAGACCGCGTTCGAATTCCCATCTCCTGTCGCTGCCGAACCGCTGTCCGAGACAACTACCGGTATCTCCCACCGCTTAGCGCCCGGTTGCTGTCATTGCGAGCTTTGGTGGAGGGTTTCTTAATATAGAGATAAACGTAACTACTAAAAAGAGCATGACAACGAAGCATCCAAGCCAACGACACTGCACTAAAACCCAACCCTTCCACTAGCCTACAACACCTACTTGAACTTCGTCCCATGCCTCGTTACCCCCGGCGTTATTTTCTCAACGCCCTGAAGCGCCCAGCTAGGCTTCGTCTTCCGCTCAACCCGTCCCACACTCTCAGGCTTCATCGTGTTCTTGATACCACCCTTGATCTCTTTCTTCCTAGTCTGCGGCTTTGTCGAAGGCCCAGCTTCTTCCTCTGCAAATGCGACCTTCTTGCTAGGCGTCGCCTGAACCTTCGGCGGGGCCTTCTTAGCAGGGGCATTTGGGGAGGGCTTCACCCTCTTCGCCTCCGGGGTGCTGGAGCTTGCGCTGGATAGCCTTCTCTTGCTTGTAGCAATAGCTGCCCTTGTTACACGCGGTTCTGGCGTAGGAGTGGGAGGTGTGGCCTTAGCCGGACCGCCCGGACCGCGTTTCGTCGAAGAACCAGCAAGAATATGACTGAGACGACGCGTGCTAGGCCCACCGATCGGTGAATCGGTGGAGAATGCCCGATCCGTCGAGGCAGATCGTTGAACTCTGGAGGCCACAGGTTGAATGGCCTTAGCGCGACGTTCTTCTAGACGGCGAGCGACTGCAGAGGGCTTCTTCACGCTTTGAGAGATTGCGATATCGGATGCCGGAGATTCCGTAGCTCGTTGAGGGTGATTGCGAATCTGGGCTTTGCGGCCCTCCCCGAGATATCCGGTGGTGCTGCTCTTACACGGTATGGAGGGTCCGGCGGGGGTCGGTGGGAGGGAGGGGCGGCCAACGGGTTGTTTTCCTTTGCGGTCATAAGTCCTGTCCAAGCACCGCTCTCGAACAGAGGGCCGGGTTGACTTACCGGCGGCCTTGCTTGACATAGGCACGTTCAGAGTGGAAATCGGCACGGATGTTGGGACGTCTTCGGGAACGTAGTACTGGTGCGCCTCATTCACAGCGACAGGGTGTAAGAAGACTCTGGGGGCGTAGTCCTTCTTTACCTGCTCGTCAAGACTGCCGGCTGTGTTGAGCTCGTCGAGGACATTCGGAAGCATGGCCGTACGTGCAGCTCTCTTGATCAGACTCCAGAGTGGCTTGCCAATGTTGGGAAGCTTGAAGCGGGATCCAGATTCATATGTCGTCGGGATTCTGGCCTTGTCTACGGCATCGTACGGAACGTTGGTCTCGACGATTGGGCTCGCATCGGCAGCACTCTTTTTGGCAGATTCGCGGAGATCGTAGTTGATCTTCATGCTCTCCCACTCCTGCATGTAAAGCGTTTCTCCAAACGGGAGCATAGCTGGGAAGTCCTTGTGCCATTCTTCGACTTCGTTATCGGGACCGCCGTACAGAAATTGCGTCTCGCGAACTTCGGCCTTCTTCAACGGATCCCTGAGCTTTGGATAGGAGACTTCTTGAGGAGGAGGTGCTTTTGGCCTGCGGGACGATTCCGGAACTGGGAGATCGTCTGAATCGTCTTCCCCGCCTCGGTAGAGGACCTCAGGAGACAGCAGCTCTTCGATGCTCGCATCGGTGTCTTCAAGCGATACCGAACTCTCTTCCTCAGCGATTCTCTGAAAGTCGGCTTGCACTTCTCGGATCATGGACCGCAGCTGCCGATATAATTTGGGATTGAACGAATATCCTTCTTCGCGGTACTGTTTGAGGATGCTGTCGTCGATCCTCTGCACGTACTCAACGTATACTTCCGGCGGATCAGCGCCTCCTTCGTCGGCAATGTAGCTGATGGCTTGTCGGAGACGGCGATCGTTGGCCTGTTGGGTTATCAATTCTTCGTCGCTCGCAGAATAGAGGTCGGAATCGGAGGGAAAGTCGAGTTCTGAGGCGCGGCGGTCAGGGCCAGCGGTCCTGTAATACCGAGATGCCATGCTGAAGTTTGCGCAGCGAAGCTTCCGTGAGGAGGATCGAAGAGTTTGAGTGCTAGTTCTGTGTGAGCAGTTGTCGCGGAGAGCTAAGGCAGGTCGCAAAACTTACCACGCAACTCGCACTCACGCTGCACGACTAGTTCCGGGTGTTGCAGTCTGGGGAGGAAATTGTTGAACGCTGCTGTATCGCGGATCAGGAAGCTTGAGGTGTTCTGGAGGGTTTTTCTTTCTTCACAACAAAGGAGTGCCAAAAGCGAACATCACTTCAGTTTCCGCAAACGGCCTGGAGCGGTTCGCAGATGTTTGGCAACTACAGTCTTTGTGCTCAAGGAAGTCCGAGGCGCATCTTCGTTTTTGTTTGTCTCATTAACAATCGATGTTAGATCACCCTTTGGCGACGTTCGAGAGGGGGGTGATGCTTGGCATTCGGCGATTCCGTGCGACATTGCTCAAGCTCTGCACTCCTTTGGATCACCCACATCGATCCGCTCGAGGATGGTGCTCGGAAGCCGGCGTGGGTGTTTCATCCTCGTTTCTGATCTCAACTAAGGGTATAGCATCCGTATCATGGTCCGGAGCAATAATGGGAATATCGGGCGTCTTCTTGTATGAACCCTCGCCCTCCATCTCGTGAAATTTCAGCTCTTCAGCCGGCATTTCATAAATAGCAAGCTGCGTCCCATCGACTTCGGCTGGCTTTTGTGGTCCATCCGCCCCGAGCTCCGCCTTCGGTTCCATATCTCCTGCAACTTCATGCCGGAGCCCTTCTCCCACTTCGTACTTGATACCTTCTCCAGATACTTCGTGCTTGGCATTATTCTGGACATCAGTGTCGTCCAGTTCGTGTGCTTTCTTGCTCTTTGCCTTCTTCCGACGATACAGAATGAAGGCCACCGTGGCGAGAACGATTACAACCACAGCTCCGCCGACGGCGATACCTGCGATAGCGCCCGTGCTCAATCCCGACTTGGAGCCAGACCCAGCGCCGTTGCTGCTTCCCCCAGAAGTCTGCTCTAAAGGCGGCAGTATCGCAGCAATGTCCTCTTGAATCGAGGAAGAAGGATATAGTGCCTGAGAGAGGTTGAAGATGTTTCGCTCATAGTCCGCGGAGAGATAGGCGCTCTGGAGGAAGGTTCGTCCGAGGAAATATTGGGTGTCATTAGCCGCCCTCTTGAGAGGGAAATAGAGTGTGGATGAATTTCCCGTAAGCGCAGAAGTAGCGGTCTGGTAGAAATTCCAGTATGGCATATTGATTGTGACTGCGTCACCGGAAACCTGTGGACCGACCTTGAAGCGCACTTCTGGATTCTTATCGAGGAGGGATTTATGCGAACTGTCATTTAGTAGATACAGCTCGGTCTGCTCGTCCCACGCGAGCCCGAATACCTTCTCGAATTGCTCGCAGACGCTGGGTGGCAGCCAGATATCCGCAATCAATGTGCTGATATAGGAGATGATGCCGGAGTTGAGGAGTGGGTCGCTAGTTATATTTGTCGTGATCTCCTGGATGGCGACTTGAAAGTCGAGCGAGATATCGTCTCCGAATGGGAATACCACGTTGTTCGCCTCAAATCGACTTCTATCATAGCCTCCAAGGACTAGACTACCGAATACTTTGGGTGCTAGATTGTGCGCTCCAGCAGTGTATGACCAGGACAGACTAGGTATCGGTGGGCTCATGTTGCGCAGATTCTGCATGAGGCTCGGGATCGGGTTGTTGTAATCGGTAAAGTTGATCGGTCGAGGGTTTAGCGACAGGCTCCCCAGCCAGAAGTTATCCGTGATGATTCCGGCGATGCTCTGGTTCTCTATGGAAGGCAAGTCATCACCACTCCAACCCAGGCCGACATTGTCGAAACCGTACAGGCCGTCTCCGTCGAGTCCAACCCGTTCTTCAAGGTATGTATTGAGCTGGTACGACCCGAATTCCTTCCACGTGGAAGACGTGTTCCTCTTGTACAAGGAACCATGGCTATCACTGCACTCTGTGACGTCGCCGTTGCTGCATGCTTCTGGGAGGACAAGCCACGTAGAGGACTGATCGGAGGCAGGAAGGACGCGAATTTGCTGTGGCGGCGTGCCAATCTCGATTCGAAACGTGGACCATGGGCCGTCTTTACCGTCCCTGAGGGTGTTAGATAGATGTCATGTTCTTGTTTCCGTGTACCTACCAGAACTGACTGGATGGGATGCTCAGCGGCTGTCCGAGGCTTGTGACATTCTCAGCTCCCGAAACGAGAGCACAGAGCGACACGAACAGGAGCCCCAGAAGATGCGACCAGCCTGTAGCTGCCATGCCATGCCACAGGCGCTTCAGCGCCATTCGAGCGTGAACATGGAGAAGTCGAGCGCTCTCATGACAGCTGGTGTTGAAGACACACTCCAGGTCAATCAAGCAGGAAGGCGCATCCGGCCCGTAGATCTCCTGTATGCATATATTAAAACGAGCATGGGTTCTACCTCATGTGGAGAGCTGATTGGATCGTTAACAGCCGGGGTAATATACCCTTGAAGACGACGGACCGCGCTGGTATCCGTTTGGCCATGTTTTGCAGCCAGCGTTACCCAAGCCTTGGGTCGCGAGCACCTTCCATCAAAGGGGCTTCAGGTCCGAGGGGTCAAATTCCGGTGCATAAACGCGGGCTGAATGGGACGTGATGTTGGAGTCGAAGGCTCGCGACGTTGATCGCGGCACCGAGGCGCTTGCCTGTTAGAGCAGGCAGCTGCAGAACTCCCCCATCCAGCGCAGGCCCAGTCTCCTCAGTCGAAATCACATTACTGCCCTCCCGTCTTTGGGCCCGAGTTGCGGGCGGATCATGCCACGGTTACCCTTGCAAAGGCACAGCCGACACTCGTGATGCGGGAGGAACCTGTGGAGGGCTTGAGCATCCTTGGGCTTGGCGAAAGTGTCACGATCCTTCGTCCCCCCGAATACGAGGCTGGGGCCACTCATCTCCACGACGGTTGACGATCAGCTGGGGTGAGAACCTCAAATCTCCAAGAGGCATGGTGGCTCACGCCATGGATCAGGATATTAGCCATGCCAGAACTCTGCCGTCGTCAGCTCCTCTCTCCTTGACTTCACCCACTCCGTACGCTCGTTACCACAATGTCGCTGCTTAATATGCTCCCGCGGGAGATACTCACGCTCGTTCTTTTAGCATCTAGCGCATGCGCCATTCCATACCCACGTACGCTCGCGATTCCGACTCTTAGACGTCGACTAACGACACCTAGAGCTGCTTCCAGTCAAGAATAGCACCGCGTTCAGCACCACGCCGAGCCCAACGTCAAGCTTCTTAGGCAGTACAGCCCCAGCGTGGATACACATCGAATCTACCGCGACCGGCTTCGAGCCAACGGCGACCGATCCCCGAGACGGCGGGACGATTGATTGCGCAACCGCTCTATGCGACCCTTTCATTATCATAGAACAACCGACCGCAACAGGCTTCGAAACGGCAGACACCCCGGAAAGCACGACTTATACGCCTCCGACATATAAGCCCGATCAGAACCCAAACGTCGTCATCACAAGCACCCCAACAGTCATCGGGGTACAAACCTCTATCGCGCCACCTACGGATTCTCCGCAACCGAATAATGGGCCAGGAGACCCGAATCCGAATGGTGAGGGGATACATACAGAAGGCGGAGGAGATGCGCAACCGCAGCACACAGCAGGCGGTGACCTTCTCTCGGATATCCTCACGCGTATAGCGCGGCCAGGATCGCAGCCCACACAGGCGTCTCCCACGGGTGGTTCCTTCGACGAGCCGCAGCAAATGCAGCAAGGAACGGCGCAACCCACGCCAGGCCTCACCGCTCCCGGCGCACAGCCTACTCTCGTCCTAGGCGAGCCGATAACACTTGGTCCTGCGACCTTGACGCTGACTCCTGGGCTGTCCACCACCGTCGGAACGGGATCTACTGCTGTATATGTGGGGATTACCATAAACACAGCCGGTCAGACCATCATTACCGTTAGCTCTAGCGGCACCGCGGTTACCGCTACCATCACAGATGCGCCGGCCACAGTGACTCTCCCCAGGACAGGCTTCGATGCAAGCATCACAGGCGCTGCAAGGCCAGGCGAGCACGATAGTTCCAGCGCTGGCGGGGTAGCCGCTACAACTTCGAGCAAGGCGGGCGCCATGGAGCGTATAGAGACGATGGATTGCTGGGTAGGCATAGTTTTGGGCATCATGGGACTTGGCATTGCGTTATAGGGCATAATCGGGTATCCTGGGTGGGAATTTGCCAATGCAATTTGCATGATCTGGCGTCGGGAAAATGATACCATGGCCATCTGGGCGCAAACCGGATCACAATGTACCCATGTAGGTAGCGTACACGTTTTATCTCGCATTCATTTAAAGAAACAGCCCTAGAACTTCACTACCTTTGCCAGTGAACGCGTTCACGCGTCGGCACGTGACCGCGCGCTGTTCGACCCCGCATCCTCCACTCTAAAGAGCCCATCCCAGTCCTCAACGCCCTCACAAGTCCTCTGCTACATCGACTCGACGAAACATTGCAACCGCCGAAATCAACAAAACGAAGAAGCTCACCAAACACCACACTACATCAAGACCACCCGAAATGGCTTCCAAGGGCTCCTCTTCCAAGCCGACCGGCACCAATTCCGCGAGCAAAGATGCGGGCTTCCGCAACTTCAAGCACTTCCTGGAGTCCTATGGATTGCGCCTGACGAGTCCGGATGATGTTGAGGAGGGCAAGGCTATTCTGAGGGCCATGGGGTATTCGGTTTAGGACAGCAGGCGTTGCAGGCGGGCGGGTGCGTGACGGTTGACGGTTTATGAAAGATTTATCCAAGATTGAGTCCGGTCTTGCTAGGTTATTGCCAATGGCGGCCGCTGGGGCTTGTTATGGTGAGAGCAGTGCGCCAGAGCTCCGCGTAGGAAATGCAAAGGATATGCAAGAAATGATGATGTTTAACGGACTCGCTACGATAAGGGCTGCACGATACCTTTTCATCTACCTAGGTAGGTTTAGATGGTATGATACTAAGAAGAGAAGCGTGCTAGGTGCCATGCTGCCACGGCAACTACCCCCGCGACAAACGCGCCTTCGCATCACGACATCAACAATCACCACAATCCACCAACATCACGACACAAATGGAGTCGAAAGACGACAAGTCATTCAATCCGTTTGCTTTGCTCCCAGGCAGTATGTCTGCTCTCGCGATTTCCAATCCAGCCGCTCCGCCGCAGCAGTCGACCGTGGCAGACAGCTCCATTTTGGCACTACCAGAGGCTAACACGCCCGCTGACTCTGCGAAGGGAAGGAAGGCGGAGAAGAAAAAGAAGAAAAAGAAAAATAAGAGGGGCCAGGAGGAATCGTCATCGAGGCCGGCAGAGCAACAGAAAGCGCAGGAGAATGCGGTGCAAGCTGGCTTGGATGCAAATACGGTAGCTGCGCAAACCAAACTGCACAGCGCCATTTCCACCTCGGGTTCCGGTAACACCGATCAGACTGGGCTTCTTTCCTCGTCAACCACGGCAACCTCGTCCTCGATACTACACGAGCAAGCCGGCCCACTTACTGTCCAGAGTTCTCGCCAATATTTCGCGCCAAGCTCTTCAGTTTTCGCAAACTGGAACAAGGGCAAGGGCAAAGGCAGAGGCAAGAACCACCGCTACGCTGCAAGTACTTCAACTGCTGGTGGAAGCTGGAATCACGGATCCACACCAGCTGCGTCAAGCAATGGGTATGGACACTTCGATCTCACCCTGGACCCGATGTACTACTGGAACAACACCGCCGTCCACCATCTCGATGCTCAACTCCTCGCGATGCGCGTCCGCCTACGCTTTCCTACACCAAATGAAGAGTTCTATGGTGGACTGAAGTAAGCGTGGCAATCTCGTCTCTTAGCTGCTCCCGCTAACAGATCGCTTCTCAGGTACCCTCTTTGGCGTCTCATTGCGACCGGCGAAGACACTCGAGATAACATCGCCATGCTTCTCGGTCCGTTGTGGTTTCCGTTCGTGGGAAATGCATACCAGCAGTGGAGACTTGAAGCGCTAGCACTACCTACTCTCCGGCTTGGCTCTCCGCTTTACCACGAGAGGATGCTCTTGAACATGGGTTTACCGCGGTGGAGTCCCCGTGAGCCCACAGTGAAGGAGCAGGGGATGTTGGTCAATTACGGCAGATTTGCATCGGCGGTGCATAAGGGGGAGAAGCACTCCTTTGAGTGGGGGGCTTAGGAATGCGCAAAGGATGTGGGTGGTAACAAATGTCTTCGTTGTATATGTGCATTGACCTGACGTTCTGCCAGCCAGGCATGCTGCAGCAACAAATCCGGATGGGTGTGGGCCCGCTTCCGGGCCACGCCTTTCAGCGGCTGCCATTAGCACATGTGTCTGCAGAGCGAAATGTGGCGGACATCTTAATAAGAGTGAGAACTATGCTGTAATACAGAAATCTTGGAGATACGCGACACATTAGTGTCAGCTGCGTGAGTACACACCCCGGCTTCATGTTCGCCGTGTCTCACGTATCCCTCCGTTTCTCGCTCTTCCTCCGCCACTGTGGGTGCGCACAATCAATCGCGGTACCTTTTGAACTGAAAATCTAGAGTTCAGGTACCGGAACTCGGTACTTGCCATGAAGGATGGTGTCTTGCGGATAGGGAATGAGGCGCGCCACAATGCACCGCCACGGTGAGTGATGCTGACATTCAACCACCCAATCACGCCTCTGCCAAGGACCTCGGGATGAAGTCAGATCGTGTGGCGTTGTCGATCAACTGCCTCAGCCTCAGCCAGGAACAGGCAGTGATGGTACACGCTTCAAGCAAGGGTTTTCAGAATTACTATATGGTTGTCACTTTCGAATGCATGGTAGACCAAGATCGCAAGGAATTCGCTTGTAGCTTTAATCATAAGGATTGGATATCAGATATCAGCCAGTCTAGCTACCCAAAAGCAAGTTTCCCTCTCCAATTTATCCTACCGGCGGTCGCAACCTCAAAAAAGACAGTCGCCTTCCCCACCCCACCCAAAACGCCCAATGCCATGCTGACACGCAGGAAGAACTTCGCCTCTACGACGCCCGGTGTCTTAAATTGCGCATAAATTAAAAGGAAAGAGAATCAGCATCTGAGTTCCCACGCCGCACGCCGCATCGGATCCCCACCCCGGAATACCGATGTAAGCTTTACAGTTTTGCCACACCGGCGCAGCAGCAGCATGGCGCAACGCGTATTGCGGTGTACTGTCCTGCTCATACCTTACCCCAGCCCACGGGCTTGTCCCGGCCCTGATTGTCGCCCCAGAACTCGCGGCTGTCCTTGTAGTCGCCCTTCTCCATGCCTTGGCTGAAGAGCTCGCGCACCTTATTCGCGCGCTCGGAGTCGCGAGGTCGGAGCTGGAATTTGAAGGGGAGGGGCTTTGCGATGAGGAGGGTTGTGAAGTCGAGAGTGGGATCGATTGCATTGGTCTTCTTTTCCTGCTTCTTGGGCGCTGCTGCTGGCTGCTCGGCGGGTTTCTTCTCTTCCTTGTCGGGGTATGTGCCCGGGTAGCTATACTTGGAGAGGATGACGTCTTCCAGGGTGGGCGACTTGGGCTCGTCGACGCCGGTGTTGAGTTCTTCGGCCGAGATGGAGGCCTTCTCGTTCATGCCGATGGTCTCGATCTTCTCCGGGTCGGAGCACATTTCGAGCGGTGCAGTGGAAATGGAGAGATCCTCAGGTCGCTTCGAGATGTTGAACATCCAGGCGATGGAGCCGATGCCGATGAGGAGATCCTCGTCCGCGACGGTTTGGCCCTGGCATACGCGTCGTCCGTAGCCGAATTGGGTGATGTTGATGATGGTAGGGAACTGGGTCAGGGGCTCTTGGTAGGTTGGCCAGCCGGGCTCGACCCATCGGAGGGGATTGAATGCTTCCGGATCGGGGAACATAGCAGGATCACGGGCAATGGCCCTGGAAAGGTTCTTAGCTGGAACGTTACAGTTAAGCTAGGTGCGGAGTACTCACCATTCGAGCGGGTGCATGACGCTACCCTTGGGAATGAAGTAGCCGTTGTATTCATCGTCCTGGATCAGTTCGTGCGGAATGCCAGTCGGGACCGGCGGGCGCCAGCGCATGCACTCTCGAATGACTGCTCGCAGGAACGGGAGGTTCGGTCGGTCCTCAGCCACTGGAAGCCTGTCACCGCATACCCGGTCCAACTCTTCTTGCAGCATAGGCAGGTACTGCGGGTAGAAGCACATGGCCAAACAGAAAGTCTGCATCGGCGCGGCGATAGTCAAGGCTCCGGCAATTCCATGCATACCAACGGCATACGCGCCCTCAAGGTCGTACTTGAAGCCCCACTTGCTCCGGTTGTCGAGGAAAATCTTCATCCACGATTGCGGTGCCTTCTTCTCCGAAATATCCCTCTCGACCTCGTTCTGCATGATCTCGAAGAACGTCCGCTCAGTCTTGGCACGTCTTCTTTCCCATGCCTTAGCCGGGGCGAGCCAGTCTGGAAGTGACATTACGAATGGGAGCTTGTTCCCGAGAGCGCCAGTGGGCGAGACACCAATCAGTAGCTCGCGAGCACGCTGCTTAAGCTCATCGCTTGCTTCGCTGTGGCCCCAGGCTAGGCGGCAGGTGACACGGGAAATGAAAGACTCCAAGGCGTGGTTGTAGCGCTCCGGGTCATCTAGGAGTTCGACAAGCATACGCTTCGCCTCCACTTCCGGGTAACGGTGGAAAAGCGCCTTCTCCGACTCGCGCATGATGACATTGGCAAACTTCCTCTGCCTAGTCCAGCCATCTAGCAGACGTCAGAAAAACTAGCTCGAAAGCTTGTACTTTGCTTTCGTTGACTTACCATTCTTGCTGAGGAGCGGCAGGTACTGTGCGCTAGTCCTGTTGTCATCGAGCAAGGCAGGAATGTGGGGCCTATCAGAGTAGATGGCGCCCTTCTTGGCCAACAGGTCCCGGGAGATCTGGTCCGACGATATCCAAACGTGGTTTGAGCCGGCTAGGTTGACGTTGTAGATGGGACCATACTCCTTGCTCCATTCGTAAAACTTAACGAAGCTATTCTTCTCAGGCACATCAGGCACGGAGCCGACAATGGGATAACCTGCAACGAGAAACGTGTCAGCCAATGCTCAAACCACGAGGGTCCTGTGCTCCGCGCAGACGGTAGATGCAGGGCATAGTTGACCATACCTTTGGGACCGGGGAGAGGCTTCAATCCAGTCGGGAGTTTCTGACGACGTGATGCTGCGAAGACTTTGTAGAGTACATATACAGCCAACGCGGATGCTACCGTAATGAATGTTAAGGGTGCCATGATGGCGGGAGATCCTGTGAAGGATACTTGACGTGTAGACAAAAGACGATTCTACTGTTTCTCAATGGTACAGAAGCTGGGAGAAGCACACGGCGTACACAGAAAAGCGGAGCGTGCCATACATATAGGATCCGCGTCGCTGTAGCGGGACGCCGACTGCCTGACCCCGAACTGGCGCCTAGACAGGAAAGGCGAGTTTCAGGACCGATTCGCCGTCCACAGCCGTGGGGATGCGGCGTGTCAAGGGCTGAGTTAGATCGGGTTGATCTCTCACGGCTGAGGGCATCAAACCTAAGACGCCTCGCTTATTCTCAAATCTGACTGGTCCTGCAGTGGGCTTGATACTGAGAGCTGAGTGCTGAGCCAAGTGTAACTGGGCCTTGTGGCGGCAGCTTGGGTACTAGTCCCCACGTCCGAAGTCCGCGCACAGCCTGATATGATATCAGAGGCAGAATTAACAGCTCCCCAGGGCGATCCTGCCGACAAGGGGCCAGCAGCGCGGCACAGCCGGTGATGGGACGGGACCCGGGACTGCGCTCGGCGTCAGAAAAAATGGTTTCCATTGGAGGGCAAAGCTTTACACGTACCTAAGCATGCGAGAGCGGACGCGGTCAGAAAGATTGAGCAACGCGAAGCTTCCAAGAAACTATTTGCTGCGCTGTAGAAACGTCCGTCTTTTCGAGCGATTGGAAAACGAAGCGTGACGGAGCCAGGTAGGCGGTCTCTAGCGTCTCACAGTGGCATGCTCGTGGTGAACGAGTAACACCAGCAGAGCATTTGTGCAAGGTAGGCATGCTGTGAATGAGTATATCAGAGTGCTGATCGGAGGGCTGATGTGCTCGTGGGCCTAATCTATTTTGAGCCGAAGCTCAGCCAATGAATCTCCACAGCGGTTACTGACGCCTATCCCTGATTGGCGGGTACGATGCTTAGCGCGCAGATCTAGAGCGTGGATCCCTGCTCGGGTGCAGGGATGCGACTTCATGCATACAATCTGTGTGTGTGGAGAGCCGAAGGCCAAAGTCCGAAGCTTCAACAACGAAACACCCCTGCCTTTTGCCAATCCCTAGATGGCGCCTCGTGCCTTGAAGGTCGGCCTGCGGCTCTATCCAGCGCCGAGGGCTCCTTTAATGGTCCCCTTCAGCGGTCGGTACCCTTAAGCTCCTTTCGCCGACAACGAGAGCTAGTGGAAACAACTGAGCATTTTCGGACGGTGCTCCATCATGATGACATTTTACAGTTGAGAGGTCCACGGGTAACACGGTGAGCCATCCTGACAAAAGACTACCGGGCTCTCAAGTTTCTCCACTTCTTCAGATGTACTGCTCTAGCATCATTCCCCGGATGAGAGGACGACTTTCTTGCCACGTCGCCAAGCTAATTCGGCCCTGACTTCAAACGTAGGGGTATGTAAAGCTCTTTATCGACCCATTGTGGCCGAGTACTGGCTGGGCGAAAATTCTGAATCCAACGTGGTGGGCGAGCTGTCGAGGTTTCAGACCGCACACATCGTGAGACTACCGGCTTGGTATCGCGATGCAGAGATTACAAAGCCCTCATTCGAGCATTGGCATAAGAACCAACAACACCGGCTGCATCAAACTGCCAGTAGTTTGTACATTTTCCATCGAATTGTACGAAGACCTCGCTCTCTAAAACTCCGTTCTCCCGACATCTTGAGACGTTCGAATGATTATTCTCAGGGCCTCAAGACATCGGGTCTTAGCGTCATGGCGCTCCGCAGCTGCTTTCCGACTGTATCTGAGGCTACGCCGGGCCATGGATATCTGACTAAGTGGGGACAGGAAACCACTCCTGTACGCCATCAGGACGAGGAAAGTCGGTCCCGCCCTCACGATTCGCGTGCGAGAGCACCTTTTTTCCAGAACGATTCGAGCTCGCGTACGAGCGATGAACCATGGGTGCCTCGCAGTCCATGCAGCAGTCCAGATCGTGGCTTCTGCGATTGCACGTCAGAACATTACGACGACTTCTTGCTTAACTAACCATCCATTTACAAGCGTAACAGCAACCGGACTATTGTCTGCCAATTCATCCGAGCATCTCCACAATACCATGTCATCGTCAAATCCCTCCTCCGGAATGTGCAATCAATATTCTCCAGCGCGCTCACTAGCTTGAGCGCTGAGGTAGACGCTCGTAGTTTGGTCCGCAACGACACTGTGCTTAGCTCGCAAAGCTAAAGATGGATATGTTGCTGGCTTCTGTTGGTGGTCTCGTTCGCTCCCGATGTCTTCAGTCCACTTCGAGCGGCTAAAGGACCGTTACATAGAGTGTGGCCCCCGTAGAAGTACCAGCTACCATGTCCGCGGGTCAAGTTTTCTAAATATAGGACTATCAGGGTCCAATGGAACATGACGGCTTCCTCGACTTCTTCGCAGCATCAATCCTCTCAAGAATTTGCTCGTACAAGACAACGAAGTTGCGCTCACGCAGGGTCACAACAAGTTCAGGAACACTAAATGGCAGAGTGTAGGACGGTTCACATCGCCGTTTCGCTGTCATCCGAAGCTTACCTCGGGGGACTGGTCAACTCGAACTGCTCTCCTAGCATCAAGAATCCCACTTTCCGGACTCTCTCTACGACACGTCGATCGGTGAGAGCGTTCATTGCGGGCCATATGAATTCTTCAGGCGAATTTCAGCACACTATGCTGAACATCTAATTCTCTTTTTGTCCGATCTTGACATGACCCGCTAAACCCTCTATCAGGTATACCGAGGTGCTTCTCGACAGTACCATTGCATTCCGCTCGCTCTTAACGCCGCTTCCCAGCAACTTCAACTGCATGCTCTGACCACGAGAAGAGATACACAGATCTCATGCTCAGCCTCTCTTCTCTCATCACAGCATATATGCCACAGCATTCATCAAGACCAGGTTATTATGTCGCGTACGGCAGGGGAGAGCTCCAGATCCTCCCGCGCTAACTCACTGAAGAGCTTCCAGCTCAGCACGACAGGCAGGCTTTCCGCGCTTCCCACCTAATATTTCCGCGATGCATCAAAAGCGACTATTGTTTAGAATGGCTTCCAGTTATGAAAAATCAGGGTCGCAAGCCGCATCTCAACGCGCTTCTCAGAAAAGAGCCATCATCAACAGTTGCCTCGCCTAGGCGCCATACCGGTACACTATGATTTCTCCTCACGGAGAGCCTTCCGGCCGCATCCGAGGCCCTTTGAGAATCCACTCGTTCGCTCGTTCAAGCACGCCGATTTTGCGGGGCGGCATCCTCCCGAACTTCCCTGCGTTAGGCCACCACCATGTCTGACTTCCACGCATCAGACCAGCACCGCCGCCATCTGCCAGTACAGTAAGACGGCTCTCCGCACAACAACAACAACAATCCACGCCGCATTCAATAATTTCAGAATTCGCCTTGATTTATTCATATCTCGCACTACAGTCGCATGATTCTCGAGTCATTTCTCGCGCTTCGCCGCATTCTCGCACGTGCATTGCATCATGTCAATTTCTCTCATTTTGCGGCTGATGGACCAACTCGAGTCATGACGTTCCGCAATCCACCCACGGATGGCTTGTGGATCTTCTCTCTCTCGCTCTCTCTTCGAATGAATCGCGAAACGGGATCTCGTACCCGCATTTGGCATGCGCGTTGCGGGGCGCATTAACTTTATTGTTGACGTCGGAACCGGGTGGACTTGATATAATGATGCGCTGGTGGGCCGAGATGCTCAGCCTAGCCCCATGGCGATGGCGATGGCGTCAGCGGGGGTATTATGGGGCTTTTGCAACATGACGGCAGAGTGTGAAACGACTTCGTTGAATTGACTGGTCGAAGGCTAAGCTTAAAGAGGGATTTGCGAGATGAGGAGGAGATGGGGTTTCGTTGGGTTGGATGTGTTTGAGTCGAGAAGGCTTTTGATTGACAATGGATCGTCGAGCTTCATTCCTAGGTATCCGGCGGTCAGGACTTAGCGACGATACGGTACTGTCGCTGGCTGTTCTGGAAGAGCTTCGCACGCAGTCCTCGGAATCGGTATCGACCAAACCGAGATCCTTCAACCACGCCACAGCTCGACGAGGGAGCGCTTTCTCGAGCAACTGCGCGTCAAATGGTCTTCCATCCGAGCGAACTTCCACCCCAGAAGGCACCATCCTTATGAACACAGACACCTCCTACTATCTTCCTCCCTCATTCCCCTCTCCTCTTCCTCAGCACCTCCATCGCCTCCTTAACCTCCTGCTCAAACCCATTCCCCATATTACACACCCCATCCGGCAGCAACCACACAAACCGCACAACGACTGTTCCTACACCAAGTCAGCTTCCATCACCATCCCACCTATCTCTCCGCTCCCGCATCACCAGCCCAGAAAACCGCGCCACACACAAAAGAAAAAGCCAAACATACCTGCATCCCTCACCACAAACACCGCATCCTCCCCCTTCTCCTCCTCAACCACAACCTCACACCCCAACAGCACCTTAACCCCCTCCTCCGCATCGCCCTCCCCGCTCTCCCGCCATCGACTCCCCCGCCAAGCTTGCACCTCATGACTATAACACAGACTTGTCGTACTGTCCCTCGCGAGATAGATGCCCTTCCCCGAACTCCGGCCGTGCGCCTGATACAGCGTCCCACTCATGTTGCGCAGGCCCTGGCTGAGGATGAGCGGCAGCCGGCTGGGGTGCGTGCCGTGGAAGACGGTGAGGCGCGTGTGCGCGGGACGGCGGCAGTGCGTGGCGAAGAGGGATTCTTTGTGGGGCGGCTGGCGGGTTACGAGGAAAGTCGCCGGGAGGAAGGGCGTGCAGGGGATGGTGGGGAAGGAGAAGTGGATGCGGGGTGCTTCCAGGGGGCCGGGATGGCACATGGAGTTATGCGGGAGTAGGGAGAGGTGGGCGAAGGGCGAGAGGAGGATGTAAGTTAAGAGGGCGCGTTGTGTCAATGGCAGCGTTGCGAGGAAGTGCTGCGCAGTCGGAAAGCTCTCCGCCGGCCTTGCCGTCTCCTCGCTCGTCGGCGACACGCCGCCATCCTCTCCTCCCCTCCTCGCATCCAGCGCAAACAAAGGCCCCAAGTCCATCGCATCCACCACCCTCCGGAGAATACACCGCTTCACCGGACACTCGCCCGGAAGCAGCCTCAACCCGCTATTCGTGCTCCTCTTCCTCGTCTTTCTGTACGTCCACAGTTCCTCCAGGGAGCCCACGCACAGGAGCAAGAAATCCACAACCGTCGGTTCGGCGAGGAGCAGATCTAGGCCCGAGTTTACGGCTACGCCGCGGCGCAGGATGGGGGCGCAGGAGGCTTCGCAGGTAGACTTGAGGAGCTGGTGGAGCGTGTGGTTTTTCTTGTTCGTCGAGTTGGGGTGCTGAGATGCGTGTTTGTGGAGGCGTTTTGGACCGGAATAGCGTGGGGTGGACGGGGAGAGCGAGTCTGGGAGTTGGAAGAGAGGGGTCGGGGCTTGCGAGACTTTGGGGAGTGTGGACGTTGACGGAGATGTTGTCGTGAGGGCGTGCTTGGAGACGGTGGCACTGTCCTTTCGGTCTTCGGGGAGAGGTTTTGCGGTTGTAAGAGGAGGAGAGGAAGACGTATTGACCTGGACGAGACCGCCTTTATCGACTTCGCAAGTCCCCAAACGATCTGTCTCAATCCGGTCTGGAGGCATAGCAACAACCGCCGGGCCGTAGATTCGCCTGTGATACGGCAACCCAAACGGCGCCCTCGGTTGGACGAGTTCAAAAGCCGTCCTAGGACTCCTCTCGTGTCCATCCAGTGCGTCCGTCGACAAAGCAGCAGTCTCGGTTCGGTCAGTGGGAGTTCCGATTCCCGCGCCGTCCTTTCGGACTATGGTGAAAGGCAGAGCGTTCGGAGGACGAAACGGAGGCGGAGGCGAGCTGCGGAGCGTGAGATGCTGCAGGGCTGCGTGGTGTTGTGCCATCCTGCCACCGACTCGCTGCGTATCGGTCGTCGATGGGATGGGGGTGTTTTCCCACACTGAAGGTACAATGAGTCGTTTAGTCCAGCTCAGATGCAATTTCGTTCGCAAGTTCAAGTCAAGTCAAGTCAAACCAGTCAGACGTCCTTCCCACGGCTAGAACTGGTTCGACGCCCGACAGACCGGACGATCCACTCAACGGTTGCCTTCCCAATCTCAACAAACAAACAACACTTCCAACAACGCAAGCAAAGCCGAGGAGGTACCATTTAAATCAAATCAATCTCTGAAAAGCAGACCTCTGGTACATCAAAAGCGGTCTGTACCATTCATTCTATGTTCCGCTCCCCGCAATGTGAGTGCCTAAACGCAAGGGCGCACGGGGCTTGATGATAATGAAGGCGCTCGCATCTGTGGCGCCAGGCAGCCACAAGTGCAAATACGCATATCCTTGTGCAGCACGAGTCTTCCCAAACGTCCAATTGATACTGGCGGAAGGCTGGAACCTTTCAGAGATACGAGTTGTGACAGCCAGGCAGCTCCAGGCGCAGATGCGCACAAGCATTGGGCGTTGATACCGCTCGCGTTGCCACGGTACTACTACTCTCCTTCAAGCGGAAGCCGGGGAAGAACATTACACCGGATGACGGATTTAGGTTCAGCGCTGTATCACGTTGTCTTCTGGTCGGCAGTGCCCGTGTCGATGCATGCAAAAACGAGAACCTGCTAATAGAACGGAATAAGACGTCGAACATGCTCTAGGCAGCTGTGATCTCAGCATCAGTCTTGCAATCTACGACCAACTTCACATAGCATCTTAAGAATCGAGCCGAATATCCTTTTATTTAGCTCTACCCTAACAGCATTGCAGCTCAAACACACAATGCCCAATTACGCTGCCCGTCCGTGCCCATCGCCCGGTTGCCCCATTCTTCCTAGTCCAATGCCCGCCAAACACCACGCTGTCTGTTGAAGTGCTACTAATACAGGGTAAAATATCCGAAATCAAATGCTGGAAGAGACAAAAGAAAAAGTTTTGTTCCATCGCGAATCGAGACAGAAATATTGAACATGGACGCTTGGTCCACCGCCAGAACGCACAAGATGTGGCCCCACAATCGATTTTGAATCTTGTGATAGGACGTAGGGGGTCGAAAGGCGGTCGAAGGAAGCGCCAATGCCGTATCCGAGTACGACCGTATCGAATGGGAAAGGAGAAAATGTTGTAGGGGATATGAGCGCGGAAAGAAAAGGTATATTAACCCGCCGTGATCCTCTTCGCGCGGGCAAAAGATATGCATACGATAAGTATATGCAGAAATAAACGATGCCGAGATGCACGACCGAAAGACCAAGGTTGCAAGTATGCTACAGCAAAGCTGGGCGGAAGCACGTAGGCTACGCGATCGGCTGAACGGGGATAGACTGCACAGGCAAGTATCGGTCTGGTGCGGTTGCACGTGGCGGAGAGGTAGGGAGTTGAAAGGGGGCGTATTCGTGCGGATGCGACGTCGAGGGGGGAGGGCGTGTTTTTTAGGAACTCGTCGGTCCCGAAACCGTTCTCAGGCCTGGGAAACAAAGTATTAGTCTAAAAAGTGACGAAGTCGACATAGCAAAACACGAGCGATCTATCGTCCGCCGATCGAGGCACCCGGAACTCTATGCAAACCCTATAGCATGCCCCATCCAATTGCTTGCGCTCTTTTGCCAAATTCTTCAGTATCTCCCTCGGCTCGCCTGGCTTGCTCTGCTGGGTGATGTCCGACTCCTCTCATCCTCTTCCATCACATCGCTCAATCTTGTCGGGTGGTGATGCCTCATACCCATCCACTCACTGCCATAGCCAGCTCCGCTATAATCAGGCGTATCCGACGTGGTGTATTGCCCCTGATATGAGGGTCCGGCAGTGGACGTGGTAGCATATCTGCTCGGATCCGTCGCTGCGGTACCGTAGCGCTGCAAATGCTCTAGTTCTCGACGGCGATCCTCTTGCACGTCATACTCGTCTGAATCGCGTTCGCGCAGTGACCGGAAAGGTACACGGTGGCCAGATGCATCGAGGATGTAGTTGCCAAACTCGTCGATGGCATACTCCTCTTCACCTTCGGAGGTATCTTCCCCATGCGTGGTCACATAAGACCCCTCGTCTTCTGGAATGCTTGTGGCAGTTTCTTGGTGTAGATAGGCTTCCGGCTGGTGATAGAACGCTTCCGGCGCTGAGGTAGTGGCCAGAGTGGGAGGCTGCTGCGCGCTTGTGGTTCGATGGTGAGGATGCAATGGAGCGGGCACTTGAGATTGCTCTGAAGGCCGAGAGGATCCACCTTGGCGGGATGATGAAGCTGCGGCACCTGATGGTACATAGGTTCCTTGAGCGAGAGAAGGCACATCAGGCTCATGGCGAAGGGGAGCAGTGTGTCGGGATGCCTCGGTGAAGGGGTCTGTATCAGTTGGCGACTGTCCTTCCTCGTAAGAGTAGTGCTGTTCGATGCCTTGACCTCCACTAGGCCCTGCACCGTATGCCTCTTCCCCACCATGCGTGCGATGTGACACACTGCCATGCCTGCCCATCCCTTGCGCCATAGGAACCACTTGCACGCCACCTATTACTGTAGGCTGGCCCTCACGTAGTGAGAAAGTGCGATCGCGCTCTTCTTGCTCGCGTCGTCCTAGCTCTTCCCAAGCCCGTCTCGCCTCCTCTTTAGATATCTGCAGTTCACGTTTCATTTCCTGAACCACGCGTTCGGCGTTCTTCTTTTCCGTAGCCATTCGCTCCATGTTGGCTACGGCTTCGGCACGCGCCTCTCGCTCTACCCTGAGCGAATGCTCTAATTGGGCTTCCCGCTCTTGCGCTCGCTCCTGCTCCTGGCGATGCTCGTAAAACCATCGTTGAAACTTGCGTTCTGACGAGGCTCGTAGTCGTTGCAGCTCGACAACAGCGTGGAACAAGTTTGCACCAGCTGCTGACAGATCCGTAATCTGGCGCGACATTTGCTGGGCCAGCGGTTCTCGGCGAACTTCATCGGTATTCTGCTCCAGCCGCCGTATCCAGTAGGAAGTGAGCCCCTCCCAATGTGAAGAGAGAGTCTCCCATCGCTCGAATGCATGCGGAAATGTGGAGGTTGTCGACTGGCGCGGTTGTGCTGTTGACGGCCCGGCACCTGATGGGGGAGGCGGCGGAGGAGCTGTTGAGGGACCTGCTTGTGATGAACCGGCGGGAGCAGAAGGACGCCGTGTATGCTGCGTGGGTGGTGGTCGTCGAGAATCGCTTGGCGGCACAGCACCAGCCTGATACGCAGGGACAGGGCGGGGCTGTTGCTGTGATTGTGAGCTCGCCCGCGGTCTGCCATATTGTGTGCCCGCGGTCGGGTCTTGTGCTTGACTTGATATCGGAGGGACCGGTGCAGCTGATGCCGGCACGACCCTCTCCGGTTGCCGCGCCGCTCCTCCTGCAGATGGATACTGGGTGTATTGGGGATCGCCGGGTCTTAGAGTAGACTGAGGCTGCCTCTGAGCTCCTGATTCGGTGGTCGTAGGGGCGCCAGCAACGCCAGCAGCTTGGGCTCTTCTCTCTGCGCTCCGCCGCCGTTGTTCCTCCTCGGCCTTGCGTTGCTGCTCCTCTGCCTCAGTCTGCTGTCGCCGAGCTGCTTCGCGTTCACGGCGCTGATTCATGATCATCTGCGGCGTTCGAATGTTTGAGCGGTCAGATTGGCTAACAGGGACAGGCCCCGCGGCGGTGCGCGCACCGCCATTGGCGGCCCGGCCGTTGCCGCCTGTTAGATCTGACATCGACGCGTTTTCTTCAGCCAGATCTGGTGTGAAGGGATACGGCAGGCGTATTGCTTCTTCGAGGACGAAGCGGATGGCAGACGCGGTCCGGCGCGAGATGCGGAGAGCGGGATGGGGGGCGAAGAGGTCGGGATTTCGCGATTGGGCGGCTGCGCTTGGGCGGGAGCTCGATTGCGAGTGCTCTGCGAAGCGTACGGAGCGTTGTGGCTGTGGTGGTGGTGCAGAGTCTAGCGACGCGGACCTTAACCTGGGGCGCGGATCCTCGAAATTGGGCGTGCGCCGTAGACTGTATGCCGCGCTTCCAGAGGAGCTTGATGCTCGCGAGTAATTATGCTGTGCCCGAAAGAACTCCGCAGCCTGCTGCTGGCGTTGCTGCAACGATGTCGTGTAGGGTTCGTGAACGTGCCGGTCGTGATCGTGGTTCTCGTCAGCGGATTGCGGCGTAGATTGCTGCAGGTTGAGCCCTGAGGAGCCCGGAGACGTCAATTTGACGGGCCCGAACTGCTACGCGCAATTGAGCACCGCCAGGCGTGGGCGACGTCCACCGGTGGTGGTTGTGGGTTGGCGTGGATATCCGCGTCGGGCGGGTGGGCGCGCAGCACTGAGACTAGTGGGATCGCTCGAGGAATGTTGCAATGCCTGATGGGTACTCTGTTAGGGGGGAGATAACGGCAGGGGAGCAGTGCCATCACTGCGTGCGAGGTCGAGGGCGGTGGTTGGGGAGGCTGGTGGTGATGGTGAAGGGTAATTCGGGGGCTGGGAGAGCACGACTACAACATACCCCTACGCAAGCAGGAAAAGCAGCGCGATTCGATGCATGCTTCACCGACTCTTCCCAACGACTCCCATATGGCGCGATTCGCCCAATGCGCCTGCGTGTGGCCGCGCCGTGCGCTGTCGTCGCGGCGACAAGGCGAGCCGTCACCTCTCCCTTTCGCTCTGGTCAGCCACAGCGGCTGTGCTCGGGCGGCGACGGTCCCTGCAGGGCAGGCGAAGGACGAGCGATGCCAATTGACAGATGGTCAGCGCGAGGGCATGGCTAGACGCGCGGCGAGGGAGGTTTGTTGATGTCTCGGACGCGGTATAGGTCTGTCTGTCGCGCGGCCGCCAGAAGATCGTGTGCTAGCTGAGCGCACCGTAGATCGCCCAATTGCTCGTGCGGCGGCAAGATGCGCGTCGAAAACGCAGGCGACCGAATGTGCGCGAAGCTGGCAGGCGAGAAGTGTGGTCGAGGACTCTCTGCCAACTCACAGTGCAGCAACCCATGTCATAGCCGAAGCCCGGGCAGGCCAAGGCAGGCGCGCCGTCGAGGCGTCACGACGGCCGGCGGACGGGCGCGCAGAGGAGACTCGGGCAGGGCAGAAGACATGGCGGGAGAGACAATCCACGGACGTTGCGTCTGCATCTCCCAGGCTCGAGGTAAGGCGGTCGACGGCCCTGGTTACCCGCCGATGAGACAATGCTCTTGCCATGACCGACCTTCTCGCCTCTCGCCAGATGCCGTCGACCAATCACGCTTCACGACGCCCCTCTCCACGCATCGCTCCTTCCCGGGGCGTGGCGCCGGCGTCGTGACTTCCCTTCTTGCCACCGCACCCCAAACATCTCGGAGATTTCTGCGGACGAGCTACGGTTGCCCACGTTTGGCTTCCCCTGCGCCACAACCCCGCGCAATCGTGATATACGCGAGTGAGGCGACTGTGCCACCTCAGGCTAATCAATAGGCGTATTCGTTGGCGAACATATCTATCACCACGACACGTGTACTAAGCCCTGCTCTCGCGGGGTGGAAATCTCCGGACATAACGACCCGCGTAGCAGCCACCCTGGAGGCCTCCGCAGGTGCGTACAATGGCACGTATAGCAAGCAATTATATCAGTATGGTGAGTCCCGAGATCCAGAGCATTCCCGACCGCAAGAGGTCTTGATACCAGGGTATTAAACTAGAAGAGGCGAGTATGGCACTTGAGGCTGAATATCTCTATAGTTGATCATTGACAAACACGTGCATTCCACAAACAGAATGTCCTTCTCCACCGGACGACCCTCAATAACATACCTTTGAACAGTTCATGTGGTGTGGCGGCAGCCTATGATGATGCTAGGCGATTGCAGGATGGAAAACTTACCTCAGATGACGAACGGTACAATGCTACCAAACTCCTTAAAGAAACTTCGTGCAATCGCTGTCATTTGCCTTCGACTGCTTCATCTTCATCTGGACGAACGGCTCCAACCCTACACGCGCCTCCTCGTCCAGCCACTCAACACCAGCGCCACCCTCCTTCAAGCAGTTGTCAAAGAGGACGTCAACGTCGAACGGCTTCCGTGCCGCGTAGTTAAACTAGAACCGCTTCGAGCGCCACGATTCACGCATAAGACAAGAAAGCGGCTTTTCGCCAGGTGGCGGCGTCCCCCTTGCTCTTTCAACCCGTTGCATTGCTTGCAGGAACTGCTCCAAACGGGGCTCGAAGGCCGCTACGAATTCCTCTATGGTGTGACCTCGGAAAAGATACGAGTCCGGCCCCGCTAGCAGTAACCACCACGGCGGCTTGTGCGAGAACTGGGCTGGTATGGTATTTGTAAACTCGAGATTAAGCACGGCGGTGATGCGGAGCGTCTTCGGGTCCACGAGTATGTTCTGGGGGCGGAAGTCGTCGCAGAAGAGTTTAAAAGGCCTGTAGTCGTCGTCGATGTAGTCGTCGTCGATGTAGTACTTGTTGACCAGCTGTGCAAACAAATGACGAGCAATATACCGCTCCCGAGCATTCTCTGCGTTGGTGGAGAGGTTGCGCTGGGTCTAAAGATGGGTTATGTGTTCGCGTATGAGGGACCTAAAGTAGTCAACTAAAGATTTAAACGGAGCGGTAGGGAATTTATCGATAGGGTAGAAGGCGGTAGTTGCCAACTCGTTCATGCTGTAGGTTAGAGGTCTTCTAGTAACAGACCATGCGTTTGACGCAGGGTCCTTTAAGATGGCTCCGATGTGGTCGAAATTGAATTGGAAGAGCTGAAGCATGATATCGGCGATTTGATCGAAGATAATGTCTAGTGTTCGTCTATCGATATTTGGGTTCAAGTAGAGCCTCTGTCGATTGGCGGGGTCCTTTAGGATATTAGACAAGTGAACTCTCTTAACAAAATCCGAGATAATGAACGGTCCAAACTTCTGCGGACTGTTCTCTGTTAACACCCAGCTTATTAGTCGTGGGACAGGAATCGTAGTCTGCTCGTGAAGGAATTTGAGGATCTGTCACGATCTTTTCCTCGCGGAAAGTGGTGTGTCCCAGCCCTGGAAACCGAATAATGGCATCCGGGCCACCATCGTCGAACGTGACCTGGAGACAGAAATTGAAGGAGCCCTCAAACCAGTTAATAAACTCTCTAGCCTCGTCCCCTTGCCGACGACTGGCGACAAATGCAGCAATTTCGTCTCTTGCGCCGAGAACCTGATTTTTCCACTCTTCCCACTGATCGTCACCGGTTTTCTCGGCTATCTCGTCAAAAATAGTCATTTCTACAGTGGCGTTGGGTCAATTGGTGGGATGTTTAAGTGGATGTTTGGGTGGGATACGAAAAGATTCCAGTCTCTCACGGTGTGGAGTTCTCCGGATAGAACGACGCGCGCAACAGCTATCCTGGAGGCCCTCGCGGGTGCGTACAATAGACAAGCTAATCTTACTTATACGGCGAGCCCTTAGATCCGGAGAATTCCCTACTGCAAGAGCCAGTCTCGTCCCCTGAAGTTTAAGCGAAGTTTAAGCGATTCCGCAGCCCGCGGGCGCGTCTTTTTTGCCAAGGTTTGCATTCCCGGCCGCGTCCGTGACGATCCCACCGGACTCTTTCCACGAACATTACCTCCTTTGCGGCCAAAACTCTTACCCATTAATCGCACTTCTTGCTTTTTTCGAATTTCTTTCAGCTCTATGCCGGCTACACTAGATCTTCTTCACAGGCAGATCGACTTCGAGTCAGCGGTCCGCCACGAATCGAACATATTGAGGAAGCTTACTTACGTGCCCGAGACCCGTAAGGTCTATGCTTATCTTTTCGAGCATACCGATGACATTCAGGCTCTCACTGCACACCATCTGGGAGTGAACCGAGCACAATGCGTCGTATCGCATTGGGAGGAGTGGATTCGTGGAAGCTTCAACGTCTGCATTCCTGTTGTGGTGGAAGGCCAGAATGGACAGCCAAACAGAACAGTGCTTATGAGGTGTCCAATGGCTTATAGACTGGGTAAAGATATTGGCAGCGTAGATGAGAAGATCGGTTGTGAAGTGGCTACATATGCTTGGATGCAAGACAACTGCCCGGAGATCAAAATACCTGACTTGTTGGGCTTTGGGTTTTCTGATGGCCGCAATGTAAGCTTTGCTGAGCTTCTAGAAGTATTCAAGAGCTGACATTCGGTGTAGTTCACTCATATGGCACACCGTCCCCTCTACGTACGAATCCTGCGCTTGCTTCGCCGCTGCCTCTGCACCATCCTCGGTTTTCCCGTTCCATCGCGATACGTCTGCCATTCAAGTGCGCATTCGTTGAATACTGGACATCTGCTTCTACAACGGATCGAAGCAAGCGACGGAGAAATGTTGTCTACATCTTGGAAGGAACACATTGGGGATCCCGTGCGGAGAGCAAATTTATTCAAAGGTCTTGCGCACGTTACCCTCTCCTTAGCCCGCGTACCTCTACCACGGATTGGATCATTCACATTCCGCGACGATGGAACCATAGCACTCTCAAACCGGCCGCTCACATCAACCCTTGCTATCATGGAAAGCTATGGGACTCCAAGAGCAATCGAACTGAATACAACATATGCGTCTGTCGAGCCGTACATCTCTGATCTTCTCGATTACCATGACCGCCGCTTCCTGAATCAGCCCAATGCCATCTTCAATCACGTTGATGGCCAAAGACAGATGGCCCAAAAGATCTTATTAAGGGCAATTGGCCATCATTTCCTCCCTCGGGACCTTCGAAATGGACCATATGCGCTCCGTCTAACTGACCTCCATCAAAGTAACATTTTCGTCGACGAGATGTGGCGCGTTACATGTCTTATTGATCTGGAATGGGTATGCTCGCTTCCGATGGACATGATTGGCGCTCCGTACTGGTTGTCGGGACTCGGTATCGACGAAATCCACGGCGAGGCACTAGAGACTTACGACAGTCTTCGCCAGGAATATATGCACATTTTCAGGGAAGAAGAGGAAGCGCTACAGAGACCGCAATCCTCTTTACGTCTTTCAGAACTCATGCAGTCTGCGTGGACGGATGGAAGATACTGGTACTATTCGTGTCTGACGTCTTTCAATGCCATGTATACAATCTTCCCCCACATATTGGCGAAGTTCCATCTCTCTGACCTCTCTAATGACGCTGCGGGCGCACTCTCTCAATTCTGGGATCCAGATTCAGAGAAGGCTCTAGCAAAGAAGCTGATGGACAAGGAGAAGTACGATGAGGAGTTGCGAGCAAAGTTTGGCGAGCCCCCTAAGAGCAACCTTTGAAAGGCGAAGCTGTCAGTGGAATGGCAGACGAGTTGGATGAAGGGAGGACAACCTGTCGATATACAGGAGACTGCCACCTTCATGAATTTCTTTGACTGGATGAAGAGAACACAACTAGGAAGAAGGAGCTGGCTTCATGGGACGAGTACTGGAGACGACTCTGTCAATACTTCACGCTCTTCGCTCGCTGTTCGTTGCACGATGACGTTATGTAGCAGATGAGGCGGGTATGTCTTTCTCTGAAGCTAACAGCGAGGCAGTTCCTTGAGCACATCTTCCTGGTTGAACGCCTAGAGAACAAGGTCACGAGACGCGAGGGAGAGAGCACATGACGCTCGAGGATTACGATATGTTCAAGCAATACCACTGGAAATCTTCCTTCTACTTCCGTGACGGCAACATGTTTGTGCAGCACGATGTCGTCATGCAATGGTCCTCCATTTCCGGAAGCAGACCAGGCGTCAGACTACCGGAGGATACCTCATCTGACAACGCTAAGAGCTAGAAATGCGGCGATACATTCGAGAGCGATATCCCAAAGTACGTCTCTGTCGACGACACGCCGAAAACTGTTTGTTGGGAGGACATTGAGCTCTTTTTCCTCCGAGATCCGCAAAGTTCCAGAGACGTCCTGTGCGCGATCATCAACTTCAGGAAGACCGGAAGGAAGGCCGGAAGGACCGGACGGGTAAGTACAGACTGTAGCTGCACATTAATGCTTGATTTGGAGAGTGGCACTCGCTTACATGCCGAACAGGACGAAGTTCTTCATGCACTGGGATTCCCAGCTGGCATACTGCCCGATCCTACGTATTGTTGCTCTGGCGTTTCGCGATAATGGTAAGATGTTTCCTTCAGAACGTCGTTACTTAATGAAAGCTCACAAGTTATAGCGTTTGAAAACGAGAGGTTAACGCCGAACCTTCTCTGGCGGCTTCGAGTCCCTTCACGTCTGCCAAATCGGCCAATCCCATGGAAAAAGGAGATCCAAGGATTCGCACCCATGTCTCTACCGGGAGCATACCGAGCTCGGCAAGCGGCTGCAGAGGATGAAAACCATGAAGAAGGATTACTGTACTATGAGACGATGCTAGCCATGGAGATCGACAAGTAGATCGATAGGCTTTTGAAACACCCGGATGGAGACGCTCTAGATGGGGAGGACGAATACGATGATTGGAATTTTCCGACCGCCGAGTTCATGTTTCCAGAGCGGATCCGTATCGTAGAGGCCTTTTACGGCGACAATCCCGAGGCGCTAGATGGCGAAGCAGCGCTGTTGACGCGGATCAAAGTCACCGAGGACATGGTAACTTTCCGTAAGCTTTCGGGGCCAAGCCGTCGCGCTCTGACTTCGAGGATGGCTACATGGACTGGGCCACACGCATGGAGTGTGCAAAGGGCGCCACAACTCTTCCTCCACTCTTCACTACCAACGACACGTTTGATCCCTGTTTGCAGCGAAGGGAGATGCAGGAATGGACTTCATAGGGCAACCCCTCAAGTCACTGCGTGCAGGAAGTTGGGATGGAGACACCGACATGGGGCCAGTACAGCATTTGTCATTTAGGCTCCTCAACCAGATTCTCCCACCCGTCAAGCATCAATACTACCAATTAACTCATCCAGCCCACCATAGTCGTCATACGCACTACGATACGTCTCCACGTCCAAAAACCACCGCTGACACTCCGGAGTGAAGTACCCTGAATGTTCCAGATCGAAAATACATATGAGTTTGAGCGTGACAGGATCCATCATGATGTTATGAAGCACCAAGTCGCCAAAAACAAACACATACTTCTGAGAGTCCGCCGTCTTCGCCTCCCACCTCGTCCGCTTGTCACGCTCCAGGAGAAAAGCCGGCGGGATGACGATGCCCTGCAGTCCCATTGTGTTGGACCGGAGTTTGCTGAGCTCGGGAAGAACAACGTCCTGGATGAAGGCTGCAGCATTGCTCTTCGCGGTAGCCATGCAATCACCGCAATAGCCTCCCTTGTTGTGCTTAAGGCCCGATGGCATCCGGCACGTGTTCCCAACTTCGCTGAGCTTAATGCCGTGGACTCGCTCCGTCTGCAGAAATATGGATCCGTCCGGGTTCTCGCCCCAGTCGAGCAGCCTGGGCACCGGAATGCTCGTGTGGGACGAAATCAGCTGCAGCGCATTAATTTCGTTTCTGATGCGCTCTCTGTTGAAGGGTCGACTGGGGAGGTAGCTGTTCCCGAAGAAATCGACCTTCCATTTAGGATTGAGCGAGGTTTTTTTGAAGGTCGTGGGGGTGAGCTCATGGCGCACAAAGTCTGACTGCTCGACTTCAAAGTCGGCGGCGCCGAAGGCCATGGCTTGAGTGATGGTGTTGGGAGGAGCGGAAAAGAGGGGAATGGAATGGAAATGGTGTCCGGGCCCAAAGCAAAAGCTCGGTAGGCTCCTTTTAACCCGACATGCTCTACCCGGATGTCCGTTTTAGGACCTACTCTATTCCTAAATAGGCTTAGATATGCAGGGACGTGGTCGGATCCATCATTTAGGATTTAGCTCGTTCGGGGTCTAACTGGATCCGGCTCATGAGATCTATGACCCCAGCCTCTCGCACCGCGAACCTCATCTTCAAGATGAAGCCCTGCTACCACTGCAAGAACACTCTCAATGAGTCCACCAATCTCTGCAAGATTTGCACCAACGCTACCGGCAAGAATGTCAAAGCCTTCGAAACTTGCGACGACCCCGGTTGCAGCGAGCGAGGAGCTGCCCATACGCCGTTGCCGAGGGCCTCGTGGCAGTAACAATTTTCTCTTTGGCTCATTGGATGTTCGAGTTCGGGATTGGAGGGGAGGATGCATGACTGACTTTGGGCAAATTGACGTTATACATAACTTCAACATTTTAATCGAATCAGAAAAAAACAATACACACACTTCCCTCACAAAATCCACCCCTTACATCATGCACCCCATCCCTACAAAGCTAACAAACCCGCCACCACCACCGCTGCCACAGCGCTAAGCCCAACGCTCATCCTGCTCGCCGCGCCCTCAAACGGCAGCGGCGTAGCCGTATATCCTCCAGTGCTGCCCGCCGTCCCGCTCGGCACATACACACCAGTCGTAGCATTATACACAGGCGCCGGCGTATACGCGGGAACCGGCACCTTCGACAGCGTAATAACCTCCGTGACGCCCTTCGTAACCGTGTACTCCTGCGGCGCCTCTCCCTCAGGGACATAGGCGGGCGCAGAAGGAGCGGGCGACGGCGTAGACGACGCGGGCACGGGCGTCACGGTGATGTAGACGTAGCTCTCGATGGTGCTGGTGGCGGTCTCCTCGGGCGCCTCAGGGGTGTATTCCGCGGGCGTCGGGTGAGGGGTGGGGATGGGCTTGGTGAGAGTAACGGTGACGGTCTTGGGGCCGCAGACGCTGCAGACGGTCACGGTTGTGGTCCAGCCCTCGGGGACTTCGCCGTAGGGCTTGGGCGTCGGCGTTGCGCAGACGGGGCAGACGGTGTAGGTCTTGGTCATCGTTGTGGTGATGGTGGTGTAGCCGGTGGAGCAGATGTCGACGTATGTGGCTGGGGGAGAATTAGCACTTTAATTCAGTGTACTTGGGAAGGGAGTTCTGCGTACATGTTTCCGTCACGGTAGTGGTGTAATCTGGCACGTGAGAGCTATGATAAGCGGGCTTGCTGGTCGTTAATGGCTTGGCTGAGTATCCCTTGGAAGAGCTCGAAGCGGGATAGACAGGAGGATATCCAGGAGTAGAAGAGGAAGTAGCATAGCCCTTCGGCGAAGTCGAGCAAGGCGTCTTGGTAGAGCTTGAGGCAGGGTACACTGAATAGCCAGAGGAGCTAGAAGAACCATAGCCGGCAGGGGTTGAGGAAGAGACATAGCCAGCAGGAGTCGAAGAGCTTGGCGTGTAGATGTCGTAGGATGCCGAAGGGCTAGAGGTAGAGTAGGCGCCTAGGGTAGTTGAGCACGGCGTAGTGGTGTTGTAGTAACCAGGCGTAGATGAGGTAGAGGACGAGACATTGTACGTCGGGTACGAGCTGGAGGAATCGGTAGGATAGACCGTGGACGAGGTAGTATCAGTCGGGTAGATGATGCTCGAAGTCTCGGTTGGGTAAGGAATAGAGGTCGAGTTCTCTCCGTAGGTAGGGTACGGGACGGATGACCAAGACGAGGAGGTATCGGTCGGGTAGACGGTGCTTGAGCTAGTCTCGGTAGGGTACGGAACCGAAGACGAGGAAGAGCTGCTGGTGGAGGACTCAGTGGAAGACACCGTGGACGATGAAGCGGTCGATGAGGTCGAAGACACCTCGGAGCTGGTGCTGGACACTTCGGAGCTGGTGCTGGATATTTCGGAGCTGGTGCTGGAAACAGCTGAGCTGGTGCTAGAAACCATGGACGAGCTGCTGCTGCTGCTTGAAATACCACACTTTCCGAAGCCCTCCTGACAGCCAGTACCGCAATGGTCAGCAGAGCTTCCGCACCAGCCATAGGGGCTGCAACAGTCACCCGCGTTGGCTCCGATGCAAGTGTAACCAGTAACGCCGCCGCATGTGCCGTCTGGGGTCACCGCGGTGGCAGTGGGGACCACGGTGCTGGAAGTCGAAGAGGCAATGCTGCTAGTAGACGAAGCGACCGTAGAGGAGGCCGAAGAGCTAGGGCAGGTTTCGCTGACATATTCTCCGTTGAGGATGTCCTTGATCCACGTAGAGTAGCCCTTGGAGCAGATGGCGTTGCGAGAAGAGACGGTGGCTTCCCAAAGCATGACTCCGCCGAAAATATCGGAATGCTTCGCGGAGTAGAAGGAGATCAGGTCGTTCGCTTCGGTCGGAGTGAGGTACGAAGTAGGATCGAATGGAGCGCCATTGACTCCGGCGGGCTATTGCTTGTTAGCCATGGCCAGAGAAAATCACCCGAAAACATACCATGCCAAGATAGAGCTTGACGCCCTTATTCAAGGAGTTCGTCTTCAACCAAGCCGCCCAGTCATCAAACGTGAACGTGGTGGACGCAGCGCTCAGTCCATTATAGCCTGCGCGGGTGCTGCACTCAGGCGTATTGTAGAACTGAGCAAAGATGAAATCGAAGTGAGACTTGCTGATAGCCTCTGCCAGTCGCACATCAGGAATGACACACTGAGGGGCGCCAGAGATATAGTAGTCTCCAGATCCGAAGAGGTCGTTCTTGAGCTTCGAGACGAAGTACTCGTAGTTGGCGTACTGATAGTCCGGGAAAGGGGGTGTGACCATGAAGGATTCAATGTCGAGGTCGAAACCGTCCACAGATGCATCGCCGAAGGGGCGCGGCTTTCCGGCATTCTTCCATTCATCGGTCACGGGTCCGAATGCGCCCCACAGGAATTCGGCGAAATACTCGGCCACCTCCTGCGAAGGGAGATAATAATCAGTGGGCCATCCTTCTGAGTGTCAGCTTAATCCACGAAGAACGTAGCATTGCCATGATTACCTCCGCCAAGAGAGAGCAAGACCTTTCTGGTGTTAGCCAACCTTGGAAGCCTTATCAATAGATATAAGCAGACATAGGTTCTTTCCATTAGCCTTGCAGGTGTTGATTCCGGGCTCAATGCTGGGGCAGCTGGACAACAGGCCGCTTAGGGTTCCATTGGGGTAGGCGTAATATTCAGCGCCGCATGCATTTGCTGTGACTTGGTTAGGACATCTTTGAGAAGGATTGGTGACCTTGTACACACCAAAGTTAGTAGCCGGATAGTCGCCAACAGCCTTAGGAAAGCCGTTTACGAAGGCGACATTGACGATGTCGACGCTGTCGTCGCTACACACTTCCGACAAGGTGATCTGGCCGTCTCCTTGGCCCCAGTACACAGCAACGTTGGTGCTTGATGCGGCATTGAAGCCTGCGGAAACGGTCGAGGCAAGAAGGCCGATGGAAGCAGCGACGGTAGCAGATCGAGAGAACATGGTCGTTAGAATTAAGGAATTATTGAACTCTGCAGGATTACGTCAAAGAAGGAGTGAACGGCCAAAGGGCCTATAGCGATCGTGGAAGTGGTTCTCGAACGATGGAACGCAAGCAGAGCTCGCAATTAAGGTACCGACTCAAAAGAGTGACTGGAAGGACTGACAGTCCGACCGTGGAAAGAAACGAGAGCCAAAGGAGTGACTGACAGGACTAAAGGCAGCGAAAGTGAAGGAGAAAAGGGTAGGGGAAATTGCAGCATATTAGCTCCAGGCACCTACGGTACCTGCATAGCGCCCGCAGGGGCTGGATGCAGTTTCTTTCAGCATGAAGCCACTTTTGAAGTCTATAGACGGCAAAGGATGCCGGGTAGCATCGTATCCCGTCAGCTACTTCAGAAAAGCCCAGAAGTCGAGCCACACCATTGGATTAGAGGCTGTTAACTAAGCTCCATTGGGGTTGACCGGTCGCCGGGCGTCAAAACGGTGGTGATGTCTGGAGTCAAGCTTTTGGGTGGCGTTCGTACCATACTCGGGGTGGCTCTGTGATTGGTAGCGGGAGCGCATGAGTCCATCGGTTAGAGCACGGCTCGGTTACATTAGCATTGAAAAGGAAGGACCACGAGCGACAACACCACGCTTTTGGTGTCATTTAAGGCTGACCCGGCCAAGCGGTCAGATTATCCGGCCCGCACATTCTTTTTTTGGCCTCAGGACGTTCGCCGCCTGATGGTTATAGGACTCCAACATTCCCTCGTCCCTTACAGATTGCGGCGTAGGCATTGGCAATTTATGCGCAGTGAGGCGTAGAAACTCCTTCGTGGGTAGATTGCATGCCATAGCAGACCTCCTGAGATGTACGAGATGCTGAGACTTCGGCGTCAGATTCCTCCGCAGTGGCTGGCTGCTTGGGCCTGTCTGAAGGATCGTAGTTTCGAATTTGGAACGGACACGATGCGGGAATTCGAGATGGGATGGAGAAGGATGGCGTCTTGCCTCGGCAAGCTATTGTTTTCCTTGGCAGGGGTAGTTCTAGCTGTCGCTAAGCGGGCGGTTACATCCAGTCGCCCACTGACGATGTAAGCCTGGGTTCTTCGCAGTCACGGGCTGAAAGTCGCTGCTCGAGACCCACGTGCCCAATGCGACCGGCTGCTGGAGATGTTATCGATTGCGCAGAGTATTGACTGAAGGGGGAAGCACTGCGGCGCCTTCAACGAGGAGCGGCTGACAATGTGGATTTAGCGATGAGAAGCGACCAAAACGGAAACAGGCTATGAATCTGGACGGGCTCTCGCGAAAGTTGCGCCATCGTGACTAGTCCAGGGGGTTAAGACGATCCGGCAGTTGCGCTCTCGGAGAAGCGCACACCGCCGTCGAAGATAAAGAGAGGACGTCCCCTCTCAGAGGGCCCGCCATCTTCTGCGGGGCGACACTACATACCTCTGCCCTCTGGCGGGGCTGCGGTGAGGGCGACTTGGTGTCTTCGCGGAGACAATGGATACGGGGGCGGCGTGGGCGGCATTCCCACTCTCTCCACTGCCGCATACAACGGCAATACAACGGCAACGCAACTTCCACGGGTGCGGTGGCCCCTCTGAGCTCGCTCGAGGTGACGTGCAGATAAGATAGAGGCGGTGGTATCGATGGGAGAAGATCGTCGAGAGCGATCGGCAGCTGCACGAACCTGGGTCTTCGGCGGCTCGTGCGCGCCACGCGCTCCAAGGGTCCTCCAACCTCTGGCGCCGTCATGTCCGGTGTGCACTGTGCAGTGCATCTCACCCGGCTATCTCGGAGGGTGCGTGCTTTGGCCACAGTGGAAGCATGTTTGCGGTCACAGGCGGCCCTTGTCGACTGGGTCATGCGGGCGCTCGCTCGGCCGGCGGCATGGCGGTGAGGTGCAGCGGCGCAGATGGAGGCTATCGCTTAGGCCCAGGGTCCATTCATGGCACCTTTGCGAAGCTCTGCTGCATCCTACGCTCGCACATGGCACGCGCTTGAGGCTGGGGTGCACCTCACGGGAACAAATTCAGCGAATAATGGCCCGCCAACCCGCCGGTGCCAAGCGCCGATGATGTCAGCCCCCCATCCAACACTGCGTTTGGGGAAGGCCACCGCACCTCGTCCTGTGCCTCGCGGCGCTCTATCACGCTCAGTGCCCAAGCATGACTTCCGTATCTGCCTTTTCCTACTTATCTGTCTCCGTCGGCCTGCTCTGGTCGCTTCTATTCCACGGGAGTGCCGTTGGATAGACCTTGGGAGGGCTGCCAAATTTCCTGGACCCTGGGGATCCCGCGCTCCACCTCGTCTATCATTACTAGACAAAGGCCCACCTCACGCTCGCGATCCTCTCATCTGCCCATATAAGACTGCCCCGGTGCCCACCACCATCTTTCTAATTCGCGCTCCAACATGGTCTGGTTCAGCAGGTCGAAGAACAAAGAAGACGAAGCAAACACTGCGGAAGACGGCCGCGATGTGTCACCGGACGGCACTCTCACGGAGAAGGAGCGGTACGCGCCCAGGAAGTCGCGTCTGGGCATCCTGAGCGCCGACACCGACGAGGTGCCCGGTGAGTGCTCTCTTGTGTTTGCGCTTCATTGCAGAGCTGACTAGACGCGTCCTAGGCTCTGTGATTCTGCTCTCCGGCGCCACCAAGCGCAACGAGCCCCTCGGTCTGCACCACGCCCACGCCCGCACCTCCGCCTCTTCGCTCCCCTCGCCCTATGGCCCGCCGCGCAGGAGCTTCGAAGCCGGCTCCAGGAGCTCTTCCAGGGCACGCCCCAGGCCGGCCGAGAAGAAGCGCACAAAGGACGGCAGGTTCATCTTGGAACCGCAGCCGGACGACTCTGCAAATGACCCTCTCAATTGGCAGCAGCTGCGCCGAGACGTTGCCTTGATATCGCTGGGCTTCTACTGCATGGTTGGCGGAGGCATGACACCCTTGCTCGCTGCAGCCTTCAACGACATCTCGCAGACCTTCGACGTGTCCGTTCCCCAGGTCGCTTTAACAACGGGACTTTACATGCTAGGCTTGGGCTTTGGCAGCATAGTAGCTTCGCCTACCGCAATCCTGTGGGGCAAGCGGCCGGTCTATCTAGGTGGCATTATCCTTTTCCTGCTCTCCTCCGTATGGTGCGGACGAGCGCAGACATGTAAGCCCTTGCTCTAAACTGGATATCCTCAGCTAATGCTGTGCAGATGCCTCGCTTGTCGTCGCTCGTATCCTCCAAGGCTTCTCCGTCTCGCCTGTGGAATGCTTGCCCTCGGCGACTGTTGCCGAGATTTTCTTCCTCCATGAGCGCGCCTACCGGCTTGGGATCTATACTTTACTATTGCTGGGTGGCAAGAATCTGATTCCCCTCGTCAGCGCTGTTATCGTTCAGGCGATGGGTTGGAGATGGGTATTTTGGTCAGTATTCTCCCATTGTCGTATCCTGTCGTGGCTAATGATCCGTAGGATTGTCGCTATTACTGTTGGCTTCTGCTTTTTCCTCATCTTTTTCTTCGTGCCAGAGACTTTTTGGGATCGCGCGCCGCGACCGAGGGACAGAACACGAACGCGAAGTACCAGCCCCGGGAAACATCACCAGCATCTCCGACTACCGTCGCTGCCGAGGCATCCTCGTACCCCAGGGCAGCATCTGAATCATGAGGACCAAACCGAACCATTGTCTCCTACGGTGCTTACGCCTGCGCCCGACACTCCTAGGCGTCCGCCCAAGGCTTTGAGGGTAGGATTCGCCGACGAACCAGCACGTGAAACACCCAGCAATCCGCAGCTTCATGGACCACCCACCACTACCCCTGATGAGGGACCTGCCCAGGACTACTTCTCACTTGGTCGAAGAGGATCCGACTCAAAAGGCAGCCGTCCGGCCAATTCGGATGGAAAAGACTTCGGTCGCGACCTAGAGAAGCAGACCTCCCTCCCTGCCGATGGACCGACCGGAGTATCCGGAGCGCCTCAGGGGCATGTTAATGGGGATCAGGTGTCAGAACAATTCTCCATCCATTATACGGACTACTACCGCGATGCGCCTCCGAAGTCCTATCGCGAGTCGCTGAAGCCCTGGAATGGCCGCTTAGCCAAAGACAAGTGGCTCCGTGTGGCCGCTCGGCCCTTTATCCTCTTTGCGTATCCTGCGGTGCTCTGGTCGTCGCTTGTCTACTCCCTCGCGGTAGGCTGGCTTATCGTCCTATCAGAGTCCGTATCCCACATCTACCGGACCCGCGAAACTTACAACTTCACAGCCTTGCAAGTCGGCTTGGTCTACGTTTCACCGTTCATCGGCGGGATTCTAGGTACTGCAATCGCCGGAAAGTTTTCCGATATTGTTGTTCGCTTCATGGCTCGCAAGAATGACGGCGTCTACGAACCGGAATTTAGGCTCCTCATGGCTATTCCAATTGCCATCAGCACAGTCATCGGCCTCATGGGGTTTGGATGGAGCGCCGAAGAGAAGGATTCGTGGATCGTGCCAACCATTTTCTTTGGAGTCATCAGCTTCGGATGTTCCCTCGCTTCTACAACGGCGGTCACCTTTGTGGTAGATTCATACAGACAGTACGCCGGCGAGGCATTGGTAACCCTCAACGTCTGCAAGAGTAAGCGGCACCTACTCCTCTCCCCATTCGCTGTCCTGCTGACACATTCGTAGATATCCTTCATGGCTTCGTCTTTTCCCTCTTCTTCACCCACTGGCTCGAGGACAGCGGTCCCAAAAAGACCTTCATCGCCGTCGGCGGCATCCAGATGGGCTGTATGCTCTTCTCGATCCCTATGTACATATATGGCAAGCGTGCTCGGATGTGGACTGTGCGCAACAATCTCATGGAGAAGTTTTAGACGGGAGGATATCAAGGGCTGATATCCATCGATCGCTTATCTAACGACCTCACGACCTTGGGCATGTTCGGGGCGTGTATCCTGGCATTTTCGGCGTTATTGGGTCAGCATCTGAGGAAATTGGCGCTGGGTCTGCTCTTTCCTAAGACATCTGCATTCTAAATTTAGAAGCATAGGTTATGATCTGATGAGCATGCCATAGACGGGCAATAGCATAAGTAGGTTTGCGCAACCAATGAGAATTCTACCATCACGTCTTGGTGAACAACCTTCTTTCGTGCATCGGACGGGGATTCTGTGCGTCTCTCGAGCCCATCGCATTCCAGACTTTCCCGCTTGTTGCTCATCGTCGCCCATCTGCTAGACATCAACGTTATCGACCCGTGGCCAATATTATCGTTGCACCTGCTGATGCAGCTAGTTTTCTGACTTGAAATCGCACAAGATGCGAACGTGCCTCGTGCCGCAACCTCCTCGCTTCCGCCGAGCGCCGCGGAGAAGGTGGGTCGGCGGTTAGTAAGCGCCGTCCGTGGATGCGCGTTCAGCATCGATCTTGGGTCTGCTTATTCATGCCGATGGGCGTGCCGATGACGATAGGGCGCGCTAGTGACGGCATTTGGAGCTTTTTGTATGCGTTGTGATGGAATTTTACTTATGAAGAGATGAAGATGACGGATTTGGAGGGTCGAGACGCTGGCAGACTTGTGTGGCCTTCGCCTTCACGGCAGATGGGAGGGCGAAGAATCTATGGGGCTGGTTGACGATATATTGAGCAATGGTTCCATGAAGAGAGGCGAGCTATTCATCATACTGACGATCTCCTTCCTTCCTCTACGTACCCAACAATCTGCCAACTACTCCACCATTAACAAACTGTTGCACATCACCTCACATCGCATCACTCCCACGCCGCAGCCACAGCTACCGATCCAAAATGTCCGACAGCACGCGCAACCAGGACCTCGCCGCCCACGGCTGGACCGCAGCGCCCCGCAGCTTCGCGAAGAACCTCGCAGCCGTCGACAAGAGCGTGCAAGCCCGGATCTCCGTGAGCGACGTCGCCCTCCCGGATACGCAACTCGCCCAGAAGACGTATGAGTACGCGAAGAAAGAGCTACCCGAGAAGACGTTCAATCACAGCATGCGCGTGTACTACTACGGTGGGCTCTCCTCCCTCACTTACAGGCCAGCCCACTGAACCCTCCCAGGCGCCGCGATAGTAAAATTCCACCTCCCGCAGCTAGAACCAATGCTGGAGACGTACTTCCTCACGTGCCTGCTGCATGATATCGGGACCGTGGATCTGACGGCGACGCGCATGAGCTTCGAGTACTGGGGCGCGATCACGGCGCTGCAGTTCCTAGAGCGGCATGGTGCGAGTAAAGACCAGGCGGAGAGCGTGTCGGAGGCGATAATTCGGCATGCGGACTTGGGGGAGACGGGGACGGTGACGAGTCTGGGGCAGCTGATTCAGCTGGCTACGGTATTTGGTGCGTGTTGTGCCGTGCTTTCAATCCTCATCTCTGCATAGCCCTCGCTGACGGCGTTTTCTTTTCGGCAGACAATGTAGGTCTCAACGCACATCTAGTCCATAAGGATACTATCGAGAGCGTGGTCGCCGCGTTCCCGAGGAAGGGGTGGAGTGGGTGCTTTGCGGAGACGATGCGAGAGGAGATGAGGCTGAAGCCTTGGTGCCATACTACGGCGAACGAGGGCTTTGTGGAGGCGGTGCTGGGGAACGAATTGATGGAGCCTTATGATACAGAACCTGTGGGGTTTCGAGGCGCGGGCACGGAAGAACCGTGCTCGACTTCCTTGTTGGCGACCGCGGGGTCTGCAACATTGCGTGTGCCAGTGCGTTAAGTATTCGCCGTCGCTTCTCACTCGGCGGGTTGGGGAGCGCAGCGCGTCGTCGTTTCGGTCGTGCAAAGGATGTGCATGTGGAGGGGGACGGAGAGGCGAGGTAGGCCTCGGGTCCTGGGCGGCGGCTCCGAATCGCCGCCCGCAGAGTGGACGTCGGCCGAGCACTTTTGCGCAAACCATGGGAATAAAAGAGGGAGTGTAGAAGATGTGCGGCTGGCAAGATGGTCAGCGACAGAGGAGGATGGTCGTTGTAACGCGCATGCCTAGGTAGTTCGCGGCGGGTTGCTAGCCTTCGAACATCACCGTGCTGAAGTCTTGGTGCAACGCAATTTGTGACCTTGACTACGTCCGCCGGTCGTATTACTTCATCACCTCCGGAGCTCCAGAAAACGCGATTTTTTCAGATATGGGCGCAGAAGAACCTTGCGAGGCATGCAGCTGGACATCAGAGCGTCAACATTCTAGTCGCTACATCAGCCATGTCAAACTTTTCTACAGCATGAGCGACCGTGGGGCATGGTCACTGGGCTCAAAATACATTCTTAAAGAGCGATCGATCACCCCCCCAGCTTCGAAGTTCAGAACATCCGTTTCCTAGAAGAAAGGACTACAATTCCGATCCCAAAGGTTACCCTGGACTATTACGACAACGACCGCTATTTTATGCTTACAGAACGCATTCCTGGTGATCTCCTCAGTAATGTGTGGGGACAGTTGTCAACCATCGAGAAAAAGAAGATCGCAAAGCGGACCGCGGACTATCTGTTGCAGCTTCGACAGCTTCGATCCTCCCAGCATGCAGAGCCTCGGCGAACAACCACTATATTCAGCATTCCTGTTTCCGAATGGATATGGTGTTCCCCATGGTCCCCTCTCTTCGGACGACGAGCTTTGGGCGGAGTTAGCAACTGGGTTGGAAGATCTACCTGAGCAAGCTCTTCGGCGGTTGCGGGAGCGCATGCCTCCTGCAGAACCCTATACCTTCACTCATGGAGACTTGGCTATTGTGAACATCATTGTTAGGGACGGAGCTCTTGCAGGTATTCTAGACTAGGAAAGTAGTGGCTATTATCCTATCTGGTGGGAATTCACTTGTGCGGGGATTGGCTTGGGGCAAGAAGACCATGAATGGAAGGCTTTACTGAGGGAGTATATGCCTTCATATCAAGTGGCAAGAGAATTCTGGGTGGACCTGTATGCCCTTCGCACCTATCCTGATCTGAACGAGCGAGGGAAAGCAGTACTCGCTAGACTGCAACGTGACCAGGTTATAGAATAGGGCGATAGCGATAGACAAGAGGATTCCCATTCAATCCATCTCTACTTGACCCCTTTCTAAATTTCCTTCATGGCTCTACACCCGGGTCGTGACTTATAGAGCTCGGTCTAATAATCTAGTAATAAATTAGTATCTATAAAGTCTTTTAGAGAGGTACTCTACCTATATAATTATTAGGTTATAATATTTATAGTTTATAGCTCTTATAATATTACGCGACCATTAAGGGCAAAGATGGAGGAGCGTTCGAATTGGCCGATGCACAAAAGAAATGAAATCCTCTCAAATGGCTTGCCAGCCACTACCCCTACATCAGAGGCCGGAACAAGGAGAACATGGGCCTTGAAGAGTTCACATTTCTTGAGAAGAAATTGAACGGCGAAAACAAGCAGGCTTTGTTCAAAGATGTGAACGATGACACCAAAGTCGTCCGCAACAAGGAAGATATGAAAAACTTGGTGCTAGGCAAGTCGAAGGAAGCGGACTTCCGAGATCTCAAACCCAATGAACAAGCGCGCATTGTGGTGCAAAGGCTACGCCAGATGATCGGAACACTCCAATATATGCAGGACAAGGAAGTCAAAGCCATATGGGTTAAAGAGAAGAACCGAATGGGCGCAATAATCAAGTTCATCGACGAGAATCTGCCCAAGACACCTAGAGTCATCAAGGGTCGCGGTACACCAGAGAGGACTTTGGGATCTTGGAAGCCGCAAGATCTCGGCGATAAATGGGATAAGTACATGGATAAAGTCTTCGACAAGGCAAAGGAAAGAGCGACAGACCTGGTAGAGGGCAATTTGGAAGATTTGAAAAAGGAATGGGACTCTCAGAAGAAGAGGGGCGAGTACAAGGCTGATGCCAACGACGACCAGAAGAAAAAGGATGAGAAGAAGGCATTGGAGAAAATACACAAGGACGTTCTTGATATTATCAAGAAGTGTAGTGACGCGTGGGACAAGGTCAAGGACTGGAAGAATCCGTGGAAGAACGATGGCCTGACGGATCCAGCCCAGTAACCCCCAGAGAACCAAGAGACAACGCCAGAAACCCACGACCCGAATAATCTTCCACTCACGAAACTCGAAATCAAGGACGACAACACTGCGTGAGACCGGATGCGATCGCTGGTGGTTCTGCCGATATATGTACAGGCCCAATGCAATGTTATGAAGGAAGGAGGGACAGACAAATTGAATTTATTGTGGGCATGTTATAGTCTTCTTGTTGTTTAGTACTGTTGAATTGAGTCGGCGTTCTGGTCTCGTTTTCTGACGTCGAGGTTTAGCGTGCGGACGGGATCCGACCTGACTCGTGATAGAACAAGAACTCTTCGAAGAAAGAATCGCGCCAAACAATTCCATCTTCGTATATGTCTTCTGTCCAAAGCTCTCTCAATTCTTTGCCGTGTTTGTCACGGCCGATTCCTTGGAAAACGCTATGGAGCTCATCGTCCGGACGCCAATTCCCAGTCATCCATTCCAACTGGCGAGATGGACACGGCGGGGAGGAGTCGGTGGCTACGCGCAGTCCAGGTACTGGGCTAGGCTCGGCGTAGGAAATCCCCCATGCATAGTCTGCTGCGTCGTCAATGCCATACTTTGCCCCCATATCTCCAATATCGTCATCAAAATCATTACCAAGCCAGCAGAGTGGTGTCAGATCAAGGCTTGCTGAAGAGACGGCATATTGGTTGCGCACTTAGCAAAAGATTCTAGGAGCTGTCGAACGTTCACATCTTGTGGAGTGACTCGGAACTGTCGGTTTCCCAGGTTTGTACACGGATCGCCCTCTTCCTTTAGCATGGCGTCCATTTCGGTGTCAAGATCAGAAGTCTCAAGTGGCGGATAACACTCATCCGTAATGTTGAAACCTGTCGCATCTGCGCCTTCACCGCCTGGTCCTTGGAAGTACCACTTTCCGTTCGGACGCACCGGATGAAACATAACCTCGAAGATTTCGAGTACAGGCCAAGGTGACAACCTCTCATCGCCAGGGCAGAATAAGTTTTCGTCGATCACAGCTCGTAATTGAAGTTTACGCAAGTTCCTTGTGAGGATGCGTAAACTGGAGCTGAACAGATCGGACGGAGCAGGATAGACCATATTTGGTTGTTGTTTACCGTGATGAATGGAAATAACATTTTCGATGGAACTCAGGAAATCCAAAGAAGCCCGCCTAAGTGATATTGGTATTTGGTCGATGCAAGCTTCTACAGCCCTCGCGAAGTCAACTCTTGCATCTCGTCGCGGCCCTTCCCAGTCATGTTCGTAATGTCTTACCGGCTCTTCTTCAGCGTAGGTCTCATACCATTCCGACGCACCGACTTGACACCCCCAAAACTCCAGATTTGGGAATCTGGTGGCAAGGTCGACCATAACTCGAAGGTCGAGCTTCGATTCTACGATATGGAAGCCAGCAGCATGCTTAGGTGGGAAGTCATGCTCGTTATTGTTACGGATCTCCACAGACTGCACGGAAACGATTTGGGGAAGCTCGCTCGGATTGCGGAGATGAACGCGCCAGCTAACATAGTCATGGTGGAGACAGTAGCGTTGAATCTCGTCCTCAACTAGCCTGATAGGGCTGTATATGGTGAGACGATACCTTCCTGGAGTGTGTCGGTCGCTAGCTTGATCCTCAACGGTTCTGAGTGTGGTGAAGAGAAATTGGATCTGGCGTGTAAAGCTCTTGTCTTTCTCTAGCAGTTCTTCTTGGCTTTCCCGACAGGCAAGTGGCGGATCATGGCGGTGGTGTTGTGTTGGGAACCATGGCAGGAACCTGACTTCCCGTAGATACGGCAAGCGGTGTCCAGAAAATAAGACCACAAACTTCTCGGCATTATCCTCGGTTATGTTGAAACTAGTGAAAGCTCCAGAATGCCTTTCTGCAGCGTATCGGAGCTTGCTGGACAACGTGAGGACGCTCTCCAGGTCATCTTTGGAGAGATAGCTGGCGACCTTGTCAACGAGTTCCTGCGGTAGCCAATCCATGGAATCTGATGTCGAAGTTGTTCGGTTGGGATGGGGTGTTCTCCTGTGGGGGAAGCTTGAGGTACTCGAGTTGAGGGTGCAGCCGCCTCAGGGCCAGGCTTCTGTCTGAAAGTCGACGAGATGCGAAGGATTTCGACACGTTCGATTTCCGGCGTCTATGATTTCATATAAATGAGGCGTACAGGATGCGACGCGGGTGCAGTGTTTGTTTCTGCGCCCTGTTCACGCCCCACGCTCCTGCCAAGGCGCTAGCGCATGCACACGCGCAATAACTCGTCCTTGAGTTAAGACATCGCATCTATCTTATATATACAGCATTCTTAATAACTCTATTACCTAGCTACTATATTAGTAATCTTAGTAGTTATCTACTAACGTACTTAATAAATAAACGCTCTAGATAAATAAACGCTCTAGATAAATAAACGCTCTAGATAAATAAACGCTCTAGACAAATAAACGCTCTAAAAATACTAAGTATAAAAATTAATAAGTTTTTCTTAAATAACTAAGTAAAACCTTAATAGTTTTCTATAAAACTTTAAATATATAATATACTTTATAAGTAAGCTAGTTATATAAGTAAGCTAGTTACTTTTACTAAGCCTCTACTAAAAAGCTACTATCTTAGTTAGATTACTCTAACTCTAAGCTACTTAAGATAAATCTAGATAACGTACTTTATAAGCGAACCGACTACACAAGCAAGCTAACTACCTTTTTCTTAGCAAGAAAATTAACGAAAATTAACCTGTTTTTCTTAAATAACTAAGCGAAACCTTAATATCTTTCTATAAAAATTTTAATACATATTCTTTATAGTATATTATACCTTATACTAAAGTTGCACTAAGATATATTACGTAATTTAAAAGCTATACGTATTAAACTAACTTTTAAGAAAAAATCTAGTTTTCTTCTAGTAAGTACTATTATATCTTTATAATAATATATAAAACTTATAGTATATAATATCTATAACCTAATTAAGGTTTCTAGAAAACTTTTATAGAGCTAGCTCTTCTAGGTATAGCGTAATAAGAGATAGAAGTTAGAAAAATATCTTCTTTAGAGTTTTCTCTTCTAACTATATATATATATAGTTAATCTAGCTATATAAACTTATTATTATATAAATTATAGTAGGCTCTAACTATATAGAGCTTATTAACTAATAATATAGAAGCTTTAAGTAGTTATTTAAAAGTAAAGCCTTTTTAGTAGTATAGTAGAGAAAGAGAGAAATATACTAAAGCTATCTTAAAATTATTACTTATAAATATATAGAAGGCTTATAGTATATATAATCTTATTATATATAACTTTATATAGCTAGATTATTTATATATATCTATAGTTAGAGAAGAAAACTCTAGAAAGACTTTTTTTAAAGTTATACCTCTAATTACGCTATACCTAGAAGAGCTAGCTCTATAAAAGTTTTCTAGAAACCTTAATTAGGTTATAAATATTATATACTATAAGTTTTATATATTATTATAAAGATATAATAGTACTTACTAGAAGAAAACTAGATTTTTTCTTAAAAGTTAGTTTAATACGTATAGCTTTTAAATTACGTAATATATCTTAGTGCAACTTTAGTATAAGGTATAATATACTATAAAGAATATGTATTAAAATTTTTATAGAAAGATATTAAGGTTTCGCTTAGTTATTTAAGAAAAACAGGTTAATTTTCGTTAATTTTCTTGCTAAGAAAAAGGTAGTTAGCTTGCTTGTGTAGTATAACAGTCTAGTTTAGAGATTTATCTAGAGTTATATAACCTTAAGTTACGTAATCTTATTACGTAACCTAGCCTAGCGTCTTAGCGCTTAACACCTCTATATATAGAGTCTCTTAAAGTATTCTTCTACTTCTTACCTTTAGATAGCTAAATTTAACCTAACCTACTCTACTAGTACCTCTTATTCTTATAGCTTATAGAGATAGTACTACCTATAGCTAACCTACCTAGCTAGATATTCTAGAATACTTATAGTAGTAGAGACTATAAAGCTAGCCCTTATATTATCTAAAGGTTATTATCTCTTTAGCTAGAGACGGCGGTATAATATCTAGCTAAACTAAGTAGCCTTATTAAGAAGCGTTTACTAATAGCTATATTAAGAATTAGAGCTATAAGAGCCTAGTTACTTACTCTAAGAATCTATTAACGTTACTAATTAATTACTTACCTCTTAGCGCTATATAAGACCTACTAGCAAATCTAGTTAGTAGTAGAAAAGATACTACTAGTAGTAAGCTAAAGAGAGCTATAAGAGCTCTACGTATAAGAGAA